TGACTCATCGGCTTTGCCTGCATCCCTCCACGAATGTTCGTCTTCGGTGGGGGCATAAGTAACCATGACCACCACTCCTCGCCTCCGGTTGATGGGAAGGCAAGCCCAAAGTAGCCTGGGGCTTACAGCTTCCCACACCTCACCGCCACGCTCCCACGCCCCCTGTTGTTTGGCAGTCTGCTGCCCCGAGTAGAGGACTGTCCACCCCTCATGGTGGCAGGAGCCAGAACCGGTCCACCGGACCTCGTGAATGCCACAGATATCCAGGCGGTACCGGTCCAGCTCCTGACAGAGCAGTGGCAGCCTCTCCTCCGCACAGCACAGTCCACGACAGAGTTGCCGTCCGGCACCGCGAGGAGGTAGGGGGTTGTTTTGCCGGATACTCACACACTCACACTCTCTCACTCTCTCACACTAACTCACACTCTCACACACTAACTCACACTCTCACACACTCTCACACACTCACTCACACTCTCACACACTCACTCACACTCTCACACTCTCACACTCTATCACTCTCTCACACTCTCTCTCACTCTCTCACACTCCTTCACACTTACTCACACTCTCACACTCACTCTCTCACACTCACTCTCTCACACTCTCTCACTCACACTCTCTCACTCACACTCTCACACTCTCTCACTCTCTCACTCACACTCTCTCACACTCTCTCACTCTCTCACTCACACTCTCTCACACTCACTCACACACACTCACACTCTCTCACACTCGCTCACACTCTCACTCTCTCACTCACACTCTCACTCTCTCACACTCTCTCACACTCTCTCTCACTCTCTCTCACTCTCTCTCACTCTCTCACACTCACTCACTCTCTCACTCTCTCACACTCTCACTCTCTCACACTCTCTCACACTCTCTCTCACACTCTCTCTCACTCTCTCTCACACTCACTCACTCACTCTCACACTCTCACTCTCTCACTCTATCACACTCTCACCCTCTCACTCTCTCACTCTCTCTCACTCCCTCACACTCACTCACACTCTCACAATCTCACAATCTCACACTCTCTCACTCTCTCTCTCACTCTCTCACACTCACACTCTCTCGCACTCTCACTCTCTCTCACTCTCACTCTCTCTCACTCTCTCACACTCACTCACACTCTCACACTCTCTCACTCACTCTCTCTCTCACAATCTCACACTCTCTCACTCTCTCACTCTCCCTCTCACTCTCTCACACTCTCACTCTCACACTCTCACACTCTTACTCTCTCACACTCTCACAGAGAGAGATGAACACGCCCCCCCCAGTCACCTACTTAGACTGTTGGGGAAAGTCAGACGCACATCCACAAACTAACCCAGGTATAGGGGCTGAAGCGTCAAACTTATTTTAAAAGGGCCCGCTAAAATAATACAAAAACATGAAATGTGTGTTCTCTAGTAAGTATCGATCTCGCCAACGCGAATGATTCGACACTCAGATCTACTCTTTATATAAGGCCAAGGCCAAGCAAGGAACACCGGCTCGCCTCTGACGTTAGGGGAGCGCACGGCGCGGCCCATCCCTGCAGGACGGGGGCCTCGCTCCAGCACACGACGCCGATCTCATTGCTCCATCTCCGCAGTGGACGCATTTCTCAGGAACGTTCCCTCCTTCGGCTGCCATTCCATCACCGGTCTCCTCCGTCGGCCATCATCCCCTCGCGGCCCTGTCGCGAGCTGCCCACGCCGATTTGTCGTCGCGTTCGCCGTCGGCGACGCCTGAGCGCGAGCGGCAGAAGCGCGCTGCTGTTTGTTTGCGAGCCTCCCTTTTGTTTATGTCCACACGAGCACCGAGCAGGGTCGCCAGTTTGCACAACAAGCGGGGAGTGCGGTGAGGCAATGGGGCTGGCAGATCGCGCGGCGGGGAACGGGACGCCGCGACCGCCTGTGGAGCCGAGGTCGGCCGTGGTTGCGTAACGTCGGAGTCGTCTCGGCCTCCACAGTCACAGCCCCCTGCACGCACTCTGCCTGGCTCGCTGTGCCTGGCTCAGAGAGTCCGGCACGCAGAGACTCCAGCTGCGGTCTCACAACAATTATATTTGCTACCATCATCACCAGTACTCTCATCACTTTCAACATCACTATCGCAACTACCAACACCACTACAATTACCGACACAACTACCATCATCACAAACACACAAATTGCCAATACCATCATCATTACTACCATCACCACCATAGCTACCCACCATCATTATCACCATCACGAACACCACCATTACCATCACCACTACTATCACCACCATCAGTTAATGTCAACAACAACATCACCGCCATTCGCCACGAAGTGGCGGTGATGTCACCACGGTGCTTGTGCCAGGCCAGGTGCACTTTGAGACCACGTGAAGTGTCGAGTGTCGAAGGCTCGCCGACAGGTCACGGGACAGATCCAGGTGCCATGGGTTGGCCGATTGAAGATTACCGGTAGATCCACCAGCTGTGCCCCCTACTGTGCCAGGCTAGCTGCGTTTTAGCCACCTGGCGTTCGTTGTTGTGAGCATCGCTCCTCTGCCCTCAGTGGTTGTTGGAGGGCGACTGCCTCCAACTGCCCAGGAGCGTCTTTCACGAGCCTCCTCTACACGAACTGCTTTAATGCCCACCACCAGCAGCACCACCAGCACCACCACCATCACCAGCACCACCACCACCAGCAGCAGCACCACCAGCAGCACCACCAGCAGCACCACCACCAGCAGCACCAGCAGCACCACCACCAGCAGCACCACCAGCAGCACCACCACCAGCACTACCAGCAGCACCACCCCCACCAGCAGCACCACCACCACCAGCAGCACCACCAGCAGCACCACCAGCAGCACCACCACCAGCACTACCAGCAGCACCACCACCAGCAGCACCACCCCCACCAGCACCACCACCAACAGCACCAGCACTACCAGCAGCACCACCACCAGCAGCACCACCACCAGCAGCACCACCACCACCACCGACAAAACGTTACCCACCGCCTCTCTCTCTCTCGCGCGCTTTTACCCAAACGTTCACGGAATATTCCACGCGGCACCGCAGCCGCCCCCACGCCATGGCACGGCCCGGCAGGGCCCCAGCGGCGTGCGGGACGCAATCCTCAGCAGCCTCAGCAACAGCGGTGACAGTGGGAAGCGTCACCTCCTCACAGTCCTCACCTCCTCACAGTCCTCACCTCACAGCCCTCACCTTCTCACAGCTCACACCTCCTCACAGCCCTCACCTCCTCACAGCCCTCACAGTCCCCACCTCCTCACAGCTCTCACCTCCTCACAGCTCTCACCTCCTCACAACCCTCACCTCCTCACAACCCTCACCTCCTCACAACCCTCACCTCCTCACAACCCTCACCCCTCACAGCTCTCACCTGCTCACAGCCCACACCTCCTCACAGCCCTTACCTCCTCACAGTCGTCACCTCCTCACAGCCCTCACCTCCTCACAGTCCCCCCCCCCACAGCCCTCACCTCCTCACAGCCCTCACCTTCTCACAGCCCTCACAGTCCCCACCTCCTCACAGTCCCCCCCCCCCACAGCCCTCACCTCCTCACAGTCCTCACCTCCTCACAGCCCTCACCTCCTCACAGTCGTCACCTCCTCACAGTCCCCCCCCCTCACAGCCCTCACCTCCTCACAGTCCTCACCTCCTCACAGCCCTCACCTCCTCACAGCCGTCACCTCCTCACAGCCCTCACCTCCTCACAGCCATCACCTCCTCACAGCCCTCACAGTCCCCACCTCCTCACAGTCCCCACCTCCTCACAGCTCTTACCTCCTCACAACCCTCACCACCTCACAGTCCACACCTCCTCACAGTCCCCCCCCCTCACAGTCCTCACCTCCTCACAGTCCCCACCCCCTCACAGCCCTCACCTCCTCACAGTCCCCACCCCCTCACAGCCCTCACCTCCTCACAGTCCTCACCTCCTCACAGCCCTCACAGCCCTCACAGCCCTCACCTCCTCACAGCCCTCACAGTCCTCACCTCCTCACAGTCCTCACAGTCCCCACCTCACAGTCCCCCCCCCCTCACAGCCCTCACCTCCTCATAGCCCTCACCTCCTCACAACCATCACCCCCTCACAGCCCTCACCTCCTCACAGTCCTCACCTCCTCACAGCCCTCACCTCCTCACAGCTGTCACCTCCTCACAGCCCTCACCTCCTCACAGCCCTCACCTCCTCACAGTCGTCACCTCCTCACAGCCGTCACCTCCTCACAGCTCTCACCTCCTCACAGCCCTCACCTCCTCACAGCCCTCACCTCCTCACAGTCGTCACCTCCTCACAGCCCTCACCTCCTCACAGTCCCCACCTCCTCACAGTCCCCCCCTCACAGCCCTCACCTCCTCACAGTCCTCACCTCCTCACAGCCCTCACCTCCTCACAGTCGTCACCTCTTCACAGCCTTCACCTCCTCACAGTCCCCCCCCCTCACAGCCCTCACCTCCTCACAGTCCTCACCTCCTCACAGTCCCCCCCCCCCTCACAGCCCTCACCTCCTCACAGTCCTCACCTCCTCACAGTCCTCACCTCCTCACAGCCGTCACCTCCTCACAGCCCTCACCTCCTCACAGCCCTCACCTCCTCACAGCCCTCACCTCCTCACAGTCGTCACCTCTTCACAGCCCTCACCTCCTCACAGCCCTCACAGTCCCCACCTCCTCACAGTCCCCACCTCCTCACAGCTCTTACCTCCTCACAACCCTCACCCCCTCACAGTCCACACCTCCTCACAGTCCCCCCCCCCTCACAGTCCTCACCTCCTCACAGTCCCCACCCCCTCACAGCCCTCACCTCCTCACAGTCCCCACCCCCTCACAGCCCTCACCTCCTCACAGTCCTCACCTCCTCACAGCCCTCACAGCCCTCACCTCCTCACAGCCCTCACCTCCTCACAGTCCTCACCTCCTCACAGTCCCCACCTCACAGTCCCCCCCCCCCTCACAGCCCTCACCTCCTCACAGCCCTCACCTCCTCACAGCCCTCACCTCCTCACACGGCAAGTGGCGGCGGCGGCGAGGAGGAGGAGGAGGGGAGCAGCAGCAGTGGAGGCGGCTGTGCGAGCGGCATCTCTGCCGGGCTGCCGGCGTCTCTCTCCGGCTGGGCGGCGCCACCTCCACCCCTCGCCCAAAGTTTGGGGCGAGCTGGAGGGCAGCGAGAGGCGACGAGAAGAAGAAGAAATAGCGGCGGCGGTGGCGACGGTAGCGGCGGCGATGGTCGTGGCTGTGCCTCCGTCGGGGACGCAGTGGCGGGGGCGGCGAGAGGGGAGCGAGAGGGGAGACTTCCTCCTCCTCCCCCCCACAGCCCGGGGGAGCCAGGGGAGGGAGCGGTGGCGCATCGATTAGCGCCAACGCATCGCGTTCCAAACTCGGGCAAGCCCGCGTTCTAACTTCTCCGCTCACCGATGACAGCGACGGCGAATACCTTGAACCCAGTCCTGGGGCCTCCCCTAGGTCGACTCGGCCTTTAAAAGGCGTCACCCGTTGCGGTGTTTAAAAAAAAAACATTTGTGAGTCGTGCGGCCGGGCGTGATATTCTGGCCACACCGCCACCCCCTCGTGCACCCTGGCGGCCCTGAATATGCGGCTCGTTAACAGCGCTTGCCCCAACAGTTTGTGAGAGGCTACACGAGGAATCTTTGTCATTGTTGGGTGCGAACGCGCGTGCGTGCGTACGCGCGTGCGTGCAGGCCGGGTCACCACCCAATGAGGAGGCGAGCCTGCCGGGAGCCTGCCGGCCATGTGGCATCGCTTAGCGTCGGCGCAGTTGGACGGGCTGGGGGGCAGGGAGGGGGGGACTTTGGGTGCAGGCGTGGGGCACGGTGTGGGGGTGGGTGGTGGGCAAACGATGCCATCTCCCGTGTCTGCACATGGCGAGAAACTCCATCAGCAGAGGGGTTACAGAGCGGTGCAGGCTGGAGGCGGGGAAAGGAGCAGCCGCGGCCATGGGATGGGGACCTTTTGTCGACAGCTCTCGTCTCCTGATGACGAATCCCATCTGGGCCCAGGGCTGCCGCTTCCTCGCCGTTTAATTCGCTTGACAGAGGCCGCCACAAGTTGCCGGCGATGTTGGCCGCCGCTCGGGTTTGACCCCCGCGATATTTCCCTCTCGGCTTTCCGGTGAAACGTGACCACGTGGCCACGAGTGACATCTAAACTACACGGTTGTTGTTATCGTGCCAGAATCGTGTGGGAAGAAACTTCCATTTCTCGTTCGGCGAAATGTTTCCACGACGCGGTAGCGCTCGTGCGTTGCTGCTGGGTGGTGCTGCTGCTGGGTGGTGGTGCTGTTGGGTGGTGGTGCTTTTGGGTGGTGCTGCTGGGTGGTGGTGCTGTTGGGTGGTGCTGTTGGGTGGTGCTGCTGGGTGGTGGTGCTGTTGGGTGGTGCTGCTGGGTGGTGGTGCTGTTGGGTGGTGCTGCTGGGTGGTGGTGCTGTTGGGTGGTGCTGTTGGGTGGTGGTGCTGTTGGGTGGTGCTGCTGGGTGGTGGTGCTGCTGGGTGGTGGTGCTGTTGGGTGGTGCTGCTGGGTGGTGGTGCTGTTGGGTGGTGCTGCTGGGTGGTGGTGCTGTTGGGTGGTGCTGCTGGGTGGTGCTGCTGCTGGGTGGTGCTGCTGGGTGGTGGTGCTGTTGGGTGGTGGTGGTGCTGGGTGGTGCTGCTGGGTGGTGCTGCTGGGTGGTGGTGGTGGTGCTGCTGCTGGGTGGTGGTGCTGTTGGGTGGTGCTGTTGGGTGGTGGTGGTGCTGTTGGGTGGTGGTGGTGCTGTTGGGTGGTGCTGCTGGGTGGTGGTGCTGTTGGGTGGTGCTGTTGGGTGGTGCTGCTGGGTGGTGGTGGTGCTGCTGGGTGGTGCTGCTGCTGGGTGGTGGTGCTGTTGGGTGGTGCTGTTGGGTGGTGCTGTTGGGTGGTGCTGCTGGGTGGTGGTGCTGCTGGGTGGTGGTGCTGTTGGGTGGTGGTGCTGTTGGGTGGTGGTGCTGTTGGGTGGTGCTGCTGGGTGGTGGTGCTGCTGGGTGGTGGTGCTGCTGGGTGGTGCTGCTGGGTGGTGCTGCTGGGTGGTGGTGGTGCTGCTGCTGGGTGGTGCTGCTGCTGGGTGGTGCTGCTGGGTGGTGCTAGGCTGGCCGTGACCGATGCCACGGGTTGGGCCGGTCCGGGCCGGTCCGGGCCAAGCAAGGCCCTCTCTGTGGCACGCGGCCAGCGCCGAGGCGTCCGAGGCGTTCCGAGGCAGGCGGACACGCGGCGCTTGTAGTGCGCGAATGTTTATCACACCGACAACCAAAACACTATTTTAGGCTAAGCTGACCGAGGGGGGACTCAATGCCAGGTACGCGGTGTACCCACGATGCACACACAAACACGGGCCATGCTTGTGGGCAGTGACAACGCCGCCGCACGCTCCCGCGAGCTGCGCTCAAATCATTCAACCCGCGCCCCATCCACCAGCCCTGCGGGGTGGGGGGGGGGCGAGAGGAGTTGTCGGGGGGGGGGGGGGGGGGGGGGGGGGGGTTGGAGGCGGTGCTGGCGGTGTCGTCAGTTGGTTGGCAGTGGAGAAGGTCGTGGTAGATGCGTAACGGTGGGTGGCACAGTGGTTGGCGTAGTGCTACGAACCCCGGCGACCCCAGTTCCATTCTTGCTCACTTGCCAACAGTGACGAATATCTGTACCGGTCCTTGGCTACCCCGAGGTCGACTCAGCTTGACATTCATTCTCGGTGCGCTGTGTAACCACGAGCACCGGGGAGACATCGGCGGCCGGGCGTGGTGCAGGTCACCCACCCTTTAGTGTGCCTTCATAGTGCTGTTTGCGAGCAGCACTAATAGCTGCTCCCAAACAGTACTTGCCCCAAAAGTCTGTGAAGGACATCTTAGATGGTGGGTGAGCGGTGTCGTTTGGTGGTGACGCCATTGGCTTCATGAATGGCCAGGGCAGGGTAGGGGGGGAGGGTCGGCGACTCGAGACGCAGCTGGGATGCGGGCTGTGGCCGCGCCGAGCCTCCTGTCTGTCAGCGGGAGCCACGTGGCCTCGGGGCGTCACTCACCGGGGCGCGGGGCTTCCACCCCGCGCCGTCCCAGACACCCGCTCTGCCCTCATTAGGAGGCGGCGGCGCCGGATGGCTGCGGCTGAAGGAACTGCCCGCCTCAAATCTGCGGCGATCACACAGCTCGCGTTGTCCACAAACGCTGCCCCTGCGGTAATACCTCGACTGGCCAGAGATGTGCGCGGTCACGACCACCAGCACCAGCACCATCTTCACAAGCAGCACCTTCAATCCCCGCCATTCGTCACTCAGTGACGGCGACGTCACCAGGGCGCCTGTGCCTGGCCAGGTCCACTTTGAGGCCACGTGAAGTGTCGAAGGCTCGCTGACAGGAGGTCTCCAGATAGACCCTGCAGGTGCCATGGGTTGGCTGACTGAGATGACCGGTAGATGCACTACCAGCTGTACCCCCTACTGTGCCAATTTGCTGCATTTTATCCGCTCGGCGTTCCGCTCGTTGTTGTGAGCGTCGCTCCTCTGCCCCCCGTTGTTGTTGGAGGGCGACTGCCTCCAACTGCCCAGTAGCAGCGTCCTTCACGAGCCTCCTCCACGGAGGCAGATCTTGACACCGCTGGTGCACCAGCACTACCACCAGCACCACCACCTGCACCAGCAGGAGAATCGCGCGGGCAGCCCAACTGGATCGATGAATTCGAGGCCTTGGCCGCGTCAGTGCACCACGTGCTCTGCTGCTTGAACAGCAAATTAAAATTAAATTGTCGCGTTACAGTTGGGCTCATTATTATGATTCCGCTATTTACCCAGGGAAGTCTCACCGAGTCCCAAGGCTCTTCGTCAGAAAGGTCCGGCCAAGTTTTCGCACAAGGCGGGGATGTTGCTGCAAATGGGCAATCCCAAATGCGTAATTTGCAGGTAGTGTTCTCATCATTGGGATGCTTTGGCCAATACGAGTTACATTTTGTTTCTTAGCTATTGGAGGAAGCCGAAGAACCCAGAGGAAACCCATGGAGAACAGGAGGAGAACATGGAGAACAGGAGGAGAACATGGAGAACAGGAGTAAGGAGGAGAACATGGAGAACAGGAGGAGTAAGGAGGAGAACATACCAACCTCGGACTGAGAGGCGTCCAAGTCAGGAAACGAACCAGGGGGCTTGTTGCTGTGATGCACGACTGCTGGAGTCAACGTAACCGCACAAACGAAACACGTAAACGAGGCCCCATCACCCCCGACACTCCGATCTCTCCACTGGCTCCCAATCCAATCGAAGATCAGTTTCAATATCGCGCTCATCAGCCGCGGCCGGCGACGCCGTCGCAAATTAGCGGCGTCCCAGCAGCGACGCGCGACGAACCCCGCCGCGTGCCGAGACCCACGGCGGCCGTGAGTCTCGGCGCGCGCGAAGTTTTAACATCGCGGGAGACTCCACGCGCGACTCGTGCAGCGCCGCCGCCGCGTTCGCCTCGGAGCGTGCGAGAACGGCCCGCGGAAGCGGATGTCGAAGACCTCAATCCGAGATCCACCTCCAAGTGACCTGGGCCCCGCACAGCAGGTAGAGCAGCATGTTCCCAGCAGGCATAGTGCCCTGCAGGGTCAAGTTCGTCGCAGGACGGCTAAAGTTATATATTTTTTTAATCTCAGAACTGGAATTTATAGATGACCGGGCTGAGACCATCAACTAATTACAATTTCTACAATTGAGAATATAGTTAATTCACAACTCAAGTCTATGTAACTCGAATTAATTCTATGTTACTCTTTGTAAGTCTATGGGTCTCGATGTGGGTCTGTGAGTGTGTCGATGCGAGTCTTTCGTCATAGCTCACACTTGAGGACCCAGTTAAACCACAGGCGGCTAAATCCCGATTTCAAACCCAGGATGTCGGCAGCGGTGGGTCTGACCTTTGAGCCACCCGGCAGCCTCTTCATGGCAACACGAACATAGACTCGCATCACCGCTCCCATCGCGATGGCCTCTTGCATCGCCCTTTCACTGCAACGCCGTGGCGATTTCTGTTTGCTCCGTTTTCTGTTGGGTTGTCTCTGCTCTGATTGCCGTTTGGTTGATTATTGTACCGTGCTTGTTTTAATGCTATTGTATTTGTCATTGTGGTGACGCAGGTCACCCCTGCTAATGAGACTCATATCCTGTTCTCTCGAGGTCAAACCACCCGCTCACACGGAGTCAACTTGGATCTGAGTCTAAATGAAACCATCTCGTCTCTCTTGTTAGCGCCGTTGGGGGGGGGGGGGGGGGGGGGGGGGGGGTCGCGGCGTTGGAGGATCACGCAGAGATGATCAGCTGGTGTGCTGCGAGACGCGTGCACTGCGCCACGAGGAGGCTGGTGGGTGGCGGTACAGCAAGAGGGATGGCTGCTCTCAATGAACGCCGCTCGCTGCCCTTGGAAGTGGAACGCGAGAACGAGCGGCGCCATCTGTCGGCACCGCACGGGGGCGGGGGAGGACAGGGAGAGGGCGGCAGGGGCTCGATGGGTGTTGCAGGAGGAAGAGGGCGAGTGTGGGGTGTGAGAGAGAGGTGCGAAGAGGGGATGGGTTACTGGGAGAGGGGGGGTGTTGGGGGAGCAGGTGGGAGGCTTGTGGGGGAGGGGCGAGGTTGAGAGAGTGGGAGACGGGATTGGTGGATGATTCATTAATCCATCGCGGCGTCACGTGTCGCTACCGGGTCAGACGCCACGGTCCCACGCCTCCCATCTCACCGCATCGCCACCATCGTCGGCCATAATCAATCCACTGCTGGATGAAGGCCTCCCCAAGCAGACACAATCTCTCACGGTCCGGTATTCACTCCGAGTCTCAAGACACAGGAGCGGCGATAATTGTTGCCGATGATGTTGCTGATGCTGCTGATGATGATGAGACAAGTAACACTGCAGATTACAGTCCTGACGCATTTGACCGTGGCGCTGTCGTGGCCACCCCTGCAGAGGGAGGTATGGTCAGGTCGTCTCGGCCTTCCTCCCCCCTCGTTCGTAGAGAACGCTGGGAAAGAGGCACCCCCCATGCCCAACTAACTCGTGATGAGCTCTCGCACTCAGCGTGCGCGTGAGCGCGTACCTGGGCAGGTGTGTGCGGGGGCGGTGGGGAAGAGGGGGAGGAGGGAGGGGTCTGGGCCTCAGAGCCCCCCCCCGTCTCTCCCCGTGCCATCTGGAGTCGCCAGCCACACTCCGCCACCCCTGCAGCTCGCGGAGGGCGGGGGACTTGGGAAGAGGAAACGGAGCCCCCGTTTCTTAGTGCGGGGGGGAGGGGGAGCTCAGCCCCCCCCCCCGCTCCCCCCTCTTCCACGTTTGCAGAAAATGAGTTTGTAACGTGTTACACGTGCCTGACGATTGTTAAAGATGACGAGGGCGCTATCCCACTCGCCAACCAGCCACTCATAACTGCAGGGCTCTACGCTTATCCCGAAGTCGCGTTCACATCTCCAGGCGATGCACCCCCCCCCTCTACCACCCCGCCCCCACATCCCCCGCCCCCCTAAATTGATGGACGAGCAGCTGAGCCGCGGGCTGTGCTCATTGGCGCTCGAGTCGGGCGCGCCTGGAAATCCCGCGCCCTGATGAATAATTAACGAGCTACGGGGAGATGGAACGCGACGGACTCGCCCCAACTCGTGTCCACCACCCGGTGAAGGCGACGATACTGGATGTGGTGCGTCGGGCCTGGCGTGTCGATTCCGTTGCGAGTGCAGTGATCTCGCCCTGCTACCGTTGCTGCCCACCACGTGCTCTGCACGAGGTAGCGGCGCGGCCCTGCAATGGCTCGCCCACGTCACTGCTGGCAGAAGGGCCTCTTCACCAAAGGGTGTTCCAGAGAGCCCCTCGACTCTTCCACGGCTAAAAAAATATTTCCGAGACCTCGAATCCCCCCTTCTGTCATCTCTCTGCTATGACAAAGGGCAATTACCCAACACGTTGGCCATTACATCTCCTATTTAGGGCCGGTGTTATTCACGACTGCGTTGAGTTATTTACACTCCTACGCGGATACATGTGTGTGAGTACACGTGTGTGTGAGTACACGTGTGTGTGGGTACATGTGTGTGTGTGGGTACACGTGTATGTGTGTGTGTGTGGGTACACGTGTATGCGTGTGTGTGTGGGTACACGTGTGTGTGTGGGTACACGTGTGTGTGTGAGTACACGTGTATGTGAGTACACGTGTATGTGTGTGTGGGTACACGTGTATGTGTGGGTGTGGGGGGTACATGTGTGTGTATGGGTACACGTGTGTGTGTGTGGGTACACGTGTGTGTGTGGGTACACATGTATGTGTGTGTGTGTAGCGGTAGTGTAGCGGTTAGCGCGCTGCGCTATGACCCGGGTTCGATTCCCGCTCACGGACAACAGCAGTGACGATTATCTGAACCAGTCCTGGGCCTCCCCTAGGTCGACACAGCCTCAAGTGAGTACCCGGTGCGGTGTGTAAACAGCGCCACTGGGGAGACAAAGGCGGTCGGGCGTGGTGCTGGCCACCCACCCCCTCGTGTACCGTTCCGGCCTTCATAGGTGCTCGCTAACAGCACTTGCCCCTCCAGTCTGTTAAGGCTATAGGGGGATCTTTGTGTGTGCGTGTGGGTACACGGGTGTGGGGACAACAAACCCTGATTAGTTCTCCCTTGCGCACCCCGCGTTGTCCCAAACGGAGCTCCAGAGCAGTCGGAGGAGCGGCCCCCTCCCCGGCCCCCTCCCCCGGCCCGTAATTAGGGCCCATTCTCATGCAAATGTCCCTGCGGCTCATTAAGCACGTCTCGTGATTGGCGAGCACGTGGCGAGCGGGGCTCTCTCCGCCACAACTCCCACGCCTCAGCACGAGAATCCAGATTGGTTCTAGACCCTCTTCGTCTGGCGAAATCGGTCGAACCTTCGCTAATTATTCGTGCTTCAGAACCACAGCCAAAGCACACAGAGCACGCGCTACCACACAGAGCACGCGCTACCACGCGCTACCATTCCACTGGGGGACTGAGAGGCCTCCTCCCCACGCCGTGCGAGTCCTGGGGGTTATTTGACCATACTTCACACACATACACGTGGAGATTAAGTGCTCCCCGCTGCAAACGTAGCGTCACACAGCACGCGCGCGTGAAATGAAGAGATCGATCGATTAATCAGTCAATTTTTTTTAATTATCGACAGATGGCGATGGCATTAACCCAAGTGGATGTTTGGTTGCGTTTGTTAGATATAAAATAAATGGTTTTGCATGCAGAGCACATCTGTGTGATTGATCTCGGCTGCGACACCAACCCGGCCACGCAAGTTTCTCGCTCACGGCGAACACCAAGGACGTCTGAACCGAGTGAGCGTCTGATGGGGTGTGATGTGTAAACATCGCCACTGGGGAGACAAAGGCGGCCGGGCGCGGTGCTAGCAATCGACCTCCTCGTGTTCCGTTCCGGTCTTCATAGGTTTCTCGCTAATAGCACTTGCCCCAACAGACTGTTGAAGCTATAGGGGGGATCTTTGTCTGGTGCACGTGCATATGTGCGCGTCTCGCTCCGCCGCCGCCGCTGTAATTCCCTCCTCGCGGTAATTGCCCATTAAGAGGCGCGCGCACCTGCGCACGTGGCACCCTGCCAGGCGAGCGCACTCATGGCCACGCGACTTCCAACCAAACCACCTCTCTAGACAACCACCTCTCTAGACAACCACAACGACCTCTCTACACAACCACCTCTCTAGACAACCACCTCTCTAGACAACCACAACCACCTCTCTACACAACCACCTCTCTAGACAACCACCACCATCTCTCTAGACAACCACCTCTCTACACAACCACCTCTCTAGACAACCACAACCACCTCTCTAGACAACCACCTCTCTAGACAACCACCTCTCTAGACAACCACCTCTCTAGACAACCACCTCTCCAGACAACCACCTCTCCAGACAACCACCCCTCCAGACAACCACCCCTCTAGACAACCACCCCTCTAGACAACCACCCCTCTAGACAACCACCCCTCTAGACAACCACCCCTCTAGACAACCACCCCTCTAGACAACCACCCCTCTAGACAACCACCCCTCTAGACAACCACCCCTCTAGACAACCACCCCTCTAGACAACCACCCCTCTAGACAACCACCCCTCTAGACAACCACCCCTCTAGACAACCACCCCTCTAGACAACCACCCCTCTAGACAACCACCCCTCTAGACAACCACCCCTCTAGACAACCACCCCTCTAGACAACCACCCCTCTAGACAACCACCCCTCTAGACAACCACCCCTCTAGACAACCACCCCTCTAGACAACCACCCCTCTAGACAACCACCTCTCTAGACAACCACCTCTCTAGACAACCACCTCTCTAGACAACCACCTCTCTAGACAACCACCTCTCTAGACAACCACCTCTCTACACAACCACCTGTCTAGACAACCACCTCTCTACACAACCACCACTACTAGCTCGGGTTCTGTCTCGACACACCACCACTGACCGTATCCACCGTCATCGTCACCAACACGACCACAACCAGCCAGGGTTCTCTCTCTGCACACCACAACAACCACCACGAGCCCCCGGGATCTATATACACAATAAGCACCACAACCATCATTGTCACCGCAACCATGAATGCCAACACCGGCACTACCACCAGCCCGGGTCATCCACCCACCCTACAACAACAACCGCCATTCACCACTAAGTGGAGGTGACGTCACCACGACGCTTGTGCCAGGCCATGTGCACCTTGAGGCCACGTGAAGTGTCGAATGCCCGCTGGCAGGAGGTCACCGGGCAGACCCAGGTGCCACGGGTCAACTGACTGAGACGACCGGCTGATGCACCACCTGTGCCCCCTACTGTGCCAACCTGCTGTGCTTTAGCCACCCGGCGCTCCGCTCGTTGTTCTGAGCGTCGCTCCTCCGCCCTCCGTTGTTGTTGGAGGGCGACTGCCTCCAACTGCCCAGTAGTGTCCTTCACGAGCCTCCTCCACAGAGGCCGATCTTGACACCGGTGGTACCAGTCATCGGCAAGTCCACTCAGCTCCACGTCCTCCTGTACCACGTCACTCCATCTCTTCTCCAGCCCGTGCTGCGCCCATTTAGCCCCCTCTATCTGGCCGAACAAAAGCTGTTTAGGCATGCGGTGGCTGGGCATGCGGGCTACATGATCCAGCCAACGCAGCCTTGCCTGCCGGAGATCACCGATGGAATTTGTCCAGATCTTTCAAGGATTTGTGAGCTCCTCACACAATCCAGCCTGGTTAAACCCAGGATGGATCGTAGGCAGGCTACCCTAAATGTTTCCAATCGGCGAAGGTGCTCCATTAGGGGGGTCCACGTTTCGCAAGCGTAGAGAAGGAAGGGAATAGCCGTGGCAGAGAAGACTTGAAGCTGCGTGCGGAGCGACAGACCAGGTAGCTTCCACACAGCGTTACGCAAGCGATGAAAAGATATTGCCGCTCGACTGATTCGGAGTGAGACCTCTGCTGTTAAACTGGAGCCGGTCATGAGCACACTGCCCAGGTATGGGAAACTCTTCACTCTCTCCAAAACTGCCCCATCACCGATTGGAAGTTGTGGGGGGGGCGGAGTGCCTGATGGTACAAAATACCCAGGCAGGTGCTTAGTTTTGGTGGGGCTGATGATAAGGCCCCACCTCTTAGTGGCAAGCTTCAGGTTCAGCAGCAGCTCCTCTAACTCCTCCTCTGAGTGAGCAGCAATTACCAGATCATCGGCATACATAACGTGGTTGACCAATAGGGAGCCATCCCTTGACCGCACCCGGGCATCGATCAGCCTCCCATTGTATCTGTACCAGATGGATATTCCTCTGGTACAGCCATTTAAGGCTTCAGGAACTACGTGGACGAAAAATATGTTAAATAATGTGGGAGCCAGAGGACGTCCTTGTCGCACCCAAAGGTGTGCAGGGAATGGCTCTGACTTCCGTCCACGTAGTTTTACCCGGGCCTGCTGACCATTATGAAGGTCCTTAATGATCATGAGCAAAGGGTCAGGGACTCCGAAAGGACGAAGAACAACCCAGAGCCAAGGCATACTGATGGTATCATAGGCCTTGACCAGGTCAATAAAGCAGAGATGTAGGTCTTCTTGGAATTCCCTACACCTCTGCTGTAGCAAACGGACAAAAAATATGGCATCTGTGCAGGACCGCCCTTTACTGAAACCACATTGAGGCTCCGCAAGCCTCTCCTCAGCGTGCCTGGCAAGGCGATGTTGAATAATCCTTGCTAGGACCTTTCCCGGCACCCTGAGGAGTGAGGTGCCCCTGTAGTTGTTACAGTCTGTGCGGTCCCACTTCTTAAAGAGGGGGACCACAAGGGCAAAAACACCACCACGAACATCACCTCCATCATCCCCATCGTCCTCGCAACCAACACCGAGCCACACGCAGGGCAGCAGAAGCCACGAGTTTATTTGGTAAAGTCTCCCGTGGATTGGGGACTCGTACAAATGGTCACGCTGGGGGGCCGCCTCGCGCCCCACCCAAACCGCCCATCCGCGTCTCCGGGCCACGCGCGCATCCCCGCAGCGGCTCGAGACGCCGCGGCCAATCTCCAGGCTCGACTATCGTATCCTCCGGATCATGAGACGCATGCCCACATGTTGCTTTAGAATACAGGAGAGAAAAAAAGTTCCTCATAATCCAGAGGATAGGGTAACCCTATCCCCTGTGGCGTAGCTGTCAGGTGCGCAGGCAGTGCGACTGCACCAGGACCCAAGGGTGAGAGGGGCTCAGGTGCCAAGCTGCGGAGAGGGGAGAACGGAACAGGGGGCGCCACTTCCATTCCCTCCACCAGGGCCGACGATGCCAACAATCGCGCGACGCCGCTGCGTATCCCCAACGCCGAACCCGTCCCGGACCCTGCCCGCTTCACCACCCTTGGCCAGGGTGTGCACATCGGGCCCAGCCTCGGCGTACAGCGGTGCCTTGGGCAAATGCAGCATTGAGCGCCCCTTGAAATTAAATCCGCCGCTAACGCCATTCTCCCTGTCCCTCGCCCCGTGCCGCAGGGCGCCCCGTGCCGCAGGGCTCCGCGTTCTCGGGGCCGCGCTGCGTGCCGTTAAGCTCGCTCTGCGTGCTGCGAGATGGAAACGAATTCGTTTTATGCCGAACAACGCGCGGCACAACCCGAATATTCCCGTGAGAGCGCGAGACCCGTCACCTGCCGTGGCTAGTCGCCAGCGCGGTTGCGTCTGTCCGCCGCGTGCGGTTGCCTATCAGGGACTGGGGGTTGCAATGCCCCTCGCGGCTCTGTGTCCTGCTGGGGCCACACCGATCGCCCACGCCAAAGGGCCAGGCCGAGCGCCGATTTAACTCGCCCCCCCCCATCCCCGAACCCAGGTCCCCAAAACCCAGCCGTGTTTGGTGGCAGCGGGGCTCGTCAGAGCAGTGGGGTTCACCACTCCCGCAGCGCCGCGCGCGCTCCGTGCCAACTCCACCGCTGAGCTGACGCGCGGTGCACTCAAGGCACAGGCGAAATATTCACGTCTCGGCGACAAATAAATAAAATGACCACGTTAAAAACGTGTTCTTCACACACCCCGAGTGAAAATGAAATCGGCCGCTTTTGGTGGGCGTTTGATGCTGCTCAAGAAATGTGCCGCTTCCACCAAAAGCCACGCCCCTCACGTCGACAGGAACGGCCTTCCGCAGCCACTGACCGCCGCTCCCTTCGATTACGGTTTGAGCCGATCCCAATCGACGGAGACGCGCCGCTGCACCGTGCCGCTGCACCGCGCCGCTGCACCGCGCCGCATGGCGAGGCGGGGACGCGGACGCGCGGGGAGAACGCAGCAACCGGCCAACTCCGTTCTGACGACCCTGATGCGACAGCTCGCGTTACAAACTCCACCGAGCCAGCAGCGTGTCGTTCCAGATAAACTACGACGGGATGCCAAACTCGGAAGGCCATCCTTTCCCGACGTCACCCGGCGCGAGCTCCCCCCCCCACCACCCCCCCGCTCGGGATGCCTCGACCAACCCAACCGATGGCGCCTTCGTGGGCGCTCGCTCACAGCCACGTGTGTGCACGCAAACTTCGGCTGCGGGTAATACAAATCAGTGCCGCATGGGGATTTCCTGGAGCGTGGCTCGAGCGGGGTCGGTGGTCGCGCCGCCAACCCCCCAACACCTCCAGCCTCTCCGCGGCGCCAGCGGAGCCGCGAGCGATAGTCACTCCGACATGCACGTGCTCTCGCTCTCGTCCAGCAGCGCCGGCCTGTCCCTCGCGCTCCTGCCGAGGACGCCGCCGTTGTTGAGCGTGCCCGCGGGGAAGTGTTTGCAGTCGCCCTCCAGACTGCTGGCGCTGCCGTGGTTTGCGAAGAAGTCTCCTCCAACTCCTTCCTCGCCCAGCCCGGGCGCCGGTTCCTCCTCCTCCTCCTCCGCTTCCTCGCCATTGCCGATCTCCTCGCCCTTGACGGCGAACGCCGCGAAGTCCTCGCCGGCGCTGACCGGCGCGCCTCCCCCTGCGCCCCCCGCGTATGGGCGCCGGCCCCGTTCGTCGGCGCGGGCACCGCACGGCGACCGCGCCACCGCCAGCGCCGCCGCCTCCCGGCACCGCTCCGGCACGCCTGGGTGGCGGTGGTGTGGCAGCTGTTGCTGCGCGCGCGAGCGCAAGTGGCGCGCGCGCAAGCGCTGCTCGCGGAAGAAGGCCGTGACGGTGGCGCGCGCCAGCCCCAGCTGCGCGGCCAACGTGTGCACGGCCTCCGTGTCCGGGTAGGGCCCCACGTCCTGCACGAAGCTCTGCAGGATCGCCAGCGCCTCGTCCGAGATCCCCGTCGCCGCCTCCCCGGGCTCGGCGTCCGGGCGAGCCTCCTCGCTCGGGGGGGCGGCCGCGATGGCGGAGGTCGGCAGGGACGACGGTGCCGACGACGAGGATGAGGAGGCGGGAGGCAGGGAGGTCAGCGAAGAGGAGGAGGAGTCGAGGCTGGCCGTCGCTGGTTTTGAGGACAGAACCTGGTTGACGGCCTGCTGCTGGGGAGACACGCGCCCCCATGCGATGCCACACGCGGTGCCACACGCGGTGCCACACGCGGTGCCACACGCGGTGCCACACGCGGTGCCACACGCGATGCCACACGCGGTGCCACACGCGGTGCCAAATGGAGGCAGTTTCCGCCCCCTCCTCAAATGTTCCCGGTGTGCATCGCAGATCATTCTAAAGATTTTCCATGAGCGTGATATTGTAAATAATTCATATGCCATATGCACATTTCATTGTAAATTCATGGAACATTGTAATTTGAGTGTTGAGTAGCTGCCACAGCGGTGTAATGGTAGCACCGCACTGCACCGGCAACCCGGAGGTCGCCAGTTCGATTCCATCTCCTGGAACGGCAGCTGAAACAATGTGGCGAGTTTCCTCAATCCGACCACCTGCCCCCAGCACCCAGCAGTGTACACGAATACTCCACCACCACCACCGTTAAGTCTATTGGCAGGCCTCGTGCGGTGGGGTAAAGTGTGGGTACGGCCACTTTTTGCAACAGTTCTGGTCAGCGTGGAAGAGAAGACCAAGCACCCTGCAGAGGGGATTTCGAGAGCTCCCTCGAGCGGAGGCCCTTCCGCCAGCAGTGGCGGAAGTGAGCCCTTGCAGGACTGCGCCTTTACCTTTTAACGACCTTAAATAATCATACCCGATCTGTAAATCGTACTTTCATTAGCGCGCCACCTCGGCCAATCATGCCAATGCCGAATAATGACAATTCACTCAACTGGCATTCCACGTGGCAGCAGCAACCTCAGCCTTGGCAGGATGATCCTGGGGAGGAGTCTAGAGACTCGCGTGACGCTTTCCTGGCCACACCGCAGGCGTGCGTCACAAACGAACTCGCCACGCTCCCACCGAGGGTTCTCCACGCGGTTGCCCCGACGTTCGCGAGCGCCCACCTGGATGGAAGCGTCGAGCGAGACGGAGGGGCCCATCTGGGCGCCGCCGCCGCCAGCGCCGCACGGCTGGCTCTGTTGCACGGGCTGGCACGCGTGCTGCAGGTGCAGGTGGTTGGCGGGGAGCCCCGCCTGCTGCTGGTGATGGTGGTGCTGGAGGTGCTGCTGGTGGTGCAGGTGCAGCGGCGGGTGGTGGTGGTGGTGGTGGTGGTGCGGGTGGAGGTGGGGGTGCGGCTGGTGGTGCGGCGGCGCCGGCGCTCCCATCTCCTCCTGGTAGGCGGCGTCGCGCTCGGCGCGAGGCAGTGCCAGGAAGCGCTGGATGGTGCCCAGGTTCTCCCAGAGCGTCCGGTTCTCCAGCGTCGGGGTCTCCTTCCAGCGCAGCAGCTCGCATAGCCAGCCCTGATGCACACGCGGCACAGGGACGAGGGAGTGGGCGGGCGGGGGGGCGAGCGATTGGGTGGATGGTTGAACGAGTGCATGAGCAAGCGAATGAGCGAGTGGTTTACTGGTACTGGGCGAGTAGTGTAAGTGCGAGAGCTCAGTTCACGATTAGGATCACAGCCGGTGCCGAGTAGGGCCACAGTTGTGGGGAAGACTGTTTAGGGGCCAGGGGTCATTCTTCTCCACGGCCGCCAGCGAGTGGCAGAAGAGGCCTCGGCCCTGGGGAACGAAGCATTCTCCTCTCACCGGCGGCACCGCAGGCGTCACGCAGACGTCACGTGTGGCGCTTAGCTGAGGGAGGGGCCTCGACGCTCACCGGCTGCCCCCCCCAACTCCCCCAATGTCCCAGCATAAATGAGTTTTGTTCCGCAGCGGTGCCCCCCACACTGCGATCCCCGCTCTCTCTCTCAGCTGCTCCCGGCTCGCACTGCTGACCCCGAGATACAAATTAAACCGGCCCCTCGTGGGAGACGCAGCAGAACTCTTGATCCCTGTATGCTGACATTTGGGCTTGGGTATTAACCTTTACACTAAATAGGATTAAACACCGATACAATAAATGCGTACGAAATAACCGTAAACAACAACAACATAACGCAACGTGCGCATCGCTTGGGGGCCCACCGGAGGCGATGACATCCGAGATGCGTCCAGACGCTCGATCCAAATCACAGCCTCGCACCGACCCATCATCCGCCCCGGGTCGATAAAGCCAGTACCGCCGTGTTGTACATCAGCAGTGATTCGTGACAACAAATAGGCACACCCCGGCCTTTATTTTCATAAATGACCACATCACTGTGTTCATGAGCATTGATATTCCCGGCCACTTCACTTGTGCTCGTATCCACAGTGGTTGGCCCTACGGAGATACTCGCCACTGCCATAGGAACGTGGGATTTCCACCACGAGCTCAGGGCTGCCAGAGGTGACCACTGCACAGCAGGGAGAATATCCAGCTGCTTCGTCCGGCTTTGCCCGGCGTGGCCGAGAGCAACGAGCAAGCGAGCGGTAGCCCAGAGGACGTCCACCGCAGAGCGCGCTGCCCGTGGCTACTGCTGCTGCGACTGATGGTGATGAGGATTGCGGTGAGGATGGGGGTGAGGATTGTAGTGAGGATGGCGGTGAGGATGGCGGTGAGGATGGCGGTGAGGATGGCGGTGAGGATGGCGGTGAGGATGGCGGTGAGGATGGCGTCTGCCTCACCTGGCTCTTCATGACGGCCACCTTGGCGAAGAGCGCCTGGGAGACCTTGGCACGCTTCATCTCCTGCTGGATCTCGTCGTAGATGGCGGCGGTCACGGCCCCCCCAGCGCCACCGGCGCCGCCACAGCCACCGCCGCCCTCCTCCGCCTTCAGCAGCGGCTCAGGGGCTCGCGCCTGCGACAAAAGACCACGACCGCGACTCAAATCACGAGACGGAATAAACCAGAAACTATACCAGCCAGTGGTACTTCATCCCTGGTGAAGTGAATTCTTGCGTGCCCAGCGCCCCTCGTGTACGCGGCTATCTGCACATCCACGTTCGTTTTTATCCGTGCGCGCACGCGCGTGAATCCGTCTGCGCGTCGCATCGCGCGTGCGTGCCCCGCCGCCCGCGTGCCCCGCCGCCCGCGTGCCCCGCCGCCCGCTCCTCGCCTGCGGAGAGTAGGCCCGTCCCTGCCACGCGGCGGCGGCCGTGGCCGAGGCGTAGGGCGGCGGCGGCGGCACCATCAGGGTCACGGCGCCGCCCCCGCAGGCCCCCCCGGCGGCGCCGGCGCGCTCGCGCTCGCGCAGGTAGAGCAGGTCGCGGTCCGCCTCGCCCAGGTCCAGGAAGCCCTGCATGGCGCGCAGGTTCACCAGCAGCGACTGCGACGCGGTGCCCGGCTCCTCCTCCTTGCGCAGGATCTCCGACAGCAGGCCCTGGCGCGCCCGCGCGGCGGGGAGGGAGGCAGGGGAGCAGGGACGGGCGCCGCCGGTGGCAAACCGTTGACCCGGCAACGAGACGCCGCGGGTGAGGGGAAGGAGTTTCAGGCGCACGACGCTTGCTCGGACTCCTCGGCAACTCTCGAACGTTCCGTGCTCCGATGCGGTCGAACCCAGGGGACCTCCCAGTGGCAGCCGTCCACAAACGGCACTAGGCGTGTGCGGCACAATGGGCATAGTCTGCCAGTAGGGGGCAATGTATACTTAGAGCCATCTGTCAATCCACTGCTAGATGAGGGCCTACGCATGCAGCTCAGGCTGTTGCGGTTATTTGACCATACTTCACCACGCTGGTCAGTACGGGTTAGGCGAGGGAGCGCAGCGTAGACGTGGGAGCATCGAGGTGCGGCATGATGGATTTTTGCCGCGCTGCCCGAGCAATGGCCCAACATAGGAATACGCAAGGCCCTGGCCGACGACGCGACCACCCACGTGACCCACGTGACCCACGCATGCGAAACCCCGGGTCGCTCGCGAACGGCGCAGCCGCCACCCCCGGCCCTCCTCACCTGAGTGCGGTTGAAGGCGACGCGCGCGAACACGGCCTGCGATACGCTGGCGCGCTTCAGCTCCTCGCGCACGCGCCGGTAGATGTCGGGCCGCACGTCCGTGCCGGGCTCTTGTTTCACGGCGAGGCCCTCGGCGAGCTGCGGGTGCGGCGGCGCCGTCACCTGGCCCACGAACGCCTCGCCGGGAGGTCGCGACCCCCGCTCGCCGGCTACCGCCACCGCCGCTCCAACCATCACCTGCTGCTGCTGCTGGCCCATGAATCGCGGCGTGCCGAACTGGTGCGCCGTACCGAACTGCGCCGGCAAGCCGCCCATGGGCGCCGGCGGCAGCGGGAAGGTGGCGGTGGTGGCCGGGAGGTGCGGGACCGGAGCGGCCGCCTCCGGCTCCGGTAACCGACTGGGTGCGTGGGTGGCCTGGCTGGGGCCCTTGGCCTCGTCCGGCCCAGGGAGGAAAGGCTCGCTGTCGGACGGCGCTGTTGGGGGGGGTGGGGACAGTGGGGGGGGGGCAGGGAGTGGACGCTCGGCTTTATAGATACACACATGCACACAGTATGTAGATACACACAGTATATAGATACACACACACACAGTATGTAGATACACACACACAGTATGTAGATACACACACACAGTATGTAGATACACACACACACAGTATGTAGATACACACACAGTATATAGATACACACACACACAGTATGTAGATACACACACACACACAGTATGTAGATACACACACACACAGTATGTAGATACACACACACACACAGTATGTAGATACACACACAGTATATAGATACACACACACAGTATGTAGATACACACACACAGTATGTAGATACACACACACAGTATGTAGATACACACACACAGTATGTAGATACACACACACAGTATGTAGATACACACACACAGTATGTAGATACACACACAGTATGTAGATACACACACAGTATGTAGATACACACACAGTATGTAGTAACACACACAGTATGTAGTAACACACACAGTATGTAGATACACACACACACAGTATGTAGATACACACACACACAGTATGTAGATACACACACACACAGTATGTAGATACACACACACACAGTATGTAGATACACACACACACAGTATGTAGATACACACAGACACAGTATGTAGACACACACACAGTATGTAGACACACACACAGTATGTAGATACACACAGTATATAGATACACACACACACAGTATGTAGATACACACACACAGTATGTAGATACACACACACAGTATGTAGATACACACACACATTATGTAGATACACACACACACATTATGTAGATACACACACACAGTATGTAGATACACACACACAGTATGTAGATACACACACACAGTATGTAGATACACACACACAGTATGTAGATACACACACACACAGTATGCAGATACACACACACAGTATGCAGATACACACACACACACAGTATGTAGATACACACACACACAGTATGTAGATACACACACACACAGTATGTAGATACACACACACACAGTATGTAGATACACACACACACAGTATGTAGATACACACACACAGTATGTAGATACACACACACACAGTATGTAGATACACACACACACACACAGTATGTAGATACACACACACACACAGTATGTAGATACACACACACACACAGTATGTAGATACACACACAGTATATAGATACACACACACAGTATGTAGATACACACACACAGTATGTAGATACACACACACAGTATGTAGATACACACACACAGTATGTAGATACACACACACAGTATGTAGATACACACACACAGTATGTAGATACACACACACAGTATGTAGATACACACACAGTATGTAGATACACACACAGTATGTAGATACACACACAGTATGTAGATACACACACAGTATGTAGATACACACACAGTATGTAGTAACACACACAGTATGTAGTAACACACACAGTATGTAGATACACACACACACAGTATGTAGATACACACACACACAGTATGTAGATACACACACACACAGTATGTAGATACACACACACACAGTATGTAGATACACACAGACACAGTATGTAGATACACACAGACACAGTATGTAGATACGCACAGACACAGTATGTAGACACACACACAGTATGTAGACACACACACAGTATGTAGATACACACACAGTATGTAGATACACACACAGTATGTAGATACACACACAGTATGTAGATACACACACACAGTATGTAGATACACACACACAGTATGTAGATACACACACACACACAGTATGTAGATACACACACACAGTATGTAGATACACACACAGTATGTAGATACACACACAGTATGTAGATACACACACACACAGTATGTAGATACACACACACAGTATGTAGATACACACACACAGTATGTAGATACACACACACAGTATGTAGATACACACACACAGTATGTAGATACACACACACAGTATGTAGATACACACACACAGTATGTAGATACACACACACAGTATGTAGATACACACACACAGTATGTAGATACACACACAGTATGTAGATACACACACAGTATGTAGATACACACACAGTATGTAGATACACACACAGTATGTAGATACACACACAGTATGTAGTAACACACACAGTATGTAGTAACACACACAGTATGTAGATACACACACACACAGTATGTAGATACACACACACACAGTATGTAGATACACACACACACAGTATGTAGATACACACACACACAGTATGTAGATACACACAGACACAGTATGTAGATACGCACAGACACAGTATGTAGACACACACACAGTATGTAGACACACACACAGTATGTAGATACACACACAGTATGTAGATACACACACAGTATGTAGATACACACACAGCATGTAGATACACACACACACACAGTATGTAGATACACACACACAGTATGTAGATACACACACACAGTATGTAGATACACACACACACACAGTATGTAGATACACACACACACACAGTATGTAGATACACACACACACACAGTATGTAGATACACACACAGTATGTAGATACACACACAGTATGTAGATACACACACACACAGTATGTAGATACACACACACAGTATGTAGATACACACACACAGTATGTAGATACACACACACAGTATGTAGATACACACACACAGTATGTAGATACACACGCACAGTATGTAGATACACACGCACAGTATGTAGATACACACACAGTATGTAGATACACACACAGTATGTAGATACACACACAGTATGTAGATACACACACAGTATGTAGATACACACACACAGTATGTAGATACACACACAGTATGTAGATACACACACACAGTATGTAGATACACACACAGTATGTAGATACACACACACAGTATGTAGATACACACACAGTATGTAGATACACACACAGTATGTAGATACACACAAGCGCAAGGCGCTCACCTTTGAGCGCCTTGCGCTGCTTGTACCACTGGCCGAACTCGTAGCACTTGGTGCTGGAGATGCTGGCGTAGTAGGTGCCGTTAATGATGGACGAGATCATGCTCTGCAGCACACGGAGGCAAAGTCGTGAGTGAGCGGGGGGGAAGGCGACGGTCGCCCTCATTCGCCACCGAACAGCACGGCGCTTGTGCCATGCGAGGTACAATGCCGTGCCTAGTGAAGTCTGTGTGAAGCTCACTGGCAAGAGGGACACACCCAGATGTGACGGGTCAATTGACCGAGATGACTGGCAGATGCACCACCACCTGTGCTCCCTACCGCGCCACCTCGCTGCGTTTTAGCTGTCCGGCGCGCTCCTCGTTGTTGTGAGCGTCGCTCCTCTGCACTCCATTGTTGCTGGACGGTGACTGCCTCCAACTGCTCAGTATATGCAAGTGCACATAGCCTGGCACTGCCCGGCAGCATTTTTCATGAGCCTCCTCCAGAGGCCGATATTGACAATGCTCTGTATCATTCTGTACCATTCTGTACCACATCAGCCCACCCCTTCTCTAGGCCACGCCAATTCCCCTAGACGGCCACACAGATTCGCAGGATTCAGATATCACTCGGAATGGTCGTTGGCCTCGGTTGGGAATCAAACTCGGGTCGCCGGATTCGCGTCGCAGTCTGCTAACCACTGCGCCAACTTTCCCCACATCTCCCCCTCCCCGCGCACCAACGCACACAGAAACGCAACGTTGCACAGACACAAGGACACGGAGACACAAAGACGCACACAGCACAGACACTGATGGCCCGAGCTCATTCTTGTCCGTTGCCCTACCCCCAGCGGTCCGTGCCGTTGACTTTCCCACTTAGGTTCAAGTCCAGCGGCAAGACGATCTACGAACAAAACACGGCCAATGTTTCTGCACGGCATCTGTGTACTCGCGTAGCATCTAAATGCCGTATAAATCCGCATCGCAACTGTGATTGGAAGAGCCTCGCGTTTGACAAGGCGAGGCGGCTCGCTCCACTCCCCCTCTACTCCCCATCAGGGCGGGCTTGGAGCCAGCGAGATTGAATAATTCGCAGTGAAGGCTGCGCACCTCCGGCGCCAGGTGCAGTGTGCGGCAGCTAATTAAGGACAGAATTCTCCGTTCCGCGTTCCTAGCGCACACCTGGCGTGGGGAGTCACAAATCCCGCGGCAAATAAATCCACGCGGCCTGCGAGCGGCGGTCGCCTGCGGACAGATTTGGGCGCCGTGATGGGCACGGCCGCCCCCCCCTCTATGGGTCTCTATGTGAGTCTATGGGTCTCTATGTGAGTCTATGGGTCTCTATGTGAGTGTAGGTCTCTATGTGAGTCTATGGGTCTCTATGTGAGTCTATGGGTCTCTATGTGAGTGTAGGTCTCTATGTGAGTCTGTGGGTCTCTGTGTGAGTCTATGGGTCTCTGTGTGAGTCTATGGGTCTCTGTGTGAGTCTATGGGTCTCTGTGTGAGTCTATGGGTCTCTGTGTGAGTCTATGGGTCTCTGTGTGAGTCTATGGGTCTCTGTGTGAGTCTATGGGTCTCTACGTGAGTCTATGGGTCTCTACGTGAGTCTATGGGTCTCTACGTGAGTCTATGGGTCTATACGTGAGTCTATGGGTCGCTACGTGAGTCTATGGGTCTCTACGTGAGTCTGTGGGTCTCTACGTGAGTCTGTGGGTCTCTACGTGAGTCTGTGGGTCTCTACGTGAGTCTATGGGTATCTGTGTGAGTCTATGGGTCTCTATGTGAGTCTATGGGTCTCTATGTGAGTGTAGGTCTCTATGTAAGTCTATGGGTCTCTATGTGAGTGTAGGTCTCTATGTGAGTCTATGGGTCTCTATGTGAGTCTATGGGTCTCTATGTGAGTCTATGGGTCTCTATGTGAGTCTATGGGTATCTGTGTGAGTCTATGGGTCTCTGTGTGAGTCTATGGGTCTCTGTGTGAGTCTATGGGTCTCTATGTGAGTCTATGGGTATCTGTGTGAGTCTATGGGTCTCTATGTGAGTCTATGGGTCTCTATGTGAGTGTAGGTCTCTATGTGAGTCTATGGGTCTCTGTGTGAGTCTATGGGTCTCTACGTGAGTCTATGGGTCTCTACGTGAGTCTATGGGTCTCTACGTGAGTTTATGGGTCTCTACGTGAGTCTATGGGTCTCTACGTGAGTCTATGGGTCTCTACGTGAATCTGTGGGTCTCTATGTGAGTCTGTGGGTCTCTATGTGAGTCTATGGATCTCTATGTGAGTCTATGGGTCTATGTGAGTCTATGGGTCTCTATGCGAGTCTATGGGTCTCTACGTGAGTCTATGGGTCTATGTGAGCCTATGGGTCTATGTGAGTCTATGGGTCTATGTGAGGCTATGGGTCTCTATGTGAGTCTGTGGGTCTCTATGTGAGGCTATGGGTCTCTATGTAAGTCTAAGGGTCTCTGTGTGAGTCTATGGGTTTCTACGTGAGACTATGGGTCTCTATGTGAGTCTATGGGTCTCTATGTGAGTCTATGGGTCTCTATGTAAGTCTATGGGTCTCTATGTAAGTCTATGGGTTTCTCTATGTGAGGCTATGGGTCTATGTGAGGCTATGGGACTCTATGTGAGTCTATGGGTCTCTATGTAAGTCTATGGATCTCTATGTGAGTATGTGTCTCTATGCGAGTCTATGGGTCTCTATGCGAGTCTATGGGTCTCTATGTAAATCTATGGGTCTCTATGTAAGTCTATGGGTCTCTATGCAAGTCTATGGGTCTCTATGTAAGTCTATGGGTCTCTATGTGAGTCTATGGGTCTATATGTGAGTGTGTCTCTATGTAAGTTTATGGGTCTCTATGTGATTATGTGTCTCTATGTGAGTCTATGGGTCTCTGTGTGAGTCTATGGGTCTCTATGTGAGTCTATGGGTCTCTATGTGAGTCTATGGGTCTCTATGTGAGTCTATGCGTCTCTATGTGAGTCTATGCGTCTCTATGTGAGTCTATGGGTCTCTATGTGAGTCTATGGGTCTCTGTGTGAGTCTATGGGTCTCTATGTGAGTCTATGGGTCTCTATGTGAGTCTATGGGTCTCTGTGTGAGTCTATGGGTCTCTATGTGAGTCTATGGGTTTCTATGTGAGTCTATGGGTCTCTATGTGAGTCTATGGGTCTCTGTGTGATCCCTGAGCCACTTCGTGGCCATGTCTGGCATGTGGAGCTCTCAGGGCTTCTGCCGCTGGAGGGAGCGCCACCCCACCCTGTGGGGCGGTGGCAGCTGGCAGCTTCCTGACAGGCAGAGGAGGCGGCTCCTCATTAACGGGCCTCAGGGGCCCCCCTTGGATACCCCTCCCCCCCCCCCATCTTAAGGATTTTGGGTGGAATAAACCACAAGGCCGTGTTTCTCACGATAGCGCGGTCAGTCGCTTCCGTCACTGCGTGGGTCTCTTTAAATCCGGTTGATGCGCACGATATTTTTTAGCATTACTGTTGTAAAACGCTAAGGTGTGTGCGTGTGCACCGTGTGGTTTCCCACTCAGTGGAAGCGGTAGTGTGACGATTAGCGTGCTGCGCTACCAACCCGGCGACCCGGTTTCCATTCCCGCTCACGGCCAACAACAGTGACGATTATGTGAACTGGTCCTGGCTCTCCACAAATCGACTCGGCATTAAAAATGAGTGCATGGTGCGGTGTTTAAACCTCAGCACTGGGGAGACACTCGGTCAAGCGTAGATTCGGCCGCCCCGCCAGCCTTCATAGGAGCTGCTCGCCTACAGCACTTGCCCCAACAGTCTGTTAATGCTACACGGGGGATCTTTGTCTTTTCCCACTCACGATATCTGCGAGTTGACCCCGAGAGGTTCCCCAGCCCTGGAATATTTCAACTGGCTCAGCGGTCGAGCGAGCGGCTCGCAATCGCGAGGTTGCGAGTTCAAACCCTGGTTGGGGGGTTGACTTAGCCTATCATCCTTCTGGGTTGATAGCATAACCATTTTGTGTGGAAGTTAAAAGTGGGTGTCCCCATGGGCAGGCTCTCCTCCCACCATAGCGATGGGGAATTTCCACCACTGGCTCAGGGCTGTGAACAGGAGACGAGCAGTCCCAATTGCTACGTGAGCGGCAACGCTCTCAGACTTTTTACCCGACGGTTAAAACGAGACAGATGACCGCGGGTGAAGCGACAGAGAGCCACAGCCGAACGTTCACAGCCGAACGTTCACAGCGGCGGCCGGGAGCCTCGGTCGTCTCCCCGAGTCACCGCCACAAGGAGATAACGCGGAGTCACGCAATTATCAATTATTGATAATGAAATGAAGCAGATTATTTCACATGAACACGACTCTTTCCCTGTGATAATTCTCCCAGCAAAGCGGCGCGAAACCAGATTAACCTAGCGACCCAACATCAAAGACAGAGACAAAGATCCCCCAGATAGCCTCAACAGTCTGTTGGGGCAAGTGCTATTAGCGAGCAACCTATGAAGACCGGACCGGCACACCAGGGGGTGGGTGGCCAGCACCACGCCCGCCCGCCTTTGTCTCCCCAGTGGCGATGTTTGCACATCGCCCCAGGTACTCGTTTGAGGCTGAGTCGACCTAGGGGAGGCCCAGGACCAATTCAGATAATCGTCACTGGTGTTGGCCGTGCGCGGGAACCGAACTCGGGTCGCTAACCGTTGCACTCCCGCTCTCCCCCCCCCCCCCATCACCACTTCCACCACTAACAATATAGAAATACACAGGTGATACACCTCATCCCATCAGCCACACGGCTACTCAGGAGTGATCTCTTTCAGCAGCATTGGTTTACTACCCTCCCCTAGGTCGATCCAGCCTTAAATGAGTACCTGGTGCGGTGTCTCAACATCACAACTGGAGAAACAAAGGCGGTCGGACGCAGTCCCGGCCACACCACCCCTCGTGTGCCACGTTGGCCTTCACAGCAGCTCGCTAACAGCCCTTGCCCCGACAGTCCGTTGAGGCTACACGGGGGAACTGTGTCCGTGTGCGTCGTCGCGAGCACCTGGGACAGCGGACACTCCTTGGCCAGTGCGCTCTGGTTGGAATCTCGCAGCAGCCGCTGCAGGGCGCAGCGCACGTTGGCGTGGGTCCACTGGCCCGGGGGGAGGTCCTCCAGCCCCGGGCAGCTGTCGCCAAGGCAACCGCATCACCGCCATCATCAGTTCCGTCACCATCGCCGCACCAGCACCAGCGGCAACATCGTGAGCACAGGCGCCTCCGATTAGCACGGTCGGTTCCGTATGGTGCGCAAGAAGTTCGACATACATCGATGTACACATCATCATTGCAAACCTCACCATGGCCATTACTGGTGCAGCGGCCGCAGCATAATCACGGCAAACACAAACGATCACGGGCTGTGATCTCATCTCACGCGCGACTAATTCACAACCGATGCAGCTCTGCATCTCTGCTTCAGGTTACACGCACGCCACGCACACTAACTGCCAACCGCACACACACAATCACAAATCACAACCACTCCCAACCGCACACCGTAACCACTCACCCACACGCACAACGGTGCGCCCCGATCGCTCGCAACCATCCAACACAACCACGCGCCCCGACGACGACGCTCCGCGCGAGCCTCACCAGTGCAGGCGAATGTAGAGCGTGAGGACGTGGAAGACGTCGTGCAGCATCTCCCCCACGGTGGCCTCGGCAGCGTCGCTCACGCAGCCCAGGGGCAGCGGCTTCCACACCCCCACCCTCAGCTGCCCTGCACCGCCACGGCGCGAGGGGGGGGGGGAGATTTAACGAGGAGGAGGGCGGCAGCGTGGGCGCCATGTCGTCATCGTCTTCACCGTTATCGTCGTAGCCTCGGTCACCTTACCACGATTACCTTAAACATCGCCGTGCCGGCGTCCACAGACGCTGCTCCTCGCTGACGGCACTTGCCCCGAACGGCACGTCGTGGCTACGGGGGATCTTTGTCCTTCGGGGTGTGGTGGGGGGGGGGTCAGGACGGGCAGAGGGCCCCCCGCTCACCGGAGGCGTGCGTGGCCGTGGAGGGCGAGTAGCCCAGGGCGAGGAGCGCCGCCTCGGGCAGCCGAGCGAAGGGCGCCTCGCGGGGCACCAGCGCAAACTCCACATGCTCGCCGGGGCCCGGGCCCTCGGCTCCCAGCGCCCACTCGCCCCGCTCCACCACGCACAACAGCGGCAGCGTGCGGCCTGCGGGGTCAAGGGTCGGGGAGACCCGGGGTGAACCGTGAAGGGCGTGGGGCGAAGGGCGAGGGGGGAGACGGGGATGGGAAGGGAGGCGTGGCGTGCGACGGTGCGGGTGTGGGACCGTTACTCAAGCTCCTGCGGGGAGCCGCGGCCAGGGGCAGCCACTCGCTGCCCACGTCCTCCGTGCGGGGCGTCCCCTTGCAGGGCGGCGGCGGCTCACAGTCTCCGTCGGGGCCCACGAGGCGAGACCCCGGACTCCGGGGCGGGGGGCTGGGCCCGCTCATGCCGCTGCAGGCGGGGGCACAGAGAGAGGCGTTGGTCAATATTGAGACGTCACCGCGGCCCAAGCGGTCGATGCCATCGCCGCCGCCGCCGCCGCTACCGCGCCTCCTCGCTGCCAGGGCTCTCTCCACTCCACCAGATGCCGCCGCAGCTGCTTGCACGGAAGACACGCGGCGACCTCTCTCCCATGGTTGTCTGCTCTCCCGTGCTCTCCTCCGCGTGGTCACCAGACGCGCGGAGGCCTCTCCTCCGATGCCAGTTTCGGCAATCGGCCCCCGCGCCACGCCCGGCCAGCGCTGCCAACTCCCGCAAGCGCAGAGGCGCCAAGCGAAGCTGGGCAAGTCGCCAGACGTCGGACAATGTAACCATCGTTATTTCACAGCGCTCTGTCAATCCACTGCTGGATGAAGGCCTCCCTACGCCATGTCGGTAGTAGGGGTTGTTTGACCATACTTCAGCACACTGGTTGGTGCGGATTAATGAAATGGACCAGGGTTCAGATATCGCTCGCTGCAGGTGAAACGTGGCTGAGGACAACTTGTATAGGCCAGACTCATGGTGCAGTGCGCTAACCACAATGCCACCACTCCACACAGTTTAATGACTGCGAGGTCTCCGTGAGCTTTTTGGGGCCCATGCACTTTTGCTTAGTTGGTTCATGCAGAGCTCCGTCAGCCCGCGTGTGTGGACACGGGGTCATGTGGGTTCACTCGGGGGTCAGTTCAATCTGGGGGGGTCAGTTCACTCTGGGGAGGGGGGGGGTTCACTCTGGGGGGGGGGTTCACTCCGGGGGGGTTCACTCTGGAGGGGGGGGTTCACTCTGGGGGGGGTTCACTCTGGAGGGGGGGGTTCACTCTGGAGGGGGGGGGTTCACTCTGGAGGGGGGGGTTCACTCTGGGGGGGTTCACTCTGGGGGGGTTCACTCTGGAGGGGGGGTTCACTCTGGGGGGGTTCACTCTGGGGGGGGTTCACTCTGGAGGGGGGGGGTCACTCTGGGGGGGTGGTTCACTCTGGGGGGGGTTCACTCTGGAGGGGGGTTCACTCTGGGGGGGTTCACTCTGGAGGGGGGGGTTCACTCTGGGGGGGGTTCACTCTGGAGGGGGGGGGGTTCACTCTGGGGGGGTGGTTCACTCTGGGGGGGGTTCACTCTGGGGGGGGGGTTCACTCTGGAGGGGGGTTCACTCTGGAAGGGGGGGTTCACTCTGGAGGGGGGGTTCACTCTGGAGGGGGGGGTTCACTCTGGGGGGGGGGGTTCACTCTGGGGGGGTTCACTCTGGAGGGGGGGGGGTCACTCTGGGGGGGGGGGGGTTCACACACCTACACATACCCCTATATAACTTTACACACACACCTACACATACCCCTATATAACTTTACACACACACCTACACATACCCCTATATAACTTTACACACACACACCTACACATACCCCTATATAACTTTACACACACACACCTACACATACCCCTATATAACTTTACACACACACCTACACATACCCCTATATAACTTTACACACACACCTACACATACCCCTATATAACTTTACACACACACCTACACATACCCCTATATAACTTTACACACACACCTACACATACCCCTATATAACTTTACACACACACCTACACATACCCCTATATAACTTTACACACACACACCTACACATACCCCTATATAACTTTACACACACACCTACACATACCCCTATATAACTTTACACACACACCTACACATACCCCTATATAACTTTACACACACACCTACACATACCCCTATATAACTTTACACACACACCTACACATACTCCTATATAACTTTACACACACACACCTACACATACCCCTATATAACTTTACACACACACACCTACACATACCCCTATATAACTTTACACACACACACCTACACATACCCCTATATAACTTTACACACACACACCTACACATACCCCTATATAACTTTACACACACACCTACACATACCCCTAGATAACTTTACACACACACCTACACATACCCCTATATAACTTTACACACACACACCTACACATACCCCTATATAACTTTACACACACACCTACACATACCCCTATATAACTTTACACACACACCTACACATACCCCTATATAACTTTACACACACACCTACATACATACCTCGAGGGACTGCGTTTAAGATGAAAATCGCGGTTAATAGGATGTGGCGGTTAAGAGTACGTGGCGGTTAAGAGTACGTGACGATTAAGAGTACGTGGCGGTTAAGAGTACGTGGCGGTTAAGAGTACGTGACGGTTAAGAGTAAGTGGCGGTTAAGCACGGAATACTTCCTCTGTGGCGGCAGTTCAAGAGTCACCGTGGTAGATGAACAGGACAAACCACTGCCCCCCACCTCCCAGAAGCTCACAGGACCACGTGTTCTGTTTACAGGGTTCCGTTTTGGGTGATGCATGGGCGTGCCAGCAATCTCGTGTAAGTGCCTTACGTCGATGGAGGGAGCGGGGGGGGGGGGTAGAAACCCCCACCCCTTCTCATTTCCTACATCCATCAATCGATGACGCCACACGTCAATCACTCCCTCCATCATCCGCCATCTTCATCGATCCCGAGATCCCTCATTCAATCTCTCCATCTATCCCTCTCGCCCTCCCTCCACCGTCCTTCCTGTCCTCACTTCCTCATCCATCCATCACTCCATCCGTCTCCTCATCCATCACTCCATCCGCCTCCTTATCCATCCATCACTCCATCCGTCTCCTCATCCATCCATCACTCCATCCGTCTCCTCATCCATCCATCACTCCATCCGTCTCCTCATCCATCACTCCATCCGTCTCCTCATCCATCCATCACTCCATCCGTCTCCTCATCCATCACTCCATCCGCCTCCTCATCCATCCATCACTCCATCCGTCTCCTCATCCATCCATCACTCCATCCGTCTCCTCATCCATCACTCCATCCGTCTCCTCAACCATCACTCCATCCGTCTCCTCATCCATCACTCCATCCGTCTCCTCATCCATCACTCCATCCGTCTCCTCATCCATCACTCCATCCGTCTCCTCATCAATCAATCACTTCATCCGTCTCCTCATCCATCACTCCATCCGTCTCCTCATCCATCCATCACTCCATCCATCTCCTCATCCATCCATCACTCCATCCGTCTCCTCATCCATCACACCATCCGTCTCCTCATCAATCAATCACTTCATCCGTCTCCTCATCCATCACTCCATCCGTCTCCTCATCCATCCATCACTCCATCCATCTCCTCATCCATCCATCACTCCATCCGTCTCCTCATCAATCACTCCATCCGTCTCCTCATCCATCACTCCATCCGTCTCCTCATCCATCCATCACTCCATCCGTCTCCTCATCCATCACTCCATCCATCTCCTCATCAATCACTCCATCCATCTCCTCATCCATCACTCCATCCGTCTCCTCATCCATCCATCACTCCATCCGTCTCCTCATCCATCACTCCATCCATCTCCCCATCAATCACTCCATCCGTCTCCTCATCCATCACTCCATCCGTCTCCTCATCCATCACTCCATCCGTCTCCTCATCCATCCATCACTCCAACCGTCTCCTCATCCATCCATCTCCTCATCCATCACTCCATCCGTCTCCTCATCGATCACTCCATCCATCTCCTCATCCATCAATCACTCCATCCATCTCCTCATCCATCCATCACTCCATCCGTCTCCTCATCCATCCATCACTCCATCCGTCTCCTCATCCATCCATCACTCCATCCGTCTCCTCATCCATCAATCACTTCATCCGTCTCCTCATCCATCCATTTCCTCATCCATCACTCCATCCGTCTCCTCATCGATCACTCCATCCGTCTCCCCATCGATCACTCCATCCGTCTCCTCATCCATCCATCACTCCATCCGTCTCCTCATCCATCAATCACTTCATCCGTCTCCTCATCCATCCATCTCATCCATCTCTTCATCCATCACTCCATCCGTCTCCTCATCCATCACTCCATCCATCTCCTCATCCATCCATCATTCCATCCGTCTCCTCATCCATCAATGACTCCATCCGTCTCCTCAACCATCAATGACTCCATTAGTCTCCTCATCCATCCATCTCCTCATCCGTCTCCTCATCCATCACTCCATCCGTCTCCTCATCCATCACTCCATCCGTTTCCTCATCAATCAATCACTCCATCCGTCTCCTCACCCATCCATCACTCCATCCGTCTCCTTATCCATCACTCCATCCGTCTCCTCATCCATCCATCACTCCATCCGTCTCCTCATCCATCCATCACTCCATCCGTTTCCTCATCCATCAATGACTCCATCCGTCTCCTCATCCATCACTCCATCTGTCTCCTCAACCATCAATGACTCCATCCGTCTCCTCATCCATCCATCACTCCATCACTCCATCCGTCTCCTCATCCATCCATCTCCTCATCCGTCTCCTCATCCATCACTCCATCCGTCTCCTCATCCATCACTCCATCCGTTTCCTCATCAATCAATCACTCCATCCGTCTCCTCACCAATCCATCACTCCATCCGTCTCCTCACCCCTCCCTTCAGTTCTCCCTCTCTTTATCCATCCATTCTGTCATTCTATCCCTCTCACCATCCATCACCCTCCCCGTACCCTCTCCTCCTTATCCAACCATTCCGTCATTCCATCCCAGCCTCTCTTCCCTCCTCCCTCTCACCACGCGTCCGTCGCCCTCTCTGCCCATCGCTTCTTGCGACTGTCTCCATCAGCGACTGTCTCCATCAGCGACTGTCTCCATCAGCGACTGTCTCCATCAGCGACTGTCTCCATCAGCGCGGGACAGTGACAGCCACGGAGGACTTCACCATCACCAACATCGTCACCAACATCGTCACCAACATCGTCACAAACATCGTCACACCTCGCAGGCGGACAGCCCCAACATCCGCCCCCGAACTCCAGATCCAAACAAAGCGCGCCGGGGTGGTGAGGGTGGTGGGGGTGGTGGTGAGGGTGGTGAGGGTGGTGGTGAGGGTGGTGGTGGTGGTGGGGGTGGTGGTGAGGGTGGTGGTGGTGAGGGTGGTGGTGAGGGTGGTGGTGGGGGTGGTGGTGAGGGTGGTGGTGAGGGTGGTGGTGGTGAGGGTGGTGGTGAGGGTGGTGGTGAGAGTGGTGGTGAGGGTGGTGGTGGGGGTGGTGGTGGGGGTGGTGGTGAGCGTGGTGGTGAGGGTGGTGGGGGTGGTGGTGAGGGTGGTGAGGGTGGTGGGGGTGGTGGTGAGGGTGGTGGTCCCCGTTATCTCACCTGCTCCGGGCGGAGGGGGGGGCGATGTCGCCAGCGAGGTGGTGTCGCGAGGTAGCATCGAGCCGACGCTGCTCCTGGTGCTGCTGGTGTTGCTGCTGGTGGGGCTGATGGTGATGGAGAGTGAAGGCGGCAGCCGCAGCAGCAGCAGCAGCAGCCGCCACCACCACATGCTCTCGAAGCTCCAATGCCCGGGCGCGGCCAAACACGGGGAGCAGCGGCAGCAGCGGCGCCTGGAATCGTCACGCGATCTCCCCGCCCCGTGCATCACCACCAGCAGCAGCAGCGCCTCGCACCCAGCACCCACCCCCTCCTCCTCCCTCCCACACCCCACAGCCCTCACCCACCCTCTCAGCCAGAGCCAGCGTCCCCCTCTTCTCTTGCCCGGCGATGGGGATTGGTGGCGGCTGCCGCGTGTAATTGCTGCTCAAGCAATTATGTCGATGGGCGGGGCTTGCCTGGTAAGGGGTGAGGGGCTCTGGAAGAGGGCGGGTGAGTTGGTGAGTGGGGTAGAGAGTGGCTGGGTGAGTTGGTGAGTGGGGTAGAGAGTGGCTGGGTGAGTTGGTGAGTGGGGTGGAGAGTGGCTGGGTGAGTTGGTGAGTGGGGTGGAGAGTGGCTGGGTGAGTTGGTAAGTGGGGTACAGAGTGGCTGGGTGAGTGGGGTAGAGAGTGGCTAGGCGAGTTGGTGAGTGGGGTGGAGACTGGCTGGGTGAGTTGGTGAGTGGGGTACAGAGTGGCTGGGTGAGTTGGTGAGTGGGGTACAGAGTGGCTGGGTGAGTTGGTGAGTGGGGTAGAGAGTGGCTGGGTGAGTTGGTGAGTGGGGTGGAGAGTGGCTGGGTGAGTTGGTGAGTGTGGTGGAGAGTGGCTGCGTGAGTTGGTGAGTGGGGTGGAGAGTGGCTGGGCGAGTTGGTGAGTGGGGTACAGAGTGGCTGGGTGAGTTGGTGAGTGGGGCACAGAGTGGCTGGGTGAGTTGGTGAGTGGGGTAGAGAGTGGCTGGGCGAGTTGGTGAGTGGGGTACAGAGTGGCTGGGTGAGTTGGTGAGTGGGGTGGAGAGTGGCTGGGTGAGTTGGTGAGTGTGGTGGAGAGTGGCTGGGTGAGTTGGTGAGTGGGGTGGAGAGTGGCTGGGTGAGAGGTTGAGTGGGTGAGAGGTTGAGTGGGTGAGGGCGTTGGCGAGGGGTGGTGATGGTGGGAGGGTGGCGATGATTTTGATGATGGAGGTGAGGCAAGAGAGGGGAGGGTGGTGATGCGGGTATGATACGGATGATGGTGGTTGGTGGTGGCGAGGGAGGGTGGTGATGTGCCCGCGACAGATGCCTGGCGTCAGCACCGCCTTATTATCCGGATTACAGCGCCATAAATCACGATACAAGGCTGTAATTATCGGTTTCGTGTTTTTTTCTTGAGTGCCATTTTCTGTTTTTTACTTTATACACACACAGACACACACACACAGAGACACACACACAGACACACAGACACACACAGACAATCCGTAATGAGGCTAAAGCGTTCTGGGCTGGCGAGAGCTCCCACACTCACCCCCACTCACTCTCCACTCACCCTCCACTCAACCTCTCACTCTCCACTCACCCTCCACTCAACCTCTCACCCTCCACTCACCCTCCACTCAACCTCTCACCCTCCACTCAACCTCTCACTCTCCACTCACCCTCCACTCAACCTCTCACTCTCCACTCACCCTCCACTCAACCTCTCACCCTCCACTCACCCTCCACTCAACCTCTCACCCTCCACTCAACCTCTCACTCTCCACTCACCCTCCACTCAACCTCTCACCCTCCACTCAACCTCTCACTCTCCACTCACCCTCCACTCAACCTCTCACTCTCCACTCACCCTCCACTCACCCTCCACCCGCACTCATCCCACTCACCCTCCACTCAACCTCTCACTCTCCACTCTCCCTCCACTTAACACTCGCTCACCACTCCAGAGTCTCGCCTAGCCCACTCACTCGCACCCACACACAAAAGCCAAAGATCCCCCCCGTGTAGCCTTTAAAGACTGTTGGGGCAAGTGCTGCTAGAGAGCGATTATTGAAGGCCAGCACAGTGCACAAGGGGTAATGCGGCAGAAACGCCAGGCCACCTTTGTCTCCCCACTCCACAAAGTACCCATTTAAATCCGAGTGGACACGCTCACAGACATACAACAGCCGCCATTCCACACAAGGTGTAACCTCACCCCAGCGCGTGTGCCAGGCTAGGTGCATTTTGAGGCCGTCACGTTAAGTGCGGAAGGCTCGCTGACATCAGTTTACGGGGACAGACCGAGGTGCCATGGGTTGACCTGCTGATGCACCACCACCACCACCACCAGCTGTGCCCCCAACCCACGTGGACACGCACGCGCCACGGAGATGATGGAGCCGCGGGATCAGTTGGTGTGCGGGAGCTGCTCAAGTCGTTGCATCGCAAGACCACGAGGAATGGCGACGGTTTGGGGACGCTTTCACCCAGCAGTAGATAGATCACGCCTGCTGTTGCTGATGACACCAACTTACACTCGGCAAGGCGCACTGATGGAGAATGTGCCAGCAGCCATGCGCGAGGCCTCCTCCTGCTGCCACTGCCATGGCTGGAGGCGAGGATATGTTCTCGAGGACATCAACAACGCCGGCGCCGAGCTGCGACGTCGAGCGGCATCTGCGGCGGTGACTGAAATGGTCGCGGTGGCGAGACCTCGCCTCTTCGCGCCCATCTCACCAGAGCCCTGGGGCACCACCGCCACCACCACCATCAGCGGCGGCGGCGGCGGCTTTAGCGCAGGGCCGGAGCCGACCTCGGGGCAGGGCGCGGCTGCCGTGGACGCGTGGCCACTACGGCCTGGGGCCCTGCCCGGCGCGCTCAGGGTCCCAGCCTCGTGGGGACTGCTGCGCTCCGGCCAGGGCCACGCGATTCGTGGTGCCGACGGCTCAAGTGGCGACGTTCTGTGCGCTGCCTCTCTCGGCTGTTCATTGTCGCCGTCATCGCTGCACACGCGTGCACATAAATGCAGACGCAACAAGTAGTTGGTGAAAGTGCTACTGGCGAGTATTCAGGCCGGCACGGCATCACGAAAGGATTTTTAACCAAAAGTGCAAATTCCTTGACCAGAGAGAAACGAGCGGGAATTGTCACCAAAGTTGAACTCGTGAACTCGGCGTGCCGGCGTCTCACAAAACAGCGCGGCCCTCAAGCCACCCCACGTGGCGTCTCGTGCTCTCTCGAAACCTCCGCACCGAGTGAACTCCGATGGCATCGCCGAGTGAACTCTGTGACGGCGATGCCATCGTCTGTACGATCGAGTACCACCTGGCCGTGACCTAAAGGAGGAATGATTCATTTATTTATTTGATCAACGGAGGTGGAAGTCGCGTCGGGCAGCCGAGGACACACGGCGTGGGCCCGAATCTCCGAAACAAGCTGGCAGCAGCGCATCCTCGACACGGGCGGTGGTCAATAAACACCGCGGTGTGCAGCGGGAGCCGAAGCCCATTCATTCCCCGCCCTCCGCCAACAGCGTCGCCGACGATATTCATCATCGACACTTCTGGATTCCCACCATGGTAACGTGGAATTTCCGCAACCCACTCACAACCTCCGTCTAGACGAGCACCGCAAGAAATGTCTCAAGCGCGTGGTGGGGGCCCCGCTTTGAGCGCGAGGTAGAACTCTCATCTCAGGTTCCCTCCCGCCCCCCACAGGCCAGGACGAGACCCCCCACGGTGCCAAATCATCAGGCATGGTGGGGAGGGGGGGGTATTGAGATGGGTGCGGGGAAGAGGGAGCGAGGGGATGAGAGGCGGCGTGAGTGACGCGCAGCGTGGCTCACGCCGAGTCGTGGCCGTGCCGTCGTCACGTGGCCGCCGTTTAAATTATTGATCGCGCGCCTCCCACGGCGCCCCCCACGGCGCCCCCCCCCCCTCACGCCCACCGCCCACCCCCGCCTCGTCGTACCCAGCCGATTCCTTAAATATTTCAGCAGCTGCGCTGAATATGAATACGGCCGCTCAAGCGAGCGAGCGGTGGCTGTTATTTATTTATTGCCGATCACCATGGAGCTCGCCACCGTGCAAGAGAGCTGCTCCGTGTGAACTGTGCGGGGCGCAGCGCGGGGACTGCAGCCACCAGCTGCGGCTGCCCCCCGCGTGGCCGGTACAGACCCGAAGGGGGTCCTGGTGGTTTCAGAAAGTCTGTCTCAAGTCCCCATCGAATCATTTGTGTGAATTAGAGATTTCATCTCCGCTTTAAAGTGCTTCGGCGTCGTGCCGGACTCATGAGGGGGGGGGAGTGCGGCACTGCCAGGTCACCACGTGTCTCGGTTGAGCCGCTTGAAAATGTGGTAGAGTTAATTGAGAAGTGGCAAGGTGGGAATGACACCGAGAAACCAAAAGAGGAACACAATGAGTTCGGGATGATACGCAAGTTCAGAGGCGTCGTATGGACTGTTTAGAACGTGAAGTGGCCGGTGGCCGAGACTAACAATGGAGTGGCAGCCAAAGGAGGGAATGTGGCCAAGGTGGTCCAACCGCACTGGAACCCAAGGACCGGAGTGGCCAAGGAGCCAGTGGACAAGGAGAAAGGAAATTGGACAGGGGGCCTCGCACCAGGCCCATGCCATACCAAACGAGATGATGAGCGATTGTTTCTGGGTGCACCATGTTAATGTGCGCTATGTTAATGTACAATATGTTAATGTGCGCTATGTCAGTGTGCACTATGTTAATGTGCACTATGTTAATGTGCGCTATGTTAATGTACACGTGGATTTAGTTTCTGGGTACAGCTTGCAGACAGTTGAGCAGGTCACGCGTGGTGGGGTAAATTTTGGGTACACCCACTTCCTCCAGCGTGGAAGAGTAGGCCAAACACGCTCAAGAGATCCCCCTCGTGAAGGCCCTTCCGCCGGCACTTGAGCGAGCAATTGTGGTGCTGCGTCTTCAGCACCGTTGAGGATCGTAAAAGTGTCCTCCGACCAGGGCAGTCCGAGTACACTCTAGGTGCCGCTGGTAAACACGCCCGTCGGCCTTTCCTCGTGAGTGGTGGCGCCGCGGCGGCCTCACATGTGGCGCCCCTCGCGCCGCCGCCAGAAGTCGGGCACGCCGGCGGCGATGGCCTCCTCGGCCAGGCGGAGGCAGCGGCCTGGCATGAAGCCCACGAGTGCCGTGCCCACCAGCCCCACGCCGGCGCCCGCCGCCAGCTCCCGCACGCGCGCCTCCACCCGCGCCGGCTCCGTGTACTCGAAGCTGCGGTGACAGCGGTGCAGGGATGAGCGGCGGTGATCAGATTCTGCAAAATCGTGGAGGTGGCCGGGGTGGCTCAGAGCTCAGGGCACTCAGCTGGCGCAGCTCAGATCCTGGGCTCAAATCCAGATTTCAGCCACCCACTCTTGATTGAACCGGGTTCTCATTCGTAGCGACGTGATGGTCATAGCCCAGTCACCAACGGATGCACAAAACAACTATCGGGCTAAATTCCAGAACTCAATATATCAATATTGGTTTGAGCGTGATGCAACGAGCATTACTCTGGAGCAGGGTCGGTGGGAAAGTGCTGCCCTCCTGCTGCGCAGACCAAAGTTCGTTTGAGATCCAAATGGATCCTTCGTGTCATGCCATGACACCAGTAAATGTAAGGCCGCACCTGGGCGCTGCTCGGTCTGTTTCCAGTCCGCAACATGCACAGAACGTGTTGGATTTGAATTGCAATAAAATTGAGGAAAATGTACACGACAAAATTAGTACAAAACACGAAATCGTTACAGCTACATCGTGAAATGTCGGAGTGCGGGTTCTGAGCGAGGCCTACGGCAGTGCTGACCCCTGCCAATAAAGACTTTGAGCCCTCCTTGGTGCCACGTCAGTCCCAGCCGGATCGAGAAACTTCCCCAGAGGGGAAGAGCTGTCCCGAATGTAAAGATTTTTAAAGACCCCCCCCCCCCCTACATGAATGTAAACAAGATTAAACGTTAATTCTCTGGTAAATATAAATACAATACGGGATCTCAGGGGAGCAGGGTGGGTGGGATCGCCCTTGGCCCCCCACCCCTTGGATTCACCGCTGGTGCCAGACGCTACCGCTACTGCTGCTCTGAATGGGGGCTCTGGAATCTGTACGAGGCTCGTGCTGCCCCCCAGTGGAGTGACCTCTCATGACGCCAACGCTCCCACAGTGAAGCTGCAGGCAACGCCTCCTTGAGTGCCTGGACAATCGGCTAAAGGTGGTGAATTTTGTGGCAACAGAACCACGCGTCTCTCTCCGGGCTTGGGTCCACGGCGCCCCTCGTACCGCGAGGCCGGCACGTGATCGCTGGCGCCGCCGTCGGCGCCGCCTGTGGCTCCACGTGCGTTGTCCTCTTCCTCCTAACGCACACGGCACGTGTTTACATCGACGTCGATAGTTTAATGGTCAGTGGCGAACGATAACCCTGACCTGTGCCGAGTCTCCACTTTGCCATCCCGCACTGACCAGCGTGACGGGGAGGCCCTCATCCAGCAGTGGATTGGTAAAAGGGCTGCACCTGTACAAGAACTCAAGTCGATTGAGTTCTACTTCTTACTGGAATCCCAGTGACCGACATCAGTGAACGCTCACTGACGTGCAGCGGCGCAGCGATCAAATGTGCAGGCACCGCAAAGGCACCGGGGGCCCATGGCCGGAGGACGTCAGCAACCGGCGATGGAGAGGAGCTGCGAGTGAGAGCGGCGACGGTGATGGGACTTGGTGCTGAGCGGACCCGGCTTCTGTGCCGCAGGAGTCCCGTGAGATACGATTATCGTGGTACCTTGCACTGGTCAACAAATCACAGCATCGCCAAATCGCGGCCGTCCTTGTGCCACCTCGACGCTGGGCAAGAACTCGGGCCCGGCTTCAGCTCCTCTCGGATCCAGGAAGGTGGCAGTGGAGTCCCGGTGTTGAGTGTCACCGTAACGGTGACACTCACCGCCAAGGACGGTGAACCTGACTCGGCCCAAGGGACAGTTGGTGGTGCGGGGTGCACCCCGGCGGCCCCCTGGCGCATGCCCTGCCGCACGGCTCCTGCTGGGTCACACCTGGAGGCTGCCGAAGCAGCGCACGTTGCAGGCCACCTCGACGCGGCCCTCGTGCGGGAAGGCCATGGCTTCCACGCCGGGGAGGCCGCCCGGGCTGGAGGCCCGCAGGGCGCGCGCGATGCGGCGTCCCAGCCTAAGGTCGGTCGAGTCGATTGTCACATTGCAGTTCATCACGTACGGCGTCGCGCCCACACCTGCGAGCGTCACACGTGACCGGCAGACGTACATACTGGCAGGGCGCTGACGAGGCAGTGGGGATAGTTTGGCGGAGCTGCTATTTTAGCCCTACCTCAAGTCAAATGGCCACGAACACCTGCGCCAAGCATCCAGCCTAGCAGCCACGAGGAGGTTCTGCGAGCAGGCACCGTGACTGCACTGGTGCCCATGAACCGGAGAAAAAAAATTGGAGTGGTGGAGGTGACCCAATTCGTACCTTGCAACGGGTGCCGTGCCTACCACGCGATGCCACCGGCTGCAACTGACCGTAACCGCGGGTGGGAACGCGGTAATCTCCAACGCGCCCGAAGCGCGGGGGGGAACTCACCGGTGATGCCATAGCGAGGGCCCGGCACGGGCCCCACGTCCGGGACGGGCGGGGCGACCTCGGCAGCGGTTTGGCCGGGGCCCCTGTACCAGGCCCACTCGCGCCGGCGCGACACCAGACTCCGGCGGCCGGGGTCGTCGGCCCAGCCGAAGAGGAACACGGACGCGCCCGGCACCTGCAGCGTCAACTCCCGCGCCACGGCTACGCGCGCGGGCAGAATAATGGGGGAACACATGGCGAGGCGGGTGGATGCAGGGCCTCATCTCAGGAGGGTCACGCTGGGTCACACTGCTCTATTTCCATGCCCGGCATCACTTCAAGTCCCTGTGCTACGGCTGTGGCGACAAGTCACCTGCCACCTACGCCAGTCTACGAGTGACCCGGAAACTTTCAGTGAGACACGAACCCCTTGGCGGACGGAGACAGATGGCCAAACAAATGAGCTTCTCGTGACCTCCCCTTGACCGCCCTGTGCCCTCCCCGTGACCCCGCGTACCCTGGGCGACACGTCCGCACTCGCGCAGCCCGACGGAGTCGCTGAGCGGGTGCACGGGGACCAGGTCCACGGAGCCGAGGCACGGGTGCCCGCCGCTGTGCGCCGACACGTCGATGAGGGCGCACGCGCGCACGCACGCACTCACCAGGGATTCACCTGTGGGGGGGCGTAGAGAGGTGGGGAGTGAGGGGGGAGGGGGTTCCTCTATTCTTGCAGTTATATGGCCCTCCCTGGGACAAGCACAGTTCACGCTTGTAATCTGCATTAATTTTACCACCACCACCACCACCACGTGTCTATGCGACGCGCCCCACTCCACCACACCGCACATCAACACCGCGTGAAAATACACGTCGTCTGCTTCACAGTGGACGATAGAGAGATTGCGTTATCCACCAAATTAAAAAATGTACACCGCAAATTACTCGAATTATACGAAGCAGCATCATCCCTTTCTTGCAAAACTGGCAGGACCCTCCTGAAAAAGAGTCATGAGACTCAGTGAGGATTTCCTGGGTAAACAAGCAGAATGAAAATAATAATACCAACATACCCAGCGTCTCCACTGGAGCCACGACTGTGATGACAGAACGGTTGTACTCCGGGTCAGCGAACACGTTCAGCACGGTGGCATTGGGGAAGAGGCGTCCTGACACACGCGGGGTGGGCCAGAGGAGACACGTGGGGTAGGCCACAGGAGACACGTGGGGTGGGCCACAGGAGACGCGTGGGGTGGGCCACAGGAGACGCGTGGGGTGGGCCACAGGAGACGCGTGGGGTGGGCCACAGGAGACACGTGGGGTAGGCCACAGGAGACACGTGGGGTGGGCCACAGGAGACGCGTGGGGTGGGCCACAGGGGACACGTGGGGTGGGCCACAGGAGACACGTGGGGTGGGCCACAGGAGACACGTGGGGTGGGCCACAGGAGAGGCGTGGGGTGGGCCACAGGAGACGCGTGGGGTGGGCCACAGGAGATGCGTGGGGTGGGCCACAGGAGACGCGTGGGGTGGGCCACAGGAGACGCGTGGGGTGGGCCACAGGAGACACGTGGGGTGGGCCACAGGAGACGCGTGGGGTGGGCCACAGGGGACACGTGGGGTGGGCCACAGGATCAAGAATCTTTGCCCCCCAGGATCTAGGAGCTGCTGGCTCGATGGGGCATCAGAAGCAAGAAAGACTGCCAGCCAACATCTTGAACCCAAGATCTCAACAGGCCAGGTGTTAATCTTTCAAGTGTGCCTAAGCCAGTTAAATAGAATGTTTTGATTGCAATGCGATTTGCATTATTGTACGTTTAAAGTAACGTGTACTTGACAAAGCCAAAACAAGGTATCCTCTGAAATTGTTGAGGGTATAAATAGACCGTTCCCATCCCAGCATGATCCACCAACCCCACCTCGCACCCCTACCGTGAGGAGTCTGCAAAGCAGCCCAGGCCACAGCCTCCACGAGTTTGGGGTCCCGCGCCCCCGACACGTTCAGCAGAGAAACGGCGAGACGCAGGGGACGGGACATGACGGCCTGGGAGGGGGGGGGGGCACCGGGGAGAGGTGGCACGGGGGGCGAGGGGAGAGGGGGCACGGGGGGCGAGGGGAGAGGGAGCACGGGGGGCGAGGGGAGAGGAGGCACGGGGGGCGAGGGGAGAGGAGGCACGGGGGGCGAGGGGAGAGGGGGAACGGGGGACGAGGGGGCACGGGGGGCGAGGGGAGAGGGGGCACGGGGGGCGAGGGGGCACGGGGGGCGAGGGGAGAGAGGGCACGGGGGGCGAGGGGAGAGGGGGAACGGGGGACGAGGGGGCACGGGGGGCGAGGGGAGAGAGGGCACGGGGGGCGAGGGGAGAGGGGGCACGGGGGGCGAGGGGGCACGGGGGGCGAGGGGAGAGGGGGCACGGGGGGGCGAGGGGAGAGGGGGAACGGGGGACGAGGGGGCACGGGGGGCGAGGGGAGAGGGGGCACGGGGGGCGAGGGGGCACGGGGGGCGAGGGGAGAGAGGGCACGGGGGGCGAGGGGAGAGGGGGCACGGGGGGCGAGGGGAGGAGCCGACTGCAGCTGAAACCGCTCCAAGCGAGGTCGCCTCCTCACATGAGCACTGACACAACAGTGCTGCGCCTCTCCTGAGCCAGGGTTGGACACTCCACATTCCTGTGGCGGGGGGTTATCTCCAAAGGACAAACACGGTTCGACTTCCCCACAAAGTGGTACTCATTTTAGAGACCCTGGAGGGAGGACTGATGGGCTGGGTCAACCACCTGGAGTGCGGGTGAGAGATAGGGGTGAGGTGTGGGGGTGAGAGATAGGGGTGAGGAGTGGGGGTGAGAGATAGGGGTGAGGAGTGAGTGTGGTAGATAGGGGTGAGGAGTGGCGGTGAGAGCTGTGATGAGGAGTGGGGGTGAGAGATAGGGGTGAGGAGTGTGAGAGATAGGGGTGAGGTGTGGGGGTGAGAGATAGGGGTGAGGAGTGGGGGTGAGAGATAGGGGTGAGGAGTGGGGGTGAGAGATAGGGGTGAGGAGTGAGTGTGGTAGATAGGGGTGAGGAGTGGCGGTGAGAGCTGTGATGAGGAGTGGGGGTGAGAGATAGGGGTGAGGAGTGTGAGAGATAGGGGTGAGGTGTGGGGGTGAGAGATAGGGGTGAGGAGTGGGGGTGACAGCTGTGGTGAGGCGTGGGGGTGAGAGATAGGGGTGAGGAGTGTGAGAGATAGGGGTGAGGAGTGGGGGTGAGAGATAGGGGTGAGGAGTGGGGGTGACAGCTGTGGTGAGGAGTGGGGGTGAGAGATAGGGGTGAGGAGTGGGGGTGAGAGATAGGGGTGAGGAGTGGGGTGAGAGCTGTGGAGAGGAGTGGGGGTGAGAGATAGGGGTGAGGAGTGGGGGTGAGAGATAGGGGTGAGGAGTGGGAGTGAGAGCTGTGGTGAGGAGTGGGGGTGAGAGATAGGGGTGAGCAGTGGGGGTTGTTATCGATATCCGAACCAGTCCTTCCCCATCCAGCAACTCGCCCTGACCAGGGTGGTAAAGTATGGTCAGGGGCTATATGACCCTCTAACAGAATACAACCGGCGTGGGAGGCCTTCATCCAGCAGTGGACTGACAAACGGGCTTCAGTGGCACTCCACCTCCTCCTCCTCCTCGAAGACACCGCTGGAACCATCGCCCGCATGAGAACATCACCAGACGACACGCAACGTCTCAGTCATTCATGGACATGAATGGCCATGCAACCTCACACCATGGCCACACAGCAAGCCACGTGGTACACCGAAACTGCAGGAACTCTGTCTGCTGAAGCCCTCTTTCACTCACTCTCGTCGTGGCAGCAGCAGTGAGTAGTGGGTGAGTAGTGGGTGAGTGGTGAGTAGTGGGTGAGTAGTGAGTGAGTAGTGGGTGAGTAGTGAGTAGTGGGTGAGTGAGTAGTGAGTGAGTAGTGGGTGAGTGGTGAGTAGTGAGTAGTGGGTGAGTGAGTAGTGAGTGAGTAGTGGGTGAGTGAGTAGTGGGTGAGTGAGTAGTGGGTGAGTGGTGAGTAGTGAGTGAGTAGTGGGTGAGTGAGTAGTGGGTGAGTGAGTAGTGGGTGAGTGGTGAGTAGTGAGTGAGTAGTGGGTGAGTGAGTAGTGGGTGAGTGGTGAGTAGTGAGTGAGTAGTGAGTAGTGGGTGAGTGAGTAGTGGGTGAGTAGTGAGCAGTGAGTGAGTAGTGAGTAGTGGGTGAGTAGTGGGTGAGTGGTGAGTAGTGAGTGAGTAGTGAGCAGTGGGTGAGTGAGTAGTGAGTGAGTAGTGAGCAGTGAGTGAGTAGTGAGTAGTGGGTGAGTAGTGGGTGAGTGAGTAGTGAGTAGTGGGTGAGTGAGTAGTGGGTGAGTAGTGGGTGAGTGAGTAGTGGGTGAGTGAGTAGTGAGTGAGTAATGGGTGAGTGAGTAGTGAGTAGTGAGTGAGTAGTGAGTGGTGAGTAGTGAGTGGTGAGTAGTGAGTGGGTGAGTAGTGGGTGAGTGAGTAGTGGGTGAGTGAGTAGTGAGTGAGTAGTGGGTGAGTGAGTAGTGAGTGAGTAGTGGGTGAGTGAGTAGTGAGCAGTGAGTGAGTGGTGAGTAGTGAGTGAGTAGTGAGTGAGTAGTGGGTGAGTGAGTGGTGAGTGAGTAGTGGGTGAGTGATAGTGAGCAGTGAGTGAGTGGTGAGTAGTGGGTGAGTAGTGAGTGAGTAGTGGGTGAGTGAGTAGTGAGTGAGTAGTGGGTGAGTGAGTAGTGAGTGAGTAGTGGGTGAGTGAGTAGTGAGTGAGTAGTGGGTGAGTGAGTAGTGGGTGAGTGAGTAGTGAGTGAGTAATGGGTGAGTGAGTAGTGAGCAGTGAGTGAGTGGTGAGTAGTGGGTGAGTAGTGAGTGAGTAGTGGGTGAGTGAGTAGTGGGTGAGTGAGTAGTGAGTGAGTAGTGGGTGAGTGAGTAGTGGGTGAGTGAGTAGTGAGTGAGTAATGGGTGAGTGAGTAGTGAGCAGTGAGTGAGTGGTGAGTAGTGGGTGAGTAGTGAGTGAGTAGTGGGTGAGTGAGTAGTGAGTAGTGGGTGAGTGAGTAGTGAGTGAGTAGTGGGTGAGTGAGTAGTGAGCAGTGAGTGGTGAGTAGTGGGTGAGTGAGTAGTGAGTAGTGGGTGAGTGAGTAGTGGGTGAGTGAGTAGTGAGTGAGTAGTGGGTGAGTAGTGAGTGAGTAGTGAGTGAGTAGTGGGTGAGTGAGTAGTGGGTGAGTGAGTAGTGGGTGAGTGAGTAGTGAGTGAGCAGTGAGTGAGTAGTGAGTGAGTAGTGAGTAAGTAGTGGGTGAGTAGTGAGTAGTGAGTGAGTAGTGGGTAAGTAGTGGGTGAGTAGTGAGTGGTGAGTAGTGAGTGAGCAGGGCGAGTAGTGAGTGAGTAGTGGGTGAGTAGTGAGCAGGGTGAGTGGTGAGTGAGTAGTGAGTGAGTAGTGGGTGAGTAGTGAGTAGTGGGTGAGTGGTGAGTAGTGAGTATTGCGCAGGGTGAGTGAGTAGTGAGTGAGCAGGGTGAGTGAGTGGTGAGTGAGCAGTGAGTGGTGAGTAGTGAGTAGTGAGTGGTGAGCAGGGTGAGTGAGCAGGGTGAGTAGTGAGTGTTGAGTGAGCAGGGTGAGTAGTGAGTGAGTAGTGAGTGAGCAGGGTGAGTAGTGAGTGGTGAGTAGGGTGAGTGAGTGGTGAGTGTTGAGTAGTGAGTGGTGAGCAGGGTGAGTAGTGAGTGAGCAGGGTAAGTGAGTAGTGAGTGGTGAGTGAGTAGTGAGTGGTGAGTGAGCAGGGTGAGTAGTGAGTAGTGAGTGAGTAGTGAGTGGTGAGTGAGCAGGGTGAGTAGTGAGTGGTGAGTGTTGAGTGAGTGGTGAGTAGTGAGTGATGAGTAGTGAGTAGTGAGCAGGGTGAGTGAGCAGGGTGAGTAGTGAGTGTTGAGTGAGCAGGGTGAGTAGTGAGTGTTGAGTGAGCAGGGTGAGTAGTGAGTGAGTAGTGAGTGAGCAGGGTGAGTGGGGAGTAGTGAGTGGTGAGCAGGGTGAGTAGTGAGCAGGGTAAGTGAGTAGTGAGTGGTGAGTAGTGAGTGGTGAGCAGGGTGAGTGAGCAGGGTGAGTAGTGAGTGTTGAGCAGGGTGAGTAGTGAGTGTTGAGTAGTGATTGGTTAGTAGTGAGTGAGCAGGGTGAGTGGTGAGTGTTGAGTGGTGAGTGAGTGGTGAGTGAGTGGTGAGCAGGGTGAGTAAGCAGGGTCAGTGGTGAGTGTTGAGTGAGTGGTGAGTGTTGAGGGAGTGGTGAGCAGGGTGTTGAGTGGTGAGTAGTGAGTGGTGAGCAGGGTGAGTGTGCAGGGTGACTAGTGAGTGTTGAGCAGGGTGAGTAGTGAGTAGTGAGTGAGTGTTGAGTGGTGAGTAGTGAGTGGTGAGCAGGGTGAGTGAGCAGGGTGAGTAGTGAGTAGTGAGTGAGTAGTGAGTGTTGAGTGAGTGGTGAGTAGTGAGTGGTGAGCATGGTGAGTGAGCAGGGTGAGTAGTGAGTGTTGAGTGGTGAGTGAGTGGTGAGTGGTGAGCAGGGTGAGTGAGCAGGGTGAGTAGTGAGTGGTGAGTGAGTGGTGAGTGAGTGTTGAGTGAGTGGTGAGTAGTGAGTGGTGAGCAGGGTGAGTGAGCAGGGTGAGTAGTGAGTGGTGAGTGAGTGGTGAGTGAGCAGGGTGAGTAGTGAGTGGTGAGTGAGCAGTGAGTAGTGAGTGGTGAGCAGGGTGAGTAGTGAGTAGTCAGTGGTGAGTGTTGAGTGAGTGGTGAGTGAGCAGGGTGAGTAGTGAGTGTTGAGTGAGTGGTGAGTAGTGAGTGGTGAGCAGGGTGAGTGGTGAGTGAGTAGTGAGCAGGGTGAGTGAGTGGTGAGTGTTGAGTGGTGAGCAGGGTGAGTGAGTGGTGAGTGTTGAGTGGTGAGAGGGTGAGTGGTGAGTGTTGAGTGGTGAGCAGGGTGAGTAGTGAGTGAGTGGTGAGTGTTGAGTGAGTGGTGAGCAGGGTGAGTGTTGAGTGGTGAGCAGGGTGAGTAGTAAGTGAGTGGTGAGTGTTGAGTGAGTAGTGAGTGGTGAGCAGGGTGAGTGATAAGTGAGTAGTGAGTGAGTGGTGAGTGTTGAGTGAGTGGTGAGCAGAGTGAGTGGTGAGTGTTGAGCAGGGTGAGTAGTGAGTGAGTGGTGAGTGTTTAGTGAGTGGTGAGTGAGTGGTGAGCAGGGTGAGTAGTGAGTGAGTGGTGAGTGAGTGGTGAGCAGGGTGAGTGGTGAGCAGGGTGAGTAGTGAGTGAGTGGTGAGTGTTGAGTGAGTGGTGAGTGTTGAGTGAGTGGTGAGTGTTGAGCAGGGTGAGTAGTGAGTGAGTGGTGAGTGTTGAGTGAGTAGTGAGTGGTGAGCAGGGTGAGTAGTGAGTGGTGAGTGTTTAGTGAGTGGTGAGTGTTGAGTGAGTGGTGAGTGTTGAGTGAGTGGTGAGTGTTGAGCAGGGTGAGTAGTGAGTGAGTGGTGAGTGTTGAGTGAGTAGTGAGTGGTGAGCAGGGTGAGTAGTGAGTGGTGAGTGTTTAGTGAGTGGTGAGTGTTGAGTGAGTGGTGAGTGTTGAGTGAGTGGTGAGTGGTGAGCAGGGTGAGTTGTGAGTGAGTGGTGAGTGTTTAGTGAGTGGTGAGTGTTGAGTGAGTGGTGAGGAGTGAGTGGTGAGTAGTGAGTGGTGAGCAGGGTAAGTGGTGAGTGTTTAGTGAGTGGTGAGTGTTGAGTGAGTGTTTAGTGAGTATTGAGTGCTTACGCACGCGGTCAGGTGAGGTGAAGTGAAAGTGGCTCACCTGGTCACGTGCCGCTGCCATGAGGGAGGGGCGGGGCTTGTGGGGGAGGGGCTATGCTGTTGTTTCCGTTGGCGCACTCCGGGGTCTTGATCAGATGCATTCGTAATACGCCCTGAGGGCAGTTGCTTGCCGCCTGACAAGGGCTTAAACCATGACATCATCTGCCTTGAGGGCGACTGGGGATGTCAAAGTGTTTGTATTTGTTCGTTACTCCCCACAGCCCCTCCCCCCGATCTCGCGCGCGTTTATTCGTTATTTATAATGTTAAAGCAAAACAACAACTTGAAATGTGACATTTAGCGCTGCATTTAGCATTGCGCGACAGAAACACGAACTTTATTGTTATTTTATATTTTTCACGAGGCGACCTCGGCCGCATCGCTTCGACAATTCCCCTGCTCGCCTCGCCGCCACACTGCCACTGTTTACCTCAACAACAACAACAAACAACAACCGCTATTGCTCTCTTTGTTTCATCGACATTATTCAGTGGCATCAGCAGACGCAAGAGAACAAGATTTTAAAGCCGTGTTTGTGGGAAGAATTTACATTTAGAACGGCGACGGCGGCGCCGTTATCTGCAATGTCCAGGAGACAGCAGACGCGAGGTAGCTCATTGTGTGTGTCTATATTTTAATTATGTATACAAGCTACGGTGTTTATGTTTTAATGTGCATTTGATTTTTGTCGGCACGCGTTTTGCTCGGATTGTGTAGTAGCGGGGCTGAGCTCCGGAAAATACCCCACGAGTAGTTGAGCACTGCTAGTCGTAGTCATATTGGCGATCCTACTTATATTTAATCCTTTTATGTGGGAAGCTGTTGCTGGCTTTTGACTCGCGATCTTCTCCCGAAAGATGCCTTCCACCATTCCCAATGACAGTGTTTTTAATGTCCACAAGTTCATCATCACCGGGACGAGTTACTGTGCAGCGTTCCATCACTCGTGGACCGGCGTGGTGAAGTATGGCCAAACAAACCCCGTGACCGACACGGGGTTTGTTGAATGTGGTAAGATTTCCACATTAAATTCTTACTTTACTGGGATTCAGTCACTAGTCGTTGGTTAGTTCACTAAACAATGTCCTTGTTTCGCCCTGCACACCGTAGTTCACTGAAACTCACCGCGCCACTCATCACTGTTCAACGATCCCGAGGCGATACCCGTCGGGTTCATTCCGGTCAATGTCACCATCGCTCACGCAGATGAATCCAATCATCCATCACTAGGGGGTTCAAAGCGTCTTTGCGGAGTCCATTCATCACCAAGTTCGTGACCAACGGGGATCTTATTTTGTCTGCAGTGGCCGCTCGCCACGTGGCTCTCTCCCGTTGCATTGTTTAGAGCCACGGTGAAAGTTGTCAAATCAATCAACCTTGAGCGAGGGTGGGGGGCGGTCGTTTCTTTTTGGTAGTGCACTTAAAACGTGCGACATCAAGCGTGGACTCCACGTGTGTGCCTGTGTAGTAGCCCTTCTGTACGGTGTGGCGCGTTTGCACGCTGTGCGTGGGATCGGTGCACAGGGAGCGGTCAGGAATATTCACTGCTGGCGGTGTGCACCGACTTGGTTATGTCGGGCTAACAGACGTTCTGTATTTGTAGCATGGTCGTGATGTAATAGAATCAATTATAGCCCGCATCGTTGTGTTAAAGATACAGTACAAATGTGTTTGCGTGTTTTACAACGCGTTGTGCCCGTTACACATCTCGCGTGTACTGTTTATTGGTACGTAAACGCATGTACAGCTTCCCCTGTCATTTTCCGCTATTGTCCATCAGCTTGGGCTGGGCACCTGTGAATTTGAGCTTCAAAACGCATCGGGTTCTCCCAAATTAAATAAAATGTCTACGTTTACACAGCGCGTTTGTCGATTCACTGCTGGATGAAGGCCTCCTCACGCTTTGCGGGTTATCCGGCCATACCTCAGTGGGTTGGTTAAGACAGGGAGCATAGACATGGAGCATAGCATGCTACATACGGTGAAAATGAAGTTCAACATACATACGGTACAATGGCTTTTTCTAAACTGCCCTCTGCTGCCCACAATTTAGCCTTGCAGCAATGCACAATGATCACCCATTCAAGCACTACCCAAGCTCCCTGCTTTGCTTCCGAGCTTTGAGGAGTTCGGGTTCATCGGCTAGGCCAAGGGACAGGCTTCTGCTCTGTGTGCATACATACAAGTATTGATTTTACAGTAACATACGTGTAGGGATTTACACAAGCACACACTGCCACTATCCACAAGCCTTCTCTTCACTCCTTTTGTCTCTCACAACAGACTTATCTGACATGACGTTCGACATGAAAACCGGCGTCGTTCTGGCCCAGCCTGGCACCCAGGAAAACATTAAAGAGAAGGTGAACCTATTTCTTGCAGAGCACTGCCTAGAAAACAATCATATGCAACCGCAAACCAGTTTAAATGCATGGATGGGTTTACATAATTCATGGGTCCGATGCAACATGCGACACCCAAATGTATCTTAAGTGTTGTGGCGAACGTGAAGATCCGAATTACTTTTGGCAGGTGAATGCGGTTCGCACTATCGTTCCAAACAGAAGCAAGAACGAGGTGGTGCTGATTCTGCAATACTTTGACTACAGCGTGGACAGGGCGGTCCAGGCCTTCCTGGAAGGTACCGTGGAAATCTCACAAACAAAAAGTTAACCGAGCCGATGTTCAATTGGCTCAAAACCTTCACGTTTTCCATCTGCTTACGACTTGATGTGAAATATTCCCACTGCTTCTTGACAACATATTAAAATGCGTTTGCATTGCAACTTTACATACATCCAAATTGTATTGTAATTGCACCGATGGCAGTGCCAATGCTCGTCTGACCTTCCCCATAATGTTACTTTCCAGATGAAGTCACCGAGATTTTTAAAGAGTGGAACATCTCCGGAAAAAAAAAGGTGCGTCACCCACAGAGGAGACACCTTTGCGGTGTTAGTACCACATACAATCAGATGTTACTTTGTATACATTGCAAACGACTGGAGCCCACAAACAGCACAGATTTTGACAAGCACTCTTCTTAATGAGAATAAACTGGTCATTTGCTTGAAATATGAACCAAAACCATGAGTGATTAAACAACATGAAGGCACCCTTAAAAGGGACTTGCATATCACAACTATAAACGGGCAATACTCGATTATCAGGGTAAGGGTGAGGAGTGGTGGGGCTTGGATAATAAAAAAACGTAAATAATTTTGGGTAAAAGAACGATTATTTACCTTTGTAGAATGGACGTGTCATCCGTCATGGTCCATATGTATTCCCAAATAATTTCTGATGATCGGTGTCACCATCTGCAGAACTTCTTTAACCTTAACATTTGGCTCAAGGGGATTGCTAAATGTGAATGTTAAAGTAGTCCAGCAACTAAATAAAAAAAAGTTTAACAAGGTACGAGATATGCGGTGTACCTGACATTGATTGAAGTCGTGTGGACACCCGAGTCCTTGTTCACAATGAGTAGGTAATAAATTCACCAGCCCTTGGTCTTTTAAAATTGAGAGCTGTATACCCTTACAAATGAGATGTTCCATTTCAAGGGAATATCCAGATTAAATATTTTAATAATAAAAACAATCTCACTTATGTATGGCTTGTAGTGCGCTGCTTCACGCATGCGTTATTTGCCCGTCATGACGTTACCGCTTTATTCCGCATGCAGAACTCGAGGAAGAAGAAACCCAGGGGTCAGGCACAACGAGCAGACGCTCGGCGTGAGGGCGCTCAATTGGACAAAGCCGAGACAGGCCTGGCCGGCACGGAGGGGCCTGTGGCCACGGCGGGAGGGCCGGGCACGCGGGCGACTACGCTCACCGCGACGGATTCAGAGCCCGCATTGTCGTGCGCCGCGTCCGAGGAGAACGCTTCAAGAGACAGGCGCGACGAGGAGCTGGTGGACTCGCAGCAGGGATGCACGACGTCTCCTCCCACAGGCAAAGTCGACTCCTCGCAAGGTTCGCTGCGGTGTCCCTGCTCGTCAGGGAACTGTGAGCAAGACTGAGGGCTTCTTCTGTGCTGTGTTTTATGTACTTATGATCGTTATCCAAAGCAGAACCAACAAAAAGTGTTGTCGTGCATGGAGCAAATGAAGGATAAGCAGCCATGCCCATTGTGGTTGTGATGTACCACACTACCAGTGTAGACCTTTGGTCCATTCATTTATTTATTAAGTTTGTTGAGCCAGCTACCTAGGATTGGGCAAAACCTAGTCCACTTTGCACCCAGGCAACTGGAGAGCACAGACTAATCGTTACTGACCTAACATTAAAACTAACAATGCATCAAGGCCCCAAGGGTTTGATAATACATGGAGGTGGTGATAGGACTCATCATCAGTGCTTCCTAAAAACTTGATTGCATGAGATTGAAGTTTCAAAATTTCTGGGTACATTTTTTTTCAGATTACTTTTTCTGCTTTAGTACAAAACTGGTTGTGATTTCGTAAAATCCCCAAATTTGTAACTGCTGTGTAGAGAGAGGACGAAGGGACGTGGGCCTGCAGCAGAGTGGTGACATTAACGAGGGCCCCCTCTCCGGGACGAAGCACGGGCCCCCAGCGACGTCTAAATTCAGCCGCCCCCGAAACACGGGGCCACAGACTGCATCCTCTCATTGCGAGGAGCCTCCGGGCCCTGCTTCCAGAAACAACAGCAAGAAAGGTGGTGTGTGGCAAGCACAGGCTTGGGTTTAACACTTTGTTTCCATTGTTTCTTGATATCCAGTTGCGAACAGATGGCAGTATTTCAAATAGGTTATCTTTGTTTTGTTTCCCAATTGCCCGAATATGCAGGTAGCAGCATAGAAAAATCAGTGAAAGATCTCCAGAGGTGTGCAGTGTCGCTCTCCCGATACCAACTGCTGATTCACGAGGAGATGGATGCCTCTGTCAAGAAGATTAAAAAGACGTTCTCAGAAATACAACAATGGTATAGTTTACTTACCCGAGTAAAGATTGTAACTTCAACTTCCATTTTTTGTGTTCAATGTAGAAAAATGTCTGATAATCCAATCTCTTTACATTTGTTTCAGCCTCATGGACAGGGAGGTAACAGTCCTCTCAGAACTGGACAAAGTAAAACGAGAAGCCAGTGAGTGAATCACAAACCGTCTCCCCTGACGTAACGATTTACTAAACGTGAACATTCATCCTTGCAGTCATTGCTGGGAACATGCGGTGTCAAATGAGGCTAATAGTGTGCTTGTAATGTTGTTAAAGGCTTTAATAATATGCTATAAAACACTGCACCACCCTTTTGTAAGATCTACTTCAGACGTGTAATACAGATGCTGTTAAATGAGGGTTTATTATATCAAAAATAACCTATGTAGTGCAAGTCTGTAGGCAAATTTCCTCAAAAATTCACCACCGCTCACATGTATGTTTATGATTTACAGTGACATTTCTAGAAAACAGACGAAGGATGGCGTCAGAACTGAAGAAGCAGTGCGACCTGTCGCTGAGGATGTCCGAGGCACAACTTGGCGAGCTCCGAGCCAATATAAAGGTTCGATGTTGGCACAACGATCGTGCACATGACCCTGTTGTCAAAGCAGGTGTGTCCCACCAGAGCCGCTGCACCCCAGCAAGCGCTGAACGTAGTCTCGGCACACACGCGTTCACAGCGGCATCGGGTGATGGCGGGGAGTTCAGTGTGGTGCCCGTGTAACGCTACTCTCTCCTTTATTTCAGCTCTTTGTGAGTGAAAGGAAATACGACGAAGAGTTGGGGGGAACGGCACGATTCACCTGTGACCTGCCGACCATCGTACAAGCAATGGAAACCTTTGGTAAAAGTGAGTCTTGGTTAAAGGACGATGGCATGTACAAACACACTATACATCGGTTTTTTTAAATCCTTTCCAAATTACAGTTAACCCTCGATTATTCCGTGGGTGGATTATTTGAATGTATCCACAGTTTTCTTTCACACTCGAGATGGAATGGTTTAGAGGTACAGAAGCCCGACAAGTGAGAAGGCAGCAAGAACCAGTGCCAAACATTTCCCAAGCTTTGTTGTATTACATTGGGATGTTTCGTCAACTCCATTACTGAGTGTTTATACGTGTGGGATGTTATGTTTTGCTTTACCCCGCATGATCAAGAGTTGAATGTATTGACAAGTGTCGATGATAACGGCACTCTCACTCGCCTGGCTGTGGTGAACAGTTTCTCATCCGAGGAGTGGTTATGGGGAGAATCCCCGGCATGGATCAGAGTCCTCGGAATCCGGCCACTCGGCTCAGTTTGGCTCCAGCGACGTTGGGGAATTCTCCGAGGACTCGAGGATTAAGCCCCCCACTGTTCAACCCGTGCCAGCAGAAACAAGAGCAAATACACCATACCAGGTGACAACATCAGACTTGACGATTCTACCCTAGAACTTTGGTCTATATGTACAAGCAGCGGTTAATTTCAGCTGGGCCTGTTTGGGTCACTAGACTGAATAATATTCCTGCACCCGGTGGTACACCACATCTGGTATACCACTCGCTATGGCTGCGGCTACGAGTCACAGACCTACTCTACTCTACCAGCAACCCGCTTAAAATTCAGTGTTAAATTAATCCCTATGTCGACTTATATATTTAAAATGTCACACGTGAATCTGTTGTTGCTCAGGTTTCTGGAGACAAAGTGAGGGATCAGTACCATTTTCAAGGGAAAACTATTTACAACTCCAACCAGCAATACAGGGGTGACTGGAAAGGGCATGACCACAACGGGCCACAAAGCGACCCAAGGTTCAGGCATGGCACATTCTACAGGCACCATGGGCACCGGGGCAGGAGGGTACCTGACAGCAAGGAGCACCACCGTGCTCAGTACTGCACCAGTGCCAGCGAGCCACACGACAGGCCCTGCCCAGCAGCAGTCGGAGCGGCAGGAAACGAGGGATCGAGTATGCTGCCGGTCGGCAGGCTCAGAGAGACGACCGATGGTGGTGGAGGCGGTGATATCTGCGCCTCGCGGCGTAAATCTGTCTACCGGCACACTCGACGATGCCCCGCCGTGGACAGCGCCCATGCCCGCGAGGTCGCCTTGGACAGCCGCCTTCAGTGCAAGGATTGAGGAGCGTGACACTCACAGCCACTGCCATGGAAGCTCGCGTGAACACGGGCTGCGAGTTGTGTCGGGAAGCCCTTTCGACTTGAGCACAGTCCCAAAAAATACAACCTGGACATGTGGCATGCCAGTGTTTGAAGATTTTCCTGATTTGGCTTCTAGAAAACACAACTGTAAAACGTTGTTGTGGTGGTGGTAAATAATTGACATTTATTGTCAATGTTTTTATTTTAGGACCAGCTTTTTACTTAGTTTTCTGCTAAAACAACTCAGTGTCATGGCAAAGTATTTCACTTTTGTTCAGTGAAAGCGATACATTGCACCACCTTGTAGGATCATCTTCAGAGCAAGTCTTGCACGAAAAATGAAAATGTTAATATTTCCATTGCAAATATTACCCTTGAGGACTCATACCTTATTGTATGTTTTATTGTGTAATGCCAAAATTGTAAAAGAAAATTCAATCAAAAAGTACTACTACTTTTGCTTACAAGTGCCTTGCGGTGTGAAACTGTTCAATAGTTTAGGTTTTTGTTTTGTGTCATTGTAGAAGGAAATGCAGTAACTTATTTTTTGTAAACGTCTCTTAGTTTTACATTCATGAGAAATGCAACATTTTTTTGCGTCAAGATTCAACGAAATGTCTTTTGTACATTATCTGCAATATGCATGTTTGCAATTTCGGTTCATTAGAAGTTAATGTTGCCAATTTCCTCCGAATATTGGTTTAACATCAGGAGCTGCAATTTCAAGTCAGTCGCTTGGTCCGACAGGTCAGCTTGGTGTTGTCGAGTGCCATCGTTTACATGTATTCCATTTAATGAGCTGCAATTAAACTAACTCCTGGATATGTCCGGAACCAACACTCCACCAAACCCAGTGTGGCCTGTTGTGCCATTTGAAGCAAATAATGACTGCTCTCTTTGGGAAATAAATAGTTGAAAATTCTACACGATAAACACTAAAGAGGCAGTGAGTAGGCACTGGCTTTAGGAAATGGAATAAAACAATATAACACCACAACAAGAGGATAACATGACCACATTTATTTAAGTTCAAATAACAAATACGCAAGTTTGATATTTTGGGTTTGCACCTTATGTGTTCTTCGAGAGAAAATAAAACTTCGAATGCTCTTCTCAGATGTACTGCTCAAGAGTTTTCAACGATACCAGTATCAATTTTTGTTTAATATTAATATTGTCTAATATTACAGGCAAATACATTTTTATTTTAAGACTGTTCATGAGCGTGTGAGAATGTGTACATTGTGCAGCACGACTGCCCTAGTTAGATTTCCGTCCATCCCACGCTCGACTTGCTGCCAGTTTCACTGTTGAGCCATTTTTGCCGTTTCTGCTCGGATCAGAGCTATGAGATCCTGATTGATCAAGAAGACAAAACGCAATCCGCTGATCTGTAAAGACATGACAATGTTTATATTTAAGGAGAGGAGTGAGAACATCTTAATATACATTGAGAGACTACAAGAGTTAATTATGTAAGAGATAAGAATGAATCCTCTCACTTCTACTACAGAATTGTTGTTGAGTTTCCATTTGGCCCCGGAAAGGACAGGTCTTCCGTCAATAAAAATTGGTCGCCTCCCCTCGTTTGCAATGAAGAAGTCCCCATTGCTCTTCAGTTTAATGGTGCCTTAAAAAAAGTACACGCATTGTAAATATGTACATCTCAAAGTACATGAACATGAGTTAAAAAGCAATCATAATTTTGTGCAAACGCTTTGTGCCACGTTATTGTCAGCAGCGTAAACACGGCACCTTGTTTACGGGATATTTTCCAGGATGGGCCTTCCAAAGACAGGTCGACATCAATCTGGTTGTCCTTTGTGGCCCTTCCCAGGGTAATCTGACCAAAACGACACAGGACACATAACAGCACAGGCTAAATTACACAACATTGTACATATGCTGCTTCATTGCAGCATATCTTTGGCAAACAATCTCAATTATTTAATTTATGGGCACTTTGTCCATCCACTGCTGGATGAAGACATCCCTGCATCACGTTGGTCAAGGGGATTGTTTGACCGTACGTCACGCTGGTCAGTACGTGTTTGTGAAGTGGTGTGGTGGTAGGAACGGTTCAGATATCACTCTTCACTAGTAATAACCAGGGATAAAACTCAGGTCCCCGGCCTCTTTAGCAGTGTGCTCGCCGCGTGGTGGCGATGCACACCGGTAATCCAACACTGGAGGCGAGAGTTGGTGGACCACACACACATGTTGTTTGACTCCCAGTGGGCGTCGAGGTGCCATACCCCGACTCGCCAAAAAGCAGTACAGTGAATGGACTAATCACTGTCCGTTTCCATCTGTGGCCATTTGTGTGCGTAGGTTTTCTCCGGGTGGTCCGGTTTTGTCCCGCTTGTATACACACTCAATAATTTGATGAAAATATCTTAAAACAAAAACACAATGTGCGGGACCCCTCCAGAAATAGGATCCTGCGACTCAGTTTGAAATTACTCACTTCTCTGGAGCGCATGAGGTAACGGACCAGTCTCCCACGCAAGACGGCAAGAGTTTGGTTGTCGAACTCTGGTGGGCTCAAGCCTATAGAACGACACATTTTTCAAATTACACTTGGGAGTTTTTGACCATACTTCACCATGCTATTCGGTGCTAGTGGGTGAAAGCAGGTCGTGTACACGTGGGAGCATAGAAGTGCAGTAACCTGTTGCGCAAGGTGGTTGCCCAAAATCTATCCAGTCTGAATTCTGCTTTGCTTCAGAGATCTGAAAAGCTCGGGTATGTTCTGGGTGATTTGGTTATACAGCAAAAACTAGAGTGTGCATTCTCAAATCATGACTTCAATTATCAAAATATTAACGGTACTATTTTTGTTGTGGTGTCCACTGAAAGCTATACATTATTTTTAAAAGCTGATTAATGTTGCAGTTCTCGTGTATCCCCACAGCTGAATTTCTCACTGATGATTTTCTGGGTTGGTTAAATTGATGTACATGACTAGTAGTAGCAATATCCATAGCGAGTGGTATACTGGATGCGGTGTGCCAGGTAGGAAAATATTTTACGGGAAGTTGGTAAATTGTAGGTGGCCTGTGACAAGTAGCCAAAGTTATAGTGAGGAGTATACTGGCTGTCGTGTAGCGGGTGTGAAGATTTTTCCTAGATCCCCAACATGGACAGATCGAGCTGAATGAACGCCTGCGTGTGCCCGTGTGGTAGGACCTGTCACGCTGTCCACCATCGCCTGCCACTTGGGCAGCTCCTGCTCCAGCTGCCGGATCTCACGCTTCTGTCTCCGATCGGCCACCGCCAGCTCTGTGCCGAGACGATCGTTGGCGATGATTAATCCACTGCTGGATGGGGTGAAGGCTTCCTCAAGCCGTCACCATCTCTCACGGGTCTTGCGAGACGTGACTGCTCTCTGCTCGGCTATTACATTACACTGTTATGTTTGTAAAAATTCACAGCACTTTGTCAATTAACTGATTGATGAAGGCCTCACATGGTGCTCGGTGATGGGGATTGTTTTGACACTACTTCACCACGCTGGTCAGTGCGAGCGAGTGAAGGGGGCACTCGGAACCGGTTCAGATATCACTCGCCACCGATGTTGGCCGTGGCCAGGAAACTCAGGTTACCGGGTTCATGGTGCTAGGCTCGCCAAAACAGCGATGCACAGCTGAGCTGCAATGGACAAGCAATGAACACCACTTTCTGCACTGGGCTGCTGGTTTCTGTTTTGCACAAATTAGCTTTTTAAATGCAATTTATCGCTTCAGCTTACCGTGTTCCAGTGTTTCATCTCTGACGTCTCTGTGAGAAAGCATAGACACAGGGTCGAATCATTCGTGAATTGGCTTTAAGACCTTTCATGAGTGCAATAAAATATGGTGACAACTGAAAACAGATGGCATCTGCTACAATCTATTGGCATCTCGACAGAAGACATAAGGGAAAGGGTGTGACACCAGCAGTGCAATACAGTTTCCATAAGTGTACAAGGTAGTTTTTCTCAACTTTCTGGATCGTAATTTAAGATGTTATGATTAGCAGTGAGGGTTTTACTTTCTTACATTTAGTTTCTACACAATAACAGGGGTGACTTACAAATGTACACGATCTAAAAACCTAGAAACTCGCAATGAAAAGTTTGTCCTGCACAGCTTTAGAGCTTGTTGTGGGATATGGAAGTGAAGGCAATGCTCGTGCCAATGTAAGCTTCTCAGGGTTATATGTGTGTGTGTATATATAGAATTATTCTGGACAATGTTGACAATTGAGACATTCAAATCTACCTGAGCTCACTGTCATCAATAGTATCCTCAGCATCTGAGAAGTTGAGGACCTGGTCACCTTTGGGCAGCTGTTGAACTGAACAAAGAGGAGAGAAGCACAACCAGTCCATTTTCATTGCACTTGGGGAAGAGAAGGGAAGGGATCTAAAGTGCAAGCGGCTGGTGGGATACGGACAGAAATGAACAAACTGCTGCTCCACCGTCGACGTTCACATGCCAAAAAGAACTGTACGGGGCTCTCCACAAGAGATACGGAAGATAGAAAGCTTACATTATGGGCATCAAACCTCAGTTAAGAGGGCGACGCTAAACAGATTGACGCGAGCGGTAAACAATTATTTACGCAACAAGCAGGGGTGCGAGCAGCGCAGGTGCCGCCACCGCTGCCCGCCACTCACCGGTTTGATCCTCCAGCAGGTGGAACTGCTTCAAGAGCTGCCAGTGCATCTGCAGGGCCTTCGCCGTTCGGCACGGATGCCAAACGTTGGGGTTCTTGCCAAACACATCCTGGAAAGTCTCCAGTGTGGGCTGGCTCGTCTGCAGGCCCACACAAACGAGACAGCGGCACACTTGAACCGCGGAGTGGCAAGGTCCACCGATGACCGAGGCTGCGAATTTGGCACCGATGTCCCCATGGCGATCTTGGAAATCGCGATTGCGATTAAAGTGTTTAGTGATATCTTGGAAGTGGCTGTATAAACGCATCACATTGGGCGCTTCCTTTACTTTATTTTCAAAACTGCAGCAGGTTGTACTTTGAAACCGTCGGCGCGCTGGCCGCGGTGAAGAGTCACAAAAACATAGCATGAATTAAGTTAGAGCCACTTGCTTTAAATTACTTGCTTTAACGTGTTTTACTTTTAAGCAGATATTGTAAGCATTTTGTTTTAAGGAAAAAGCAACATTTTTTCCAGGGACAGTACCCCACCTTATTCTGCAAATTAATGCTTTGATCCCAAACCACAGTTGTAAATGACTTTCTTAATTACCACGCCAAAATGATAGCCTTACTCATGACCTACCAGTGGAAATTAAGTTTGTTATCTCATTGGAGGGGTGCCATCTGCACTGATTGGTGAGCGTGGGTCACACGTACCGATGCGACCTTGGTGAGAATGCGCTCCTCGTCTTTGCTGAACAGCGCCCTGCTCTGCACGGCCACGATTGCATCCGGGTGCAGCTCACGCATGGATTGGCAAGCCAGCCTGGCACGACCGGCACCGTCCCACAAACCACACACACGCTCGTCACTTACTCACCATACTGCCAAAAAACTCTTCCAAAACACCTTTAGTGCGTCCCGTCACATTTTACATTTGTATATTGGTCCTGCTGATCCTCCTCAGTTACCCAGGACATGTGTAATTTACAAATATGTATCCACTTGCGACGTTTTCCATTAATTAAAATGGCAAAATATTGGAAAACCCTTAATGAGTATTTTGACACTTGGCTTTTCCAAAGAAATTGAAATCACCGTTGTCATTTCCACTGCCCATAATTGTAGGCAGAGTGGCGATATGATGGATTCTCAACTGGGTGCCACTTGTCACACGACCCTGCACTCGCCCGGCTCGCTGCACACTTACTTGGACACGACCGGGTCGTAGAGGAGCGCATACCACCGCTCCTGCACCTCGCGCTGCGTGAAGCGGCAGCTGAACTTTACTCCCATGTGCACTGCTGCCAGGTCGTTTGTCTGCCATACGAGCACAGCACGCGCCGACAAACGTAAGCAACAAAACGTTTGTTTGCCCGGTCAACGCGAGCGCCGGCACTGCCCGCAAACTGATAGCGCCCGTTAACTGGGAGGACCCAACCGCCTGCTCACGGTCCAAAGCCCGGGTGATTGAGCCACCAGTAAAAAGCAAACGGAGCAAAATGTTGACCTGAATGCTTTCCTTAAATTCTGCAAACTCTGCCGGTTTCCCAACGCAAAGCCTGCAAAGGAAATGTTTCGTACGCAAGCGGAATTTCGCCCATCACCTGCGGCAGAACGGCAGCAGTCGACAGCCCATGTGGTGGTGCCAACAAGTTACCGTGAAACCCCTTGAAGCAGACAGCATTTATTTCTGCAGGACTTTACTGTATTCTTTATTACAGCAAAGTCATTTGGGAATAGTACAAAACAATGTTGAGATTTTTTTAAAAGAAATAAACAGAGCGATACCATGGTTAAACAATGCTACATTTGCAACAGCCGTAATTTTGTGCACCCCTAGGTGAGACAGTCAACTTGGTCAATGCAGGCACCATTACGATGGTGTACAAGGTAGAAGAGAAAAATCCCCAACATGACCCAGACCCAGCACGTCCGGGAGACGATGCTGTCAGAATTCACAAAGAACAAAATATATTCCAAAGATTTGTTTTCAGTTGATACTGCTTGTGCAGTGCTCCACAATTCGCGACAATACGCCGCTGACAACCGCCGCTGACCAACGCTCAAAAACAACCACCGCGGAGACTCCACTAAGGATTGAGTTAAAAAGGTTCCTGTGCAACTGAAAGCAGATTGAGCCGATGGCCATCACCGGCTGTAACTATCACAAAAGCAAGCCAAGCAAAAAGGCAGTCCGGCTAAGCAAGTGCATTATGAACGCTCTCGCTTCGCTGTCCTTCATCCACCGATGGCACTTGAGTGTTTCTTCCCAATTTTAACGTAAACGTCGCGTCCACGGCGAGCCATCCCACGCGTTGATTTCTCTCTGGGAGATGACGATCGGGGAAAGAGATGGGAGCGTCAGCTCGCTAGTTAAAATCCATTTCCTCTTTTTCCCTGAAGACCAGCCCGTCCGGCATCAGTTGCTGCATGGAGGCGAGCCGCACGTTGCTGCACTTCTTGTTGAGGGTTCTCAGCAGATCTGAGTTCATCTTCTTGCTGTCCCTGCAGCCCGGGAACCACTTTTCCACCTCATCCAGGATGGCGTTCACCTTCACGGGGTCTAGCTGATTGTAGGGCTTGTAGACGCCCTTGGTGTAGGCGAGTCCGCCCTTCACGTTGGACGTGGCCATCTCCTCGCGAGTGAAAACCTTGTCGGCGAGCTTCCCCAGGAACTTGCGTGGGTCAGGCGCGCTCGAGAGACACTGCTCCAGCGCGCACTTGGACACCGTGAGCGACGAGTCCGCGCCGCCGATGTACACGAGCGAGCCGCTGTAATTGGCCACGCGGAAGCCCACCTTGCTGGGCGAGCGCATGGGAAACGACATCTGGTACTCGGAAAGGTACGGCGACTTGGGCTGCCCGCCGCCGGCCATCGCGGCGGGCTCCAGCCCGCTGTAGATCTCCATTATCTGCGGCGTCCCCGACGTGGGCAGGAACTGCGGGGAGGCGGGCGACGGGGAGCCGCTGCTGTACGAGTGGTGGCCGCCGCCCTGCACGCCGGCGTGGCCCAGCTGCGAGTCGGGCGACACGTCGGCGAAGTGCGGCACCTGGTCCTCGCGAGCGCGGTAGCCGTCCGACAGAGGGCTGTGGCTGGGGATCATGAGCACCTCGCCGCTGCCCACGGACGCCGGGCGGCTGTGCGTCATCGCCGGCGCCTGCACGATCTGCCCGTTCTGATCGATGGTGTGGGGGCACTCCTGCAGGTTCTCGGACTTCACACGGATGCCCAGGCCGCCGAGAGCCGGCCTCAGCGACTCCTCCACGTGGCAGTGCGAAGGCGGGATGTCGGGCCGGGTCGGGCTGGTCGCCGAGTTGGTCTGGGGGAAGCCCATTTCGTCCGGGCCCATCGCTACCGCCGCTCCCACGTGCTCCTCTTCGTTAGCCGCCGTCTCGAAGGAGGCCGCCCGACCGGGAGGGCCGGCAAGAGGCGCGTGCTGGCGAGGGTGAGCCGCCCTGGGCGGTACGTTTCGGCCAGAGGCAGAGTGCACGGCGGAAAGGTGGCGTGCCGGGAGCTGGCGTTCGACGTAATTTCGCCGCTCGTTGTAGCCGTGCTTTTTCCGCTTCCTGGGGATGACGAAGGGCCACTGGTAGGGGCGGTAGAGCGGCTCGGGGCCCCGCGTGCGCTTCTTCTTTAGCTTCTTCAGCTGCTTCTGCAGGGAGTTGATCTTGGCGATGAGACGTTCCTGCCGGAAGTGCATGACGTGCAGGACGCGCAGAATCTCGTTCCAACGAGCGGCCTCCATGTTCCGCTTCAGGCTGTGCGACTCCCCCTCTGGGCTCTGTGGCAACATCCGGGGGGTGGGAAGCACACACAGAGCAAACCGGAGTTTCAGTTTTCAAATGTGGGCATAGTTGAAGTAGTCCGTCACTCAAGCAGCAGCCATGGCCCATTGCCATGCTGACAGTTGACTTATGCTTTTACATTTACAAAATCTATGCATATTAGGCTATTCACAGGCAATGGTGTGGGGGCACTAATTTATCTACGCAACATCAATTGCTTCATATCGTATGACACTACAAAGCACTACAAGCAATGAACGACTTTTTTGAGCATGCAGAATTTATGCAGAAACATATTTGCAAACATTTCAAATTTGTGTTGTGGTTGGTAACTCGAGAACCTTGAGAAGCGTCAACATTCCACGACACAAACCACCTACAATTCAACGCACCTCTTCGGAGTCCGAGCTGGAGGAGTCGCCACTGTCGGGCGCCGAGGAATTGCTATCGTCACTGACGCCGTCCACACGCGGCGGCCGCCCAAAGTTCTCTTGCGCTTCGCTGTCATCCTCTTCTGAGCTGGAGGAGCTCTCCTCATCCGACTCGTAGTCGTAGTCCTGAGAGGAAGAGACACTGCCTATAACCATTACTTGCCTGTAGTAATGGCATCAGGTTGCTCCGAGGGGCGGCTTTGTCATGGCCGCTTTTCGCCGATGATTCTTCACCGGGTCGGACCCACGTGAGCCTCCGAGCCCACGTCACGGTTTGCCGATCGAGATCGCAGCGCAGTGAAACCCGAGAAAACGTGCCGCCCTCCCGATAGGTGCCCCGGCAAGATGAGGCGCCGCGAGTATAACAGCGGGACCACGTGTTAAACGACCGAACCACACCAACACCACCATCACGAATATCTAGAGCAGTGCAGCTGCCGTACACTGGGCTAGAGAGAGAGAGCATGTGACCTGGGAAAGAGAGAACGGCGTCCCCACCTGCAGCACACCGTTGATGAGCAGCAGATCGTCCGAAGGTTTCCACCGGCCAAGGTCCTTGGCCACCTGCACCAGCTGCTTCGACTTCTTGACACGTTTGGAGGACGAAGACTTGGACACCTGCACGGGGAGGTAGCAGGGGGGCCTTGAGCCGCAGCGGGGATCACACACAACCACCGTCCACTGCGGGGCAGGCCTTCGTTTAACGAGCAGTCTATGTTAAAAAGCGCCTGGAATGCGTTCTATCTTGTCGAGACCCTCAGGAACCTAATAACCCCTGGAATTAACAGACGCTTCACACAAATGCGCTGGCGGCAACGGGTATCACCTTCTTCTTCTCTGGGGCGAGCTGCTCCACGCTTGGCATGAGAGGTCGCCCCGGCTCCACGCCCACCGCGCCGCCAGGTGCCATCGGAGTTGGGGGCGCGCCCTTCATGCGGCTCGTCTTAGCCAGGCTGCTCTCCACCAGCTCGTCGTCGAACTTCTTACGCTTTATTGAACTGGACCAAAGAGATCACGCGTGGATGAGAATGCGGCATAAAACAAGTCCGTTAATGCTTATCGCCGATCAGGGCACACCACAGGACATTCTGTCTGCAGCATCTCTTATCGATCTGCTGAGAATTCAGTTGGCATTCAAACTAAATTCTACCACTTTGACGTCTGTACGTGGCGCTCACCGCGAGGAGCTGCGGCGCTTGGGAATGAGGTTAAGTGGCTGCGAGGCTGGGCGCTTGGAGCTCTGGGGCTGAGCCAGGAGCTTGGCAGGTGGGTGGCTGGAACCTGATGGAACTGGGGCGGCAGCTGGGGTAAGCACGTGGCCTGAAGAAACAGGGTGGGATGACTCCAACAGAGGCATCGCGTGATCTACGGAAAAACCAGACGACAGCACGGGTCACGGCACTGATCTGTTGGGTGTTGGAGAGTAATAGTTACAAAAAATTGCATTATACAGACACAATGTCACCAAAAATAAATTAATTATGAATCATATTGGTCGTGAAAGTATACGTAGAAAATTTACAATTAAGTGTTGATATTGAAAATATTAATAGGTCTGTTGTTGCGTGCAAAGTCAATGGTAGAGTACAGTATAAAATTACGTTTGGAAAACAACATTTCTACGCTCTCATGATCCAGACTTTTCCCCCCAAGAGCAATGCGATGGTACAGTTTTACTCGCGGATTAATATCTCACTGAATATTTGCCGGGATGCTGGCAGACCTGAGTTGGTGGCAAGTAACTAGTCACAGCCACAGCGAAAGGTATAATAGACACCGAGAGACCTGGCTGAACTGAATCCCTGGCTTTATTACTTAAAGAAGATGTTGTTTATCGTGACCATCGTTTATCATTTAGAGCCATGTCACAGCCCTTTGGCACTCTGCAAGAGTTGCATGCTGGTGTCTACAAGCTCCGGTTTCTGGTACCGGTGGTGGAATTGCCGGCAGGGGGGTCGGCGACAGGGAGAGGCTCCGGGACCGGTTGTTCGGCAGTCATATTGCCGACACCCTGCAGCTCCCCCACTGGCTCCATGCCGGGTGGTGTGGCTGGCTCCGACATAGCCTCTGTATGGTAGTCAGTCATCCAACCCTCAGCTCACTGGTCACAAACAACGCCTCCTGACCAAACACAGGGACAATGGGATGGTGAGACAGTCATTACTCAGACCTTTGTTTATCAAAGCATATTATATTTTCTCGGGGTCCTCTTGTTTCCTCCCAGAGAACTGCAGAAAATTGTTGGCATTGGCGCTGTCTGGTAGCCTCAAGCTTGTCTGTGGTTCCTCACCAATTGAGATGCAATTTATATGAATGATGTGATATAAAACCAAAAATTAAGTATTTGTTTTGTTATATTTATGTTTGAAATAAAAAAATCATAAGAAACACAAATTAACCAGGGAGGGGTTACACGACAAAAGAATAAATGTGAAAGTTGCCGATTTTTGGATTCAAGCCATACTCAGCCTCGATTTCCATTTCACCAGCCCTAAAAGTTCTGGAACCCTGAAAAACTGCTGTAGTCTGTTCGCTAATATACGTGGCTGATCATACTGCAATTAAGCTGGGTAATATAGCATGAATGAAAACTCTCTGGGTTTAAATAATAAATATTAAATAGGTGACGATTCAGCAAATTACATTCTTCTTAGAACGTCATTCATGGCAATTGCTCGAAACGTTGCCTACTAAATATTCTCCATTTTATTATTGATGTCTATGTTGAGTTATGTTACTTGTGCCGATGCACCAATGAAATGCAGTATTACCAAATGGTGTGCTCAAGGCAGGTTCATCTGGGTGGAAATTTGGCAGATTTAGAATCATCATATAACAATACAATTTATAACGTGCATAGTTCACCGACACAAATGACCATCACCCCTTGAGGCACGGATGTCAGTGTAAATTCGAAATCCAGGTGTAACGGGTAGGCCTTAAATAAGAGTATCCTACAAGACATCCTAGAAGTGTGCACTTACAGCAGCATTGCTTTAAGACAAGCAAACTCTGAACCGGTTTCGATAGTGTAGTAACGTTTGCTTGCAATCATGCTGGCGAACTGCCAATCTTACAGGCAAGGACCACCTCTTTACGCCATGGGGTCCTACGTAGTTCGACACAAATTCATACGGCGAGACGCCACCGTATGTCGAAATAGTTTCCAGTCTCCACGTCTTGAAACAATTCTGCGGAAAGCATGTACAGCAACTATTAGCAGGAGGCCGTGTGGCCGATGGGTTGTGTATTGCTTGTGTATATTTATTACGTGGAGACGGATATACCAAGGAGACATTGCCTGCTTATTTATTTTGACTCTTAAAAAGGAGTGGGTTCTCAAACGTGGCAGTCAAGAGCTCAGCAGCCGAGCAAACGTCTCAAGCTCGACAAGAATGTTGGGAGACTTCCATTGACACAAAATACATAACCTACTGAAGGCCGCTTGGGCGAATTGGTGCTCCCCCCACCTCAACGACATACAACCAAAATGTTGTATTCATTCTGAACCTGATGAAAACATAAATGAGCTGGGGAAAAATCTATACACTTAAAATAAGACCGGGGAAATGGCGTAAGACGTGAAGTGGCGGGCATATATCCCAAGTAGAACCCTTTCACGTAATTCACAACCGTCTCATTTCGCAAATGAGAGTGACCCATCAAATATACATTCGCTTGACCCGACATCTGAAAGAGCGACACAGGCCACGAAAACAATGATGTGCAAATAATAAAAATTAGAAATTAAACAATTGGCTGAGAGCGCGGCACCTGAGTCGGGGCCTACACAACAATGCCCGTGCCCACAGCGTTTCGCGCACACTCAGGGATACTGCCTACAATTTTATAATCGTTACGATTTCATCAATACATACAAAAACATCAAGACTTAATTCGCACAGCAGAGCACTACACGCATAAAATTAAACGTGAAAATTGTTCACAAATTAAGTGCGCCACGCGTTTTGGGTTCGAGACAAGCCCCACACGGGCCAGGCTCGAGGCCTGCTCTCTCCTCAAACGTATAAAATTAAAAATAACAAAAAGCCGTGAAACTCTATAACTTACCAACGATCAGACAGCAGAAGCTACAAACATCGCCTCGTGTTCACTCGCCTCGTCTCATGCTGTTAACTTAGGACTCGGTGTGATAAAGAAAATTTAAAATGAGAATTAAATTATGCACACGAAGGCCTGAGCCCTCCGAGCCGGGCCCAGGCGGCGCGTTCAACGAAACTTTATTGACACCCGCGCGATTCTCAGGCTTCAAGCCGAGCGCGCGCCGTTCCATCTCCAGGCGCGGCAGCCCCCATTGCTCAGCAGCACGAGGGTTTTGGACGATTTTCGCTGTCGCTGACCCAGGCGAGGCAGAGCCACTCGTGACACAGCACTCAACACGTCCGTCAGTAATAACGACAACACCGCCTCTGTGTGTATGGGGGGGGAGGGAAATGTATGAAATAGGCGACGTTTCGCGCAATTACCCTTTTTCTTCATGGCATAATTCTAATAGAGGGGTCCCTCGCCTTTAAACGTATGACAGTTCACATGCAGTGGTTCAATCGAGCCTGACTGCTGATGAGACACTGAATATCGAAACCGATCTGGAGTTTTAATTGTCTTGGGGGCCGTCCATAAATGACGTCACGCACCTGGGGGGGGGGGGGGGTCAGACATTTGTGACGATGTGTGACGACGGGGGGGGGGGGGGGGGGGGTGAGAAATGTGACGTCACATCAAAATGCGCAACTTTAAATGAATATAGACAACACGTTATACTTAATGAAATAGACATTTTAATACATATTTTCTCCTTATTTTTTTTTTGGGGGGGGGGCAGAGCTTTGTGTGCGTCATATTTGAGGGGGGGGGGTCTCACTTTTTGTGACGTCGTGTGATGGGGGGGTCAAAAAGCGTCAAAAATCGCGTGACGTCATTTATGGACGGCCCCTTGAACCAATGCTGCCGATAATGTTCAATCCGAGACCGCCGTGTGTCGCTGATGGGATGCGTCAACAATATACCTTGGGGGAGACGTGGTGGGCAATGTTAAACTGGTAGGAACCTCCTGGTTACACCAGCAGCCCACAGGGGATTACTGTGTCCGTCTGTCGTGCATCCACAAATGGGAGGGGTGGGGCTGGGTGGAGAGGGGAGGGTGGGGAGGGGCTTGGTGGGGAGGGTGGGGAGGAGCTTGGTGGGGAGGGAGGGGCTGGGTGGAGAGGGAGGGGCTGGGGGGGTGGGGAGGGGCTGGGGGGTGGGGAGGGAGAGGCTGGATGGGGAGGGGCTGGGTGGAGAGGGGAGGGTGGGGAGGGGTGGGGCTGGGTGGGGAGGGGCTGGTCACCCCGTGGTGCCCTTATAAAACTCAACGTTTAACCTACTCACGCCGGCTTGTGCCCGCCCTCACAGTCGGGTATATTTGCGGAATGCACCACGTGGTGCCGCTGTTGACCCTGGCCATTGACCGAGCAACCCAACGTGCCTACCAGCTCCCTCCGCAGGAATGTGCTTTGAGCGTGCAATTTTATTGAGGGACTGACGGTGTTGAAAAATGTGGAATACTTTTTTTGTACAGCACTTATGCAATTTGCACTTATATCCTGTACACACGATGTGTAGTCTAGTGACTCGCTTACCTTTTATAGACTTTGCACCCCGATCGTGGTCCGTATTTGTTTAATTGTTGCAACTTGGTGACCCGCCCCTCCACTGGACATCTGCAACTTCATGACCGAGCAGGAGGCGACCCTGGCTGGGGTCACGCGCCCAGGGTCACTGTGAGCACGAAGCCCCAGGCCCAGACCCAGCAGCAGCAGCCCCCCCCCCAGCCCCCCCCCAGCCCCCCCCCCAGCCCCCCCCCCAGCAGCAGCCCCCCCCAGCAGCAGCCCCCCCCAGCAGCCCCCCCCAGCTGCCCCCCCCAGCAGCCCCCCCCAGCAGCCCCCCCCAGCAGCCCCCCCCCAGCAGCCCCCCCCAGCAGCCCCCCCCCAGCAGCCCCCCCCAGCAGCCCCCCCCAACAGCAGCCCCCCCCCAACAGCAGCCCCCCCCCCCAGCAGCCCCCCCCCAGCAGCCCCCCCCCCAGCAGCCCCCCCCCAGCAGCCCCCCCCCCAGCAGCCCCCCCCCCAGCAGCCGCAGCAGCCCCAAATCCGACGGCGTTTGCCCGCGCGGGCTGCTGGAGTGCGTGCGGGGAGCATGGACGCACAGCAGCAGCAGCAGCACAGGCGGGTCTGTGTGGTGCCATTCTGGTGCCCACTGCGCCCAGCAAGCAGCAGACACTGGTGCCCACACCGAGACACAATGTGCAATCAGTAATCACCTCGGAGATTCACAATGCGATTGTAATTTGAGCCACCAGCTTGGTGAGGGGAGGGCACGTGTTCTGCCTGGCCTCTCTCGCCGGTGACCGGGCTGCTATGAGGCGCCTCTCTCCAGACGACAGCCCCCTCAAGGCCACATGGTGCTCTCCGTCAAGGCAATGTCCACACGGATGAGGTCACGTCAGCCGACTATCGCAGCTATATGGTGATGATCTCATCATCATCATCGTTGTTGTTGTTGTTGACCCCAGGTCTGCTTCGAGCACCGCCTTCCTCGTTGGTCACTAAAAGCCGCCAATGACAAAAGTGAACAGTGGCGTTGCTCTGTGGTCCATAGTTTGAGATAGAAACTCCCACATAGATCCACAGACTCCCATAGAGATCCACAGACTCCCACAGAGATTCACAGACTCCCATAGAGACCCACAGACTCCCATAGAGATCCACAGACTCCCATAGAGTTCCACAGACTCACATAGAGATGAACAGACTCCCATAGAGATCCACAGACTCCCATAGAGATCCACAGACACCCACAGAGATTCACAGACTCCCATAGAGATCCACAGACTCACATAGAGATCCACAGACTCCCACAGAGATTCACAGACTCCCACAGAGACCCACAGACTCACATAGAGATTCACAGACTCCCATAGAGATCCACAGACTCCCATAGAGATTCACAGACTCCCACAGAGATCCACAGACTCCCATAGAGATTCACAGACTCCCATAGAGTTCCACAGACTCCCATAGAGACCCACAGACTCCCATAGAGATCCAGACTCACATAGAGATCCACAGACTCCCATAGAGATACATAGACTCCCACAGAGATCCACAGACTCGCATAGAGATCCACAGACTCCCATAGAGATCCACAGACTCCCATAGAGATCCACAGACTCACATAGAGATCCACAGACTCCCGCAGAGATCCACAAACTCCCATATAGATCCACAGACTCCCACAGAGATTCACAGACTCCCACAGACTCACATAGAGATTCACAGACCCCCATAGAGATCCAGACTCCCATAGAGACCCACAGACTCCCATAGAGATCCACAGACTCCCATAGAGTTCCACAGACTCGCATAGAGATCCACAGATTCCTATAGAGATCCACAGACTCCCATAAAGATCCACAGACTCCCACAGAGATCCACAGACTCCCATAGAGATTCACAGACTCCCATAGAGCTCCACAGACTCCCATAGAGACCCACAGACTCCCATAGAGATCCACAGACTCCCACAGAGATTCACAGACTCCCATAGACCCACAGACTCCCATAGAGATCTACAGACTCCCATAGAGATCCACAGACTCACATAGAGATCCACAGACTCCCATAGAGATCCACACTCCCAGAGATCTATAGTCCGTGTGAATGATTGAAGCAGGCAGTGTTGTTGTTAAGCTGTGGTCCACGGTTCGAGTTGGTGGACTGCAGTCGCAATGTGAGCTTATGGTTCATCGTCCATCTGGATAGGAGGCTGCGGCATGACCGTGCGATGCTCCGACGTAGATCCACACAGACCCATTGTGTGAGGGGTCAATTTGTACCAGAAGGTTATTGTGTGGGATTTTGTGTGGGATTATTGTGTGGGATTCTTATATTTACCATGAGGCTGCTCCTGTATAGATCTACCGCTAACCTCCACACGGACATGGAAACGCTGCTGATCAACTCCCCCCATGCGAATAAAAAAACCAAAGCCGCAGGGTCCACACTGGACCCACGGGGTGGTCATAATGGAAATGTGATGTCGTTACCCCCTCGTCCTCTCATCTCTTGTAGGCACCACGTGTCCGGACGACAGTTAACGAACACTCCCCCCCCCCCCCCCCCCCCCCCAGTAGCCATATCCACACCTCCCTCCCGCTGGGGTTATCGCCGTGCCTCGCTCTGTGCCGGTGGCTGAGACCTGCAGAAATCAATCGGCCAATCGATACGCACGTTCAGTCTTTCCTTCCACACGTCTACCCCACGTCGATGCTGAACCCTGAGGGCGAAGTAAAACGTGATGCCAGCAACAATGATACTTTACCGGCAGTGCCCCCCTCTCTCCTGCTCCGTGCCAAGAGAACGGGGAATGTGAATGAAGGCAGAGCGGAGACGATCGCGTGCGTGCTCTTTTATTGTGGAAACGTCCAAAATATTAAAAGACAAGGACACAGAACACGGCGGAACACGAGTCACGGTCAACGCTCCAAAAGTGAAACGAGCAACATCCACAAATCTGTGTGTTTTTGACAATATATATTTGCATACCCTTACAAATTACAGGTGATTCATATTTTTGGTTCTGTTGAAAAAAATACAAATGTTTATTAAAACATACTATTAATGCACATCGCTTTGAAATAAAAAATACTCTGCTCAACTGCAGAGGCGCCACTCTTGGCTTGGCACAGGTCAAAGGTTAACACCAGGCCTGCTGAGATCCTGGGTTCGAAGCTCTCTTGGCGTGGCACAGGTCAAAGGTTAACACCAGGCCTGCTGAGATCCTGGGTTCGATGCTTTTGGGTGGCAGTCTTTCTTGCTTCTGAAGCCCCGTATTGGGTCACCGAGCCAGCAGCACCGAGATTCTGGGCTGCTCTGCCACAATGAATGGACTCTCTGTATCTGCATCAGAATACAATAATTCCCCCTGTAAACTGCAAACAAGTCAGAGGAAGAGGGTATTGGGTTGCCACTAGAAACACAAAAACGGGGAAATATCACGGAAAGGATACCTGATGAGGAGGAAACCAGGTGTACGTATAAATGCATTGTCGAGGGGTATATTAGTAGACAAGCTACGAAAAACGGGGCTTTCAATATCCCAGGAAGACTTCTAGATTTTCCAAGACAGCGACAGCCGTCATAAAAAAGACAATCCTGGGAAAATCCAATGCAGGTAGGACCCGTAAATGAGGATACAGCCCTTAAAGGCAGGGACACACAAAGAGATGTCTTGCTGGGTCCAGTATGAATTCTCTCCCAATTGGCCATAGAAAACCTTTGAAAATCCCTTGCTATTCCACGAATAAAATAAGTTGTTTAGGAATGTAAAAAAAATATCTGCCCAGCCAAAAAATAACTGCCGAGCCCATCCACATTTCAATAAGCACCAATCGTGAAGCAAGCACCTGCTCTGATGCACCAGCCTCTCTGCCTGGCACAATGCTAAACGTGAATCACTTTAGCTACCCTGCAATGAGACCTTGCCACGTTAATGAACGCAGATAAAAACACACAGAGTGCCACCTCCGCAATTAATTTGTTCCTGTAAGCAGACTATTTAATATCATGGTTCGTGCAAATCGACTGAGCATAAGAGGCACCGTTGCAGAGAATGCAAATGAAGTGTTTCTGGAATGGGCAGGCAACGGATTAACCCGCACGTCCTCGCGCATTCGTACACATAAAACAAGCGGCACTCGAAACGTCAACGACCACAGCACGACTTTTTAAAACATCGGAAGACATTTACGACAGTATTTTCTTGCATATTTTATCGAACATTAAACATTAAATAGCAATTAAATGACTTGCATGTACTCACGGAACGCTTGGCTATTTTTTGCAACACTGTGGAATCGAGTATGAACGAGAGGACGTATTATCAACAGACGGAACGTGAAGCAGGCACGCGGGAACCCGACGGCACGAGCGACGTGGTCACGAGGCCGGCACACACCGCAATACCTCCCAGCGCATTGACCTTGCTGAAACGCGTCCGTTAGATTTTCAATACAAAAACATTTGCGTTTTTCGAATGGCATGGAAATTGTAGACACCAGTGTCATTTCCCTTCGCCCCTGCCGTTTACTTTGGCAAAAAGTTCCTGTGCAAAAATAATATCTAAATTAAAATTATGCTGGTGGTGAAAGGTGCAGCCCTCCGTTGCCCGCTCACGCCATTGCAGGTGCAAGGCCCTTCAGAGAGAGCTCCAATAAGTGGGTACTTGGCCTACTCGACCACACATTGGCCCAATAGCTTGGAATAAGTGGGAGTATACACATCGCACACAAACCTGCCGATCGACTCGGTGTGGTTGTACCCGTGTTTGTACGGCTGAGTGGACAGAGGAAGGGGGATTTCACAAAGCGCACCTGGAGATGGAACCAGCGCCCCCAGTGTGCTAACCGCCACGTCACGGCAGCATCCATGCTGGTGGCACTGTACTCGATTATCCTGGCACTGACCCCCAGGATGCAATGGCCATTTTTCATTGGCTTTGTTATGTCTGGGCTCCACGTTTTTCGAGCCACAGCGCGCACAGAGATCATGGATGTCAGGCGACAACATCGATCCGCCGTGACTCGTACGGGAATTCTGTAACCTGTGGCCGTGCACAAACGTGAGCGGGCTGCAGCGTTGTCTGCTTTGCTGAAAGCAAGGCCAAGAGCTCGAAGAGTAATAATATGGCTTGGCAATCGGGTAACTCCATGCCTACTTTTCATACACCACCTGTGTGCGATAGTGGTTCCTTCCAAAGGGCCATGTGGACATTAAACACAGGCTCAGAATGACCAGGCCCAAGTGGCCTCATTATTGATATCTCATCCTCAGCCTCTTTTAAAAAATAATTTGGATTTACGTGGCATCTACATACCACCACGTTAAGACACCTGTTTTTGTTCACCCAATGATTCACTGCTTCTATCTATTAAAAAACCCGAATGTACAGAGGCTTGAGAAGCTTGAGAAGCTGTCGCATATAGGTGTTACAACTGTACTCCTGTTTATATAAATATTATATGAGCTTGCCCTGGAAAAGCTCAATGGGTTTAATTAATTTTTCAGAAGCGTCTTGCTACGTTTTTGCAGTAATGGGCAACAATTACTTTATTTCCAACTTAATTTAATTCGGTAGATTTTGACAATGATGCCGGCGCACGATGGCCGAGTCTTTTCGAATGACGTCACAGGATCTTTAACGTCCGCTGTGAAGCAGACGGCTCGTATTACACTGTTAATACGCTCCCATTGAGCCACGTCACCGCCCCAGCGCTGCTCACCTGGCTAGAGTAAAATCCAACCGACCAGATGACAGCGATGAGTTGGGGTGGATCGACAATGATTATGGGAGTGGCGATCCTTAAAGTGGCAGTCTCGAGTGGTGAAGGCTGTGCCGCCAAATAATCACCGTGCTCGATCATCGCACGACGTTACTTCGTGCGCTGGGCACAAGCAGAGCCAATCGCACCCTTCCACACGGGCGGGGCATGGATCAACACAGCCTCACCTAGAGTCATTTTGCTCACAGGCTGCCACACGCGAGTATCTCTCGCTTCCAACTCTCACAGGAATCTCGCGTGGATCCCTGTGCTCGACAGCGCCTGCCGTGCGGCTGGACGCTGCATTGGAGTGGAACCCGTTATAAATTACAATCGATTCACTCGAGAGCCTGAATTCCTCCAGATGATTTACAGCGTTCCTATGAACAGCCTAAGGGCAGCTGCCAATGAGAAACAATTACGTATATATTTTTTCAAATTGCTTGCATACCTTCTTCAACAACAGCGAGTTTGTATTTTCTGTCCGCTTGTTTGTGCCCAGGCGTACATTCACATCACAATCTCCTTTGGCGCGTCCGGCGCGCTGCCCCCACACGTGCCATCGAGTTTGCACCGCTTGGAGCTCTGCCGCCCCGCGGGAACGTTCTCCTTGTCCTCCGGCTGGGGCACCCGGTGCCCCGCCGGCCTCAAGTCGGTACCTCCCGACCCCAGTTGTTGTTGCAGATGCTGCTGTTGCGGCGGCGGTGGTGGTGGTGGTGGCGGCGGCGGCGGCGGTGCTTGGTGTGGCGAGGAGTCCGCGGTGTCCCGCTCTGCTGCTTCCGAGATCGGCTCTGGCACGGGCTCCCAGTCACGGAGCCACGGGTGGCGCAGGCAGTCCTCGGCGGTGGCGCGACACCTACAACCACAAATGTGTCGAAGGTGACGTGAAAGTACTCCGCAAATACATCCACGCGTACGGCCTGCCGTCACTCCACTGCCGGGTCAGTGGCTGCCCACGCCGTGTGGGTCGCGGGGGCTACTTGCCCATACTTCACCACGCTGGGAAGTCCGGGATAGGGAAAGCGGATCGCATGCGCATTGGTGCGTAGCACGGTACACACGGTGAATTTTGCCACAACCGCCCTCTGCTGACAACGTAGCCCTTGCAGCGCCCGACAACACGAACACACGGAGCGCAGCCAACACAGGGTGCGGCAACAGCGACGAGACACAGCGCATCGGGACCGCGCCGTACTTCCTCTTGTTATTTAATAAGTCTGCTACTCCCATCAAAGCGGACACGTGTGAGGATTGTTCAGGCATCTTGCGCGGAACGAACGGAGATGCGCGTCCAGGCAAACGGTGCTCTCTTTCCTGCGTCCGCTATGGTTCACTAGGATTTCGCTGCACGCTGCACAGCTCGGAAACTTCGAAAGTCGTCCGCGGCAACTCCGCGCACGTGGGAAAGAGGTCACGGCGACGGCCGCGGCAGGGTGGGGAGAGGCCTCACCGTGGATCCTTGAGCAGCAGGCTCTGGATGAAATGCCGGGCGCAGGGAGACTTCCCCTGGAAGGTCTCCTCGTCGTAACTCACGGCCACCTGGGACACGTTCAGGAAGGTCTCCTGATTGTCCGCTCCCAGGAAGGGAGACTCGCCCGTCAGCATCACGTACGCCAGCACGCCCATACTCCTGACAAGAGCGATGATAACAAGTCATCACTTGCTCGTAAAACAATACCGGTGGTGTGACTGGACGCCTGGTTGCGATCGGAAGGTCGCGAGTTCACATTTCCTGTTTGAAGTCAACTTAGCCCATCATCCCTACGAGCAGACAAAATAAGTCCCGCTTTGCAGGGAGTGAATAATGGTTGTCTTCAGGAGAGACTGGGCTCTACCATAGGAATGTGAAACTTAGACTACTGGCTGAAGACCACCAATGGATTTGAGCATTGTCTAATTTCCATTTAGGCAGGGAGAGAATTAAATTATGTCAAGTAATGTAATGAAGTACTTACTTTACATCATACAGTTTGACTTGTTATTTGACTATGTTGTTAAAATTAGGTTTAATTCTGGAGTAAAGCAGCAATGACAACTTACCACATGTCTGTCGCGGTCGTTATGGGGTCATAGTTGAGAATTTCTGGGGCTGCCAAAGAGAAAAACACGGCATTGTCCATCAATCGCTTGGTTCCTTTACTTGGAGAGAGTCAGAAGGTCCACTGACACAACAACAAGTCTCTCTTGCATCGCAGACCTGGATTACAAAACCACGTTCACGTGTCATGAACAACTCACGGTGGTGATGTTGGGGCGGTGCGAGTGGCAACGCTGGTGGTGATGCCGGGACTAGCGGAGACGCCGGTGCTAGAACCCTGCGGTATCGGCCGAGGGTAATTTTAAACGACGTCGACATGTCCTTGCACGGCCTCCGCAGACGTCCGGCCCGCTCTTCGTCCCAGAGCAACGGTCGGCGTCGTGAACCCCAAACAGCTGAGCATCTTATCCCGTCACGGACGGGGACCCTGTGCCTCGCCTAGTTTATCTACTGGGTCGACTGGCCTCGACGTGGCCGAAGGTACGGGGGACCCACTCGCACGTAGACATGTATTGTCCAAAGACACGTACGCAATCGCTGGTGCCGGGCGACACGAGCGATCGTACCACGCCACGCCGCAGCCCTTCACGCTCATCCTCTACACGCGACCCAGACGCCGGCAGCATCGCCCAGCGCCGGCCGGCGGCAGCGGCGGCGCTACTGGCGGAGACTCACCCACGTACTCGGGGGTCCCCATGATCTCCCGCAGCTCCGCCGCGCTGCTCACGCGCCGCGACAGCCCCAGGTCCACGATGCGGATGTCGCCCAGGGGTTCCGCGCTCGTCAGCAAGATGTTCTGCGGCTGAGAGGGGGGCACATGGGGTGGCGGAGGAGCAGGGCGGTGGGCGTGTGTAGGTAGGGATGCGCGTGCAGATGTGGGTAAGGTGTAAAAAGATGTGGGTAGGGTGCAGACATGTGCAGATAGCTGTTAGCCGGTGTGGGTAGGTTTGGACTGGTGTGGATAGTAACGGACAGGTAGATAGACACAGGTGTGAATAGACACAGGTGTGAATAGGCACAGGTGTGAATAGATAGACACAGGTATGAATAGACACAGGTGTGAATAGATAGACAGGTGTGAATAGATAGACACAGGTGTGAATAGACACAGGTGTGAATAGATAGACACAGGTGTGAATAGATAGACACAGGTGTGAATAGACACAGGTGTGAATAGACACAGGTGTGAATAGACGCAGGTGTGAATAGACACAGGTGCGGGAGGGGCACCTTGAGGTCCAGGTGCACCACGTTGTGGCGGTGCAGGAAGGCGATGCCGTCCAGCACCTGGCGCATGAGCCGCACCACGTCGCTCTCCGTGAAGGCGCCGTCGCCCTCCTCCGCCACGCACTGCTGGAAGATCTCCCCACCTGCCGCGCTGCACCAAACAAAGACAAAAGTTCCCCCCCCGTATAGCCTCAACAAGACTGTCGGGGCAAGTGCTGTTAGCCAGCAGCGAAGAAGGCCTGAACGGAACAGGAGGGGGTGGGTGGCCAGCACCACGCCCGGCCGCCTTTGTCTCCCGAGTGGCGAGGTTTACATGCCACACAAGGTCCTAATTTGAGGCCGAATCGACCTAGGGGAGGCCCAAGACCGATTCACATAATCGTCACTTGTGCTGACCGTGAGCGGGAATCGAACCCGGGTCGCCAGGTTCGTCGCGCAGCGTGCTATCTGGTGGTGCACTACCGCCACGCTGCACCACACACACATAGACATCAAGGGTTAGCCATGAACCTTCCACTGCTGGATGAAGGCCTCTCCGAGCCGTCGGGTACATTAGGATGGGTACGGGGTGACAAGCCAGGCTGGTCGCGAGAGGTCTTTCTTCGAACGCAGAGCCGGGGTCCTAGATTAATTATGATTTAGCGTCATTATGATTTATTATGATTTTCATAACTTCCTAAGCATTCCAATTTAGAATTTGTCAATGTTTTATGTACCTTGCAGGTACTGTGCAGGAATTTAACCAATGAAATAAAACATTGTTTTGTTAATTTTAATATAGAAATACATATACGGTGTTAAAATGTATATCCATATAATTATATGCATGTAATATATGGCTACATTTGTTCCATTGGTATACTTTCACGAATATCAGAAAGGGAGTTGGGGGGTGGCGGAAGCTGCAGCGAGGCGGAGGGAGTGAACGCGCAGCTCACGCGGACCGCCTGGTGCATCACTCGGTTCGGACAGCCACACAAAGGACGCGTTAAAAAATAAAAATTCGATCGTCAGCACCGCCGGCCCAAAACCCTGGTGGAGATCCCTCCGCTCTGCCGTGCTCATCAATCACGCGTCGCTCATCTGTAAGCACCGGGCCGGACCTCGGGGAATTACGTCCGCACGCCGACCCGAATAATCAATCGACATTTTTCCAAGAGGAATTTTCTCCCATGGAAACAGCGGCGCCACAGCGGCCGGCGGTCGATGCGGCATTCTAAATCGGGGACAGCGCTCGCTCGGCCTGCGAGCGAGAGGAGATGCTGCGAGACCCGGACGGCGCTCGTGTGGCAATCATCGTCACCGCGCGGTGCGGGGAAGGGCAGCGCGGGGTTATCGAGCAGCGGCGCAGCTCATTACGAGTCACGCCGGAGCGCCCGTAAGCGTCCGCTGAGCGGCCGCCCTCCCGGCCGTGATCATGGTGATCATGGCGTGGCCTTTCCGCCGGCCGTAAATTAAGCCAAGACAGGACGTTCCAACGCCGTCCAAGAGCTTCATTTAAAAATACGAATCCTAGAGGGTGAATGTGTTTCACTGCCTGGTGCAGCCCAAAATCTCACACCAGGTCCGACACAAACTCAGTGTGCCGTTGGTTGGAACCGGATCCCATAATTTCTATCGAGTGCTGTTGCCAATAAGATCTGGTAATCCAGCAAAATTAGTTTAACCCAGGTAGTCCAAACCGGTCGAGAGTTTACTTGACAAAACAAATGCGTCTTGATAATATTGGTCGAGAAAGCCAATAGACTGACGGACAAATCTCATTGATTTATTATTAGTATTGTTGTTATTATTGGAAGTAGAGACACTGAACAGTCTAGCAGCCCAATTTGCCTTCAACCGCAAACACTCACAGGAGCACAACCGGAAAACAGCTCCTCCACGAAAGTACAGATTGTCCTTGTTTGGTTCATTACATTTGTTTCAGTTATTTCTGTTGCCTCAGCGGTGTACGCGCTAATTTGGTTATTGTTACAATGGGGGCCGTGCTGACGTTTGGTTTGCGAAGGGCGTCCCCATGGCACGCCCAACTAAGAGGGCGCCACGTCCTCTGCGGCGCGCGCGCGCGGAGAACGCAGATTAATTAGTATTCTTCGCGCGTGTCCCACACACGGCACGAGTCCCGCGGAGATGCGAGCCTCGCCGCAGCTGGGGGCATCTCCTCTACGCGTCAAGGGTAGCGCCAGACACAGACTACGTCCCTTCAGCAGCTGCGGGATCTGGCGGGGGGGCAGAAAGCGCCGGCGAGGCGTGGTGGTGCCGACGGCCGTGGCCCATGATGACACCTCTATCTTGTCAGACACGCTGGGGGGGGGGGGGGCCTATACTCTCCTGAACACCTGGCTAGGTGGTTAGAGCAACGGGCTTGCAATTGGAAGAGCAATGCCACCTATTTTATATTTACATTTTTCCCTGTAGGGCGGTTCACGAATATTTTGGGTTTTTGTTTGTCATACTTTGTGGGAACATTGGTTGCCCTATGGAGAGACTGAACTGGACCCAACTATGGGAATGCGGAATTTGCACGACTAGTTCAGGGTTGATATAACAGCAGAGCACCTCTCCTCGCTCTATTGAGCAGGAAGACAATTTGGCTTTGGTGTATTCACTGAGAAGAGGCGCACCGTGTCTACATATCGGATATTTGGCCAAATCCTTTAATGGGAGTTTGTGGCTTCATGTTGGAGGAAACCCGCAGGAGACCCACGACACATATGAGGGGGTAAACACTGAAAGCTCCGCACAGATAGATTCAATAATCCATTATTGTATTGCCGGTTCCTGGCCTAAGCCTACAACAACTGGTATTCCCAAGCGGTCTCCCCATCCAAGCTTCTAGAGAGGCATGTTCAACCCAGAAAAGCCTCACCAAGTCTCTATACTCTTTTTCAGGAGCGTGCTGCCATGCTGTTTCAGTAGGGTACGATGTTGCTGCTTTCTCCCATCGCAGGCGAGGCATTTACAGATACATTTTCAGCATTGGGATATTGTGGCCAATGCCAGTTACAACGTGTGTGGATTGTTTATCTATGGGAAGAAATTGGAGGACCTGGCGGAAAACCATGGCTAACAGGGGGAGAGAGAACAAAGAAACTCCACACACAGAGGCCCGAGTGTCAGCACAGGGCCGCCGCCCTGTCGGCCCACACGTGGGCAGGTGGCAGGGTGAGCGTGACGCGCGTGCAGCCACATTGGTCTCCATCACCACACACGGCACACGCATGCCTAGGGCTGGCCCAAGCCAGCTTCACAAACCAATTTCCGCCAGCATTGTGGATCAAGACCAGCAATGGAACCACGGCGACCAGGATTATCGGCAGTGAGCTCACCAACCAGTGCACTACTACGCGACCAGTGCTCTCAGTGTACTCCGCTGCTGGATTAGAGCCTCCCCCACACTGCACTGACCACCACGCTGGTCAGTGCGGGCTAGGGAAGGTGGGGAGCAGAGGTTGGGGCATAGAAGTGCAGCGCAACAATGTATTTTGCTTCAATGCCCTCTGCTGCCGACAGAGTAGCCCCACAGCGGCCTATGACCACATTGCGTGATGGTTTTTAAATGTATATAAAGAGAAACTCTGCACTATCTTGAGAGATCATTCTGAGTAAATTGGTGACAGGGTCCACTCTGTGCGTCGTTGCGTACACACACACATTCATACTCGGCACAATCACGCACAACGTTTGGATTTCAGACTTTGGTTAAATGTTCTCATATCAGCTGAGCGTGCGCACTGCGAGCGGAAGTGGAAAGCCACTAATTTGGCTGCAGCTGCGAAGTTTCTCCACCGCCACACGCCCCGGCGTAGAGTCGGCCGTTTCCCAACGCGGGGCCACACGTGACGATGGAGATAACAGCTCCCCGTAGGAAACGATAAAGAATTAAATAAACAATAATTATTCGTGAAATAAGCCCCCAGTTGTGCACTGTGCGTCCAGGAAACAAACACCAAGATAAATTAAGGCAGATTTCCATCAGTTTTAGGAAGCTAAGCAGTGTTGATCGGGGACGACGGCTGAATGGGCGACCGCCAAGCAAGCCTCGCTTGTCATACGTGCCTGTGATCATGTGCTTCTTTGTGAGCATCAGAGGGCAATAGAGCAAAGTCCAATGTGTTTATACACATGGGCATTGCCAATCTCCACGTGAGTCATGTTCAGTGTAAAAACTTCACGTTAATGAATAATCAGTCTGCGTCTTGATCCAGACTCGTTCAATTCATCTCGTCAGTCACCCACGTCAGTCACCCACGTCAGTCACCCACGTCAGTCACCCACGTCAGTCACCCACGTCAGTCACTATCGTCAGTCACCCACGTCAGTCACTCACGTCAGTCACTAACGTCAGTCACCCACGTCAGTCACTCACGTCAGTCATTCACGTCAGTCACCCACGTCAGTGACTCACGTCAGTCACTCACGTCAGTCACCCACGTCAGTCACTCACGTCAGTCACTCACGTCAGTCACCCACGTCAGTGACTCACGTCAGTCACTAACGTCAGTCACTAACGTCAGTCACCCACGTCAGTCACTCACGTCAGTCACCAACGTCAGTCACTCACGTCAGTCACCGACGTCAGTCACCCACGTCAGTCACCCACGTCAGTCACCCACGTCAGTGACTCACGTCAGTCACTCACGTCAGTCACCCTCGTCAGTCACCCACGTCAGTCACCCACGTCAGTCACTCACGTCAGTCACTCACGTCAGTCACTCACGTCAGTCACTCTCGTCAGTCACCCTCGTCAGTGACTCACGTCAGTCACTCACGTCAGTCACTCACGTCAGTCACCCACGTCAGTCACTCTCGTCAGTCACTAACGTCAGTCACTCACGTCAGTCACCCTCGTCAGTCACTCACGTCAGTCACCCACGTCAGTCACTCTCGTCAGTCACTCACGTCAGTCACTCACGTCAGTCACCCACGTCAGTCACTCTCGTCAGTCACTCTCGTCAGTCACTCTCGTCAGTGACTCACGTCAGTCACTCACGTCAGTCACTCTCGTCAGTCACCCTCGTCAGTCACCCTCGTCAGTCACCATCGTCAGTGACTCACGTCAGTCACCCACGTCAGTCACGAACGTCAGTCACCCTCGTCAGTCACTCTCGTCAGTCACCCTCGTCAGTCACTCTCGTCAGTCACCCACGTCAGTGACTCACGTCAGTCACCCACGTCAGTCACCCTCGTCAGTCACTCTCGTCAGTCACCCTCGTCAGTCACCCTCGTCAGTCACCCACGTCAGTGACTCACGTCAGTCACCCACGTCAGTCACCCACGTCAGTCACCCTCGTCAGTCACTCACGTCAGTCACCCACGTCAGTCACTCACGTCAGTCACCCACGTCAGTCACCCTCGTCAGTCACCCACATCAGTCACCCTCATCAGTCACCCACGTCAGTCACCCTCGTCAGTCACTCACGTCAGTCACTAACATCAGTCACCCTCGTCAGTAACCCACGTCAGTCACCCACGTCAGTCACCCACGTCAGTCACCCTCGCTTTGGTCTGTGGTGTGTCGTTGTAGTCATCATCACCATCGTCACGCTAGATGAGTGTCCGCCACTTGGAGTCGTGTTTCTTGGTGTGTTGGTGATGTTGTGACCGCTGCTTTCGTTATTGATATTAACTCGGGGGGTTGGGAGGGAATGCGTGCGGGGGAATGCGTGCAGGGGCTGTGCGGGAGGGGGGCCGTGCGGGAGGGGGGGGCCGTGCGGGAGGGGGGCCGTGCAGGAGGGGGGGGGGGGCCGTGCGGGAGGGGGGCCGTGCGAGGGGGGGGGCCGTGCGAGGGGGGGGCCGTGTGGGGGGCCGCGGTGCGTTGCCTACTACTCGAGCACGATGACGATGTCGGCGGGCGTCTCGTAGACGTCGTGCAGGCGGATGATGTGGGGGCTGTCGAGCGCCATCTCCAGCACGGCCACCTCGTGCACGCCCTCTGCCCGGCAGTCCTGCCCCTTGCGACGTTTGCGCACAAACTTGGCAGCGAACTGGCGCCCCGTCGCCAGCTCCACGCACATGCGGACCACCGCAAACTTCCCCCTGCACCGTAGCCGATGGAAATGAATGACGCACGTTACATTTCTCAAAATCCTTCACCACCGCCGTCACCACCATCACCGCCATCGTCGTCGTCGTCGGCAAACACCGCCTTGTATAAGCAACACTGTGCCGTGTGGCATAAAAAAACGCTATCTGCTTTTTGAAGGCATTTAAATACAACTGAAGGGCGTCAGCTGATGTATTTGGGTAATGACTCTGCTCTTCTCGACTATAAAGAAGGGGCACAGCCCATGAAGTTCATCATCATCGCTGTGTGAAGACCTTTCCAAACCGTTTCCTCTCCGATGCTGCCCACAAAGTTATCCGTTTAGATAGTCAGACAGCTCTCTGGGTTTTAAAGAACACTAACATCCCACGTTATGAAGCAGCATTTTTTATGACGATGGTGGTAAACCTGTGTTCCTACGACACTGCTAATACAGTCACTAAAATGTTACGTACATTCCTGTAAACCATAAACACAGAAGCCTCAAGACGCCTCTCAGCAGTCAGGATTCTGCAAGGAATTACAATTCAGGGCAAAACTCTGGAGGAGGGAATGGCATGCAAGTAGTGATGTCTCAAGCACTGTGCCATGTTGATGGTGGCACCAGGGTGGGCTTCACAGTGCCCAGACTACCAGCGACACGACCTCATGCTGCTAAAGCACCGTTCCCACACCCCAAAATTCTCCGAGGAGACCGGCGTCCATCTCAGCCTCTTTCCCAGGCCCCTGCCTAAATTATCCGTGGCAGCCCCACCTACATACATCACTTATTCCTGCGAGTCCGAGCCACGCTGAGGTTTCCCACGCCGCCCCAGCGGTTCGCAGAGCCGCCGAGCAGAGCGTGGCGGAGGCACAGGAAGCGGCTCGTGTGGCAACCGCAAGTCTCAGCGGGAGGACAATTTCAGGCCAACGAGGATGTTGAGTAACAACAACGAGAACAACAACAACGTGCCTTGCCAACGCCGATGTGCACACCGACATCGAGCTCAGGTTAACCACGCTTGCCACTCCTAAACACACCGTGGCATGGCTTACAACTATTTATTAATTAACTAGGGCATGGAAAGTTTAAAAAGGAAGAACGATAATAAAAAGAATCCCTCTGCGGTTATGACTCAATCTGGCGCACATCCCTGCCACTTGCAGTAAGCACGTGCCCGTGTTAGTTGTGAGTGCCAGAGACGTGTTAGTTGTGAGTGCCAGAGACGTGTTAGTTGCGAGTGCCAGAGACCTGTTCTTTGGTTCTATTCGGTAAAGTCACGTAGGTAAAAAATAAAACAACAAAAATCACGACGTTTCGGCCACAACACAAGCGGCCTTCATCAGGTGAAGGGATCAGGCTGTCTCAAGGACAGCGCTGGAGTGAAACACAGCCACGCTCAGACCGCGACCTTTAAGCTGTGTGCGAGGAAACAAGGTGCCTTGACAAAGGAATTAGCATGAAAATTAGCATTTGATTGGCCGACTTAGCATGATGAACGGTGCAGAGGCGGTGTACATGCGGGTGCACATGCCGGTTGGCGCGGGGAGGGAGGGGGAGCTTACCCATTGATGGTGTGAAAAGGGAATCCTTAAGAGCTGTGGAAATTTGGGGTACCACTACTTGAAAAAATATACTGTACCATTGAAAATTAGTTTAATGTTTGGTTCCATTTAGAACATCTTTCCATTGGTTGCTTAATTTGAAACTATCTTCTCGGTTGAAATTGTGTCTGTGTTTGTAGATCTGAATTGCCTCGTGAACAAATCTCTGATAAAAATCCGTGGGTTAGCAAAGAACCTTGGTATCGGAGAAAATTATATCGTGATCACCCACAGCGTTGTAACAGTAATCAGCCACGGCAGAAGAATTCGTTCTGCCGTGTTTCAAATCTGATTTGTGCTCGCGAATTCGGTCAGAGACATGTCGCTTTGTCTCCCCGATATAGCAATCACCGCTGGTACAACTCAATTTGTAAACCCCGGGGTACTGTAAGTCAGGAATGACATCCTTCACGGATGGGATCAGATCACGAATTTTGTGTGCTGTATTGAACCGGACCTGGATCTTGTGTTTGTTTAGAATTTTGGAAATCTTTTTAGTAACGCCTGCTATATATGGTAGTGTGATGGTTTTGACCGGAGTATCAAGTGGTTGTTTCTGTATGGAGGGAGAAACAGCTTGGCGGATGGTACGGTCAGAGTATCCATTCCTTTTGAGGGCCAGGTGTACATGTTTTAATTCACTGGTCAGGTGGTGTTGGTCCAAAATGCAATGAGCCCTATGGTATTAAGTTTTGATGAGATAATTATTTTGGGCTGGGTGGTGGGGGGAATCAGGTTTCAAGTAGGAATCTGTGTGGGTGGGTTTCCTGTAGACAGAATGCCCCAATGAGCCATCAGGTCTCCTCTCAAACAGAACATCTAAGAATGGTAGCTTGCCATCTTTCTCCACTTCCATGGTGAATTTAGTGGCGGGATGTCTGGAATTGATGTGGTGCAGGAAAAGGTTCAGAGCTGGGAGGCCATGTGGCCAAATGACGAAAGTGTCATCCACATATCTCTTCCACAGGGAAGGTCTGAGGGTGGAAGTCTGGATGGCGTCTGATTCAAATTTCTCCATGAAAATATTGGCTATCACTGGTGACAAGGGGGATCCCATGGGGGTACCCTCATTTTGTTTGTAGAAGGAGCCATTCCAAGTAAAGTAGGTATTGTTGAGGCAGTGCTTAACCAGTGCAGGTGTATCGGGGTCTAGTCCATGTTGGACCAAATTTTCAATTATTTCAATGGTATCAGGTACTGGGACCTTGGTGAACAAAGAGACCACATCGAAGCTGACAAGGATATCGTCAGGGGACAGTACAACGTCTTTGACCATAGAGACCAATTGGGCTGAGTTAAGTACTGCTGAGGCGGTCTTGCCAGTGAAAGGCAGCAAGGTATCTGACAGAAAACGGGCTAGTCTATAGGTAGGGGAGTTGATCGTGGATACGATGGGTCGTAGTGGGGTGCCTTCTTTATGAATCTTGGGAAGACCATAGAATATAGGGGGTCTTGCAGCAGAAGGTTTTAGGGAGGGACGTTTAGTTGGGTCGATTAGGGAGGTCGAACTTGTGATGATCTTGTTGGTTTTTATCGCTAGGCTATTGGTAGGGTCATTTTAGATTTTTGAGTAACTTCCATCATTAAGCAGATTCTGGATTTTGTCGTTGTATGAATCTTTATCCATAATTACAGTAGCGTTGCCTTTATCGGCTGAGAGGATGACTATATCACTTCTGTTTTTTAAATTCGTGAGTTCAGAGCGTTCATTTTTGCTGATGTTACTAATGGGTTTCTTAGCATTCTTAAGAATAGTGGCTATTTCAGCTCTCGCAACGTCTGCTTGGATGTGTCCTACGCCTTTGAGGGCTACATCGACCTGAGAGATGATATCATCTACTGGTACGTGTTTTGGGGTGATAGCAAAATGCAGTCTCCTAGCCAGTACTGTTTTCAGATTGTCCGAAATCGGGGTGCTACTCTGATTAATGACGATTTTGTTGACGTCTAGTTTTGTTATACGTGGAACTGGGTTCTTCTTTGAGTTGTACCTGCGGTGATTGCTATATCGGGGAGACAAAGCGACCTGTCTCAGACCGAATTCGCGAGCACAAATCAGATTTGAAACACGGCAGCACGAATTCTTCTGCCGTGGCTGATCACTATTACAACGCTGTGGGTGATCACGATATAATTTTCTCCGATACCAAGGTTCTTTGCAAACCCACGGGTTTTTATCAGAGATTTGTTCACGAGGCAATTCAGATCTACAAACACAGACACAATTTCAACCGAGAAGATAGTTTCAAATTAAGCAACCATTGGAAAGATGTTCTAAATCGAACCAAACATTAAACTAATTTTCAATGGTACAGTATATTTTTTCAAGTAGTGGTACCCCAAACTTCGCAGCTCTTAAGGATTCCCTTTTCACACCATCAATGGAAAAGCTCCCCCCCCCGCGCCAACCGGCATGTGCACCCGCATGTACACTGCCTCTGCACCGTTCATCATGCTAAGTCGGCCAATCAAATGCTAATTTTCATGCTAATTCCTTTGTCAAGGCACCTTGTTTCCTCGCACACAGCTTAAAGGTCGCGGTCTGAGCGTGGCTGTGTTTCACTCCAGCGCTGTCCTCGAGACAGCCTGGTCCCTTCACCTGATGAAGGCCGCTTGTGTTGTGGCCGAAACGTCGTGATTTTTGTTGTTGTATTTTTTACCTACGTGACTTTACCGAATAGAACCAAAGAGTATGGATCCTTGCAGTCACGAAAGCTTTAAATCTAGAAGAGACGTGTTAGTTGTGAGTGCCAGAGACGTGTTAGTTGTGAGTGCCAGAGACGTGTTAGTTGTGAGTGCCAGAGACGTGTTAGTTGCGAGTGCCAGAGACGTGTTAGTTGCGAGTGCCAGAGACGTGTTAATTGCGAGTGCCACATACGTGTTAGTTGCGAGTGCCAGAGACGTGTTAGTTGTGAGTGCCAGAGACGTGCGCACGCATTCTGAATGCCCAGGCCTGAGAAAAGCCTCGCGTAACCTCGCAGCAAACAGCACAGTGATATGACGCCTCTAACTTGCGTCTGCTCCCTGGTCCACTCGAGCCAGATTCTGCCTCTGAGTGCAATTCCAAGGATGCCCTTCTCTCTGCTTCTTTGCACACTTTTTAACATTTGTTCGATATTCCATGCCAGTGTCCATGTTTATGATCCACTCATTATACGGGATAATGTGTAACAATTAAAGATGATTTTCCTGAAGCACAGTGGGATGCTTCTTTTCATGAATTAATCCAGTTTTCCAAAAGCACTCCATCCTGTTCCATAAATAATATTGTTATATTCAAATATAGAAACTTGAAGGAACTTCCTCCAGAAACTTGTAGGAATGACCTGGAGCATCTCAGCTGAGGGGAGAAACACAGATAATCTTTTTGTCTTGAGTTTAATATTATTACGCAACTGACAAAAACCGCAGGGACTTTTAATGACTCCGAGAATGCTCACAAGATACTAAGGACAGTCACAACCCTCAACAATGAGCACCGACACGAGGAGAGGTGGTGAGAGCAGCACTCACCTGCCGAGCTCCCGGCCGGTGAGGGAGTACGCCGAAGAGAAGGGCTCCGTGCGAATGTGCGTGTGCGTCTCCGGCACCAGCCCCGAGCTGGGCGCATCGCGACGGGCGAGCATGGCTCCCGGGAGAGCGAGCAAGCGGGTGGGCGAGGGAGCGTGGCTGATAAAGGTGGCTCGGGGAGAGCGAGCGGGCGGGCGAGGGAGCCTGGCTGATCAAGGTGGCTCGGGGAGAGCGAGCGGGCGGGCGAGGGAGCCTGGCTGATCAAGGTGGCTCGGGGAGAGCAAGCGGGCGAGCTGGCGAGCGATGGAGCCTGGCTGATCAAGGTGTCTCGGGGAGAGCGAGCGGGCAGGCGAGGGAGCCTGGCTGATCAAGATGTCTCGGGGAGAGCAAGCGGGCGGGCGAGGGAGCCTGGCTGATCAAGGTGGCTCGGGGAGAGCGAGTGGGCGAGCGGGCGAGCAATGGAGCCTGGCTGATCAAGGTGTCTCGGGGCGAGCGAGCATGTGAGCGAGGGACTCTGGCTGATCAAGGTGGCTCGGGGCGAGCGAGCGGGCGAGCGATGGAGCCTGGCTGATCAATGTGGCTCGGGGCGAGCGAGCGGGTGAGTGGGCGAGCGATGGAGCCCGGCTGATCAAGGTGGCTCGGGGCGAGCGAGCGATGGAGCCTGGCTGATCAAGGTGTCTCGGGGCGAGCGAGCGATGGAGCCTGGCTGATCAAGGTGTCTCGGGGCGAGCGAGCGATGGAGCCTGGCTGATCAAGGTGTCTCGGGGAGAGGGAGCGGGCGAGCGATGGAGCCTGGCTGATCAAGGTGGCTCGGGGCGAGCGAGCGATGGAGCCTGGTTGATCAAGGTGTCTCGGGGCGAGCGAGCGATGGAGCCTGGCTGATCAAGGTGGCTCGCCGTCCAACGCCGTCGTGGCCGTCGTGGCCGTCCCGTGCCAACGGCCCCTTGATGCCGGTGGCCCGATGCGACCGTTCGTTCTGACAAAGAACAAAACGTCAAATCGTTATCAAGAATATCCGACTCCTCCTTGAGACTTTAATTTCAGGAGGATCCCGGATTCAGATGTTAGTCCATTTCCTGTATAAGTTTAATGTTTGATCTGTGTGTGGAAGGAAAGTGGAGTACCCGGAGAAAACCCAACACATGCAAGTGGATAACACTGAATGAGTGGATCAATTCATCAAATTCGATTAACTACTTTTCATAGTAAAGCTGGAATCATTAAGAATACACAGTGGTAAGAGACATAAAAAAAACATACTAATTATGTCAACGGCAAAACTGTGGACACACACACACATCCTATTGGAGAACTTTACGGGAGAAATCATATTTGTGGGATAAGACACTTTGGACAACGTGCCACTGAATAGTGACGATTACGACAGTTCTGTACACAGTACAGTAGTGTCCTTATTCAAACTGAATGTACAGTACACTATAAAGACAAAGATTCCCCTTGTAGCCTGGGCAGACTGTTGGGGCACACCAGAGGGGTGGGTGGCCAGCAACCCAGCCCGGCTGCCTTTGTCTCCCTTGTGGCGATGTTTACACACCGCACTCGGTAACAATTTAAGGCCGAGTCGACCTAGGGGAGGCCCATGATTAATTCAGAAAGTCGTCTCTGGTGTTGGCCGTGAGAGGCAATGGAAACAGTACAGTACAGCACACACGTCATTACACTATCACCACGATGTCCATTCGTTTCGCATCTAACACCGTGGAATTATTATGGCCAAGTAACCTATCCCTCATACAGCAGTGGATTGACACTTTAAAGGCTGTAGACTATAAATACGGGGGGGTGTCGCAGTGGTTAATCCACTACGCTATGAACCCAACCGGATCCGAGTTCGATACACGGCCACGGCTACCGTCAGTGGCGAGTGCCACCGACCCGCGTGGTGAAGTATGGTCAACCACCATGTCCCACAAGGCCATTCATCCAGCAGTGGATCGACATGTTGTCATGGTCGATCCACTGGACGATGACACACCGCCACACACAAGTGCCCTGCCATGCAGTGGCACAGTACACTGTACACGCGACAGTCTACACCCCCACAGCGGGACAGTCTGTAGTACTGTAACGCACGTGGACGATACTGTAGCTGCTGACCTGCTGCTCACAGTGGTCAGGCGTCCACGGGGTGGAGGCTGCCACGGTCCAGAAGCCTCCCACCGGTAGACTCCCCACCGGTAGACTCCGCACCGGTGGACTCCCCACCGGTAGACTCCGCACTGGTGGACTCCCCACCGGTAGACTCCCCACCGGTAGACTCCCCACTGGTAGACTCTGCACTGGTAGACTCCCCACTGGTAGACTCCGCACCGGTAGACTCCCCACTGGTAGACTCCGCACCGGTGGCTCCGCACCGGTAGACTCCCCACTGGTAGACTCCCCACTGGTGGACTCCCCACTGGTGGACTCCCCACTGGTAGACTCCGCACCGGTGGACTCCCCACCGGTAGACTCCGCACCGGTAGACTCCTCACTGGTGGACTCCGCACTGGTAGACTCCTCACTGGTAGACTCCGCACTGGTAGACTCCTCACTGGTGGACTCCGCACTGGTAGACTCCTCACTGGTAGACTCCGCACTGGTAGACTCCCCACCGGTAGACTCCGCACCGGTGGACTCCCCACTGGTAGACTCCGCACAGGTAGACTCCTCACTGGTAGACTCCGCACTGGTGGACTCCGCACTGGTGGACTCCGCACAGGTAGACTCCTCACTGGTGGACTCCTCACCGGTAGACTCCCCACTGGTAGACTCCTCACTGGTGGACTCCCCACTGGTAGACTCCTCACTGGTGGACTCCCCACTGGTAGACTCCCCACTGGTGGACTCCGCACGGACTCCCCACGGGCGGAGAAAGAAGTCACGGGGAGACCGCCACGGGCAGCGCACACGCTGGAGCTGCGCCACAGTCCGGGTCGTCACCGATCCGCCGTGACAGTCAACGCCACGGGCGGACTGCTGCCGCAGGGAGCGAAGCGGGCGACAAAGAGGAGCGGAGAGCGGCGGCGGAGCCGCGCGGCTTCAAACCCCGCGCCGGCGTCCAATGGCGCGGGGCCGCGGGCCCGCCGAGCCGCGCTGATTGGCGGAGCCGCGAGCTAGGGGGGGGGCTAGTCCAGCCCCCCCCCCCGCCCGTGACGCCTCCACATCACCAGCAGCACTCACACCCTGACACATTCACTCACTCCCTCATTCATTCACTCACTCCCTCATTCATTCACTCACTCCCTCATTCACTCACTCCCTCACTCATTCACTCACTCACTCCCTCATTCATTCACTCACTCCCTCATTCATTCACTCACTCCCTCACTCATTCACTCACACCCTGACACATTCACTCACTCCCTCATTCATTCACTCACTCCCTCATTCATTCACTCACTCCCTCATTCACTCACTCCCTCACTCATTCACTCACTCACTCCCTCATTCACTCACTCCCTCATTCATTCACTCACTCCCTCATTCATTCACTCACTCCCTCACTCATTCACTCACACCCTGACACATTCACTCACTCCCTCACTCCCTCATTCATTCACTCACTCCCTCACTCATTCACTCCCTCATTCATTCACTCACTCCCTCACTCATTCACTCACACCCTGACACATTCACTCACTCCCTCACTCATTCACTCACTCCCTCACTCATTCACTCACACCCTGACACATTCACTCACTCCCTCACTCCCTCATTCATTCACTCACTCCCTCATTCATTCACTCACTCCCTCACTCATTCACTCACACCCTGACACATTCACTCACTCCCTCACTCATTCACTCACTCCCTCACTCATTCACTCACACCCTGACACATTCACTCACTCCCTCATTCATTCACTCACACCCTCACTCACTCCCTCACTCATTCACTCACTCCCTCACTCACTCCCTCATTCATTCACTCACACCCTCACTCATTCACTCACTCCCTCACTCATTCACTCACTCCCTCATTCATTCACTCACTCCCTCACTAATTCACTCACTCCCTCATTCATTCACTCACTCCCTCACTCATTCACTCACTCCCTCATTCAATCACTCACACCCTCACTAATTCACTCACTCCCTCACTCATTCACTCCCTCACTCACTCCCTCATTCATTCACTCACTCCCTCACTCATTCACTCACTCCCTCACTCATTCACTCACTCCCTCATTCATTCACTCACTCCCTCACTCATTCACTCACTCCCTCACTCATTCACTCCCTCACTCACTCATTCACTCACTCCCTCATTCATTCACTCCCTCACTCATTCACTCCCTCACTCATTCACTCACTCCCTCACTCATTCACTCCCTCACTCACTCATTCACTCACTCCCTCATTCATTCACTCCCTCACTCATTCACTCCCTCACCCGTTCACTCACTCCCTCACTCACCCGTTCACTCACTCCCTCACTCCCTCACTCACTCCCTCACTCATTCACTCCCTCACTCACCCACCCCGTTACTCGCACGACGTCTCGCCCGCCACCAAAGATGCCCCGTGTAGCCTTAACAGACTGCTGGGGCAAGTGCTGTTAGCGACCACGGCACAACCACGCCCGGCCGCCTTTGGCTTCCAAGTTGCGATGTTTACTACACACCGTACCAGGTACTATTTTTCAGGCTGAGTCGACCTAGGGGTCGTCTCAGGTTCAGATAATCGTCACTGGTGTTGGCCGTTTGCGAGAATTGAACTCGGGTCGCTGGGTTCGTTAACCGCTGGGCCACCGCTCCCCATATCGCCATCATCACCTTCATGATCATCACCCATCAAACACCATCATCATCATCATCACCATCACCTTCATGATCATCACCCATCAACCACCACCATCACCTTCATGATCATCACCCATCAACCACCATCATCACCATCACCTTCATGATCATCAACCACCATCATCACCATCGCCTTCATGATCATCACCATCACCTTCATGATCATCACCCATCAACCACCATCATCACCATCACCTTTATGATCATCACCCATCAACCACCACCATCATCACCATCACCTTCATGATCATCACCCATCAACCACCATCATCACCATCACCTTCATGATCATCACCCATCAACCACCATCATCACCTTCATGATCATCACCCATCAACCACCATCATCAAATCTCATCTGTCATCAGCATGCAACGCGCGGTGGCGCTCATTTCGTTTCACAGCCCAGAGCCAGTGATGGTACAACTCCACATTCCCACGGCAGGGGGCAGTCTAATTCTACACAGGATGTTGCTTATCAAGACGCAGTGTTGGAGTGTACTCTCTTGTTTTGTACTGCCCATGGGAGGATGGTGAAAGGCCGTTGCCCTCCGACCAGGTGCTTGCCTCCAGGTCATATCATCGTCCTTATCCACATTCTCCGGATTATAAGACGCACCTTTCCCCCTGTATTTTCAAGCAAAAATTGCGGATGCGTCTTATAATCCGGGGTGTGTGTGGCCATCTTTGTATAACTTTATTGACACCGATCACAAGTTTGGGGTGCGTCTTACTTTCCGAAGCGACCTATGATCCGGTAGACGTTGATGTCCTTTCCTGCGGCAGTTTTGCCCGAATTTATCTTCCCATGAATCAACTCTGCTTTTTTTGTATGTAATCGACTTCATTGCGAACGAGTTTAACACGTCACTAGGCAGAGGTCTCCCCACTTATTAAAGCTGACGGCTCCGAGCACACCTGAATTCTCAAAACCCAATTGGGATTGAGCGTTGCAAGAGGCACCGGGTGGTACAAAGCCACCCCAGCGCGTCGCGTGGACGTGCCTTGGCACGCGTGTTCGAATAACAATCCTCGATTTATCCAAACCGAAGTTTCAAAACCACATTCATTCAAAAATAGGTGGTCATTAAACCACTCACGCTGCACATCCGGGCATAGTGCCCGCGTCAGGGACTGTCTAATGAGCTACTCGAGGCTACTGCCAACAGCTGTCCAGACCGCATTATTACAGACGCCAGTAGATGGAGACGGAGTGCCATTGAATAAAATCCGGCAAAACACGAATAACGAAGTTAAAAGTGGTATGCGACTGCCCTCTGCTGAAAGACAACGCTGTGGCAGAAATACACATTATTAGCATGGTTGGGTTACGTACGGTGCAAAAGTTCAATATACACTACGTACATAACAGTCGTTACAGGATTGAGAACAGCAGCTGTGTCAGTCATCATTTTCAGCCATGGTCCACTGCTGAATGAAGGCCTCGTTGTGTGTGGTAAACTTTACGAGAACTCTGATACTCGAGTCAATTGAATACAAAAGTAGTTGGAAATAAATCTCAATTGTTCATGGGACATTTTTTGCCAGTATCAAAAAAGGCATCCCATTATTTAGCTGCTTACCCCGAGCGATACATTTTCTGATACGTGCATTGTCTTTGTGCTGTTCGCCTTTTGGCGTTCTCTGGTCTGATACTGGGAGTGACACTAGGCCATAAAGGAGGTGGCTCTGGTGTAGGTCACTCAGTTTCAAAGACAATGCGTACATAATTATCAGAGCATGTTTGTTTTCATTTTCACCACAATTACGTCTGGTTAATGCAGACTTGATTCCTTGTTTGAACATCGTAACTACCTGTTTTATTGCCAAAAAGGGTAAAACATATTCAAACTTTCAATCCCAATTCTGTTTCCCACGTGTGCCGCTGTACGGGAGGTTATGGGCGGGGACTGACTATACCATTGCCTTCGGGAGGCAGGGTATTGGGGCTGGAGGAATCGACTATAAACGAGAGTATTCTGTTGTGATTTCACCTCGAGACTTTCACTGGCATGAGTCCAGCGGGAGGGTGACACGTGACAACGCGTTTACAGGAACCCACTGTCAACGACAACACACAACGGGGCTCAGCTGTGGGTATAATTATATGTACGGTTACAAAAAAAAACCTAGGACCCGGACAGGCATGGGGAGGCCCTCATCCAGCAGCGGAGTCACAAAATAGTTGATATAATGCACTCGGATGGTAAACAAACGTCCGTCCATGTGGAAGAGGCACGGAGATGACACGTTCGTCATCTGGCCACATGGCCGACCAGCTCTGAACCAATTCCTCAACCACATCAATTCCATACACCCAGTCATCAAATTCACCATGGAGGTGGAAAAGGATGGCAAGCTACCATTCTTGGATGTTTTCATCGAAAAGAGACCAGATGGCTCAATGGGACACTGTCTACAGGAAAGCTACCCATATGGATGCCTACCTCAAACCTGACTCCCACCACCATCCATCCCAGAAGATTTCCCTCTTCAAAGCTCTACACCATAGAGCTCGACGTATTTCCGACCATCATCACCGAGCCAGTGAACTGGAACACGTACACCAAGCTCTCAAGATGAATGTATATTCAGACTACACAATCCGTAAAGCTATCACCCCAACCGTTGGGAAAGAACCATCTGAGGATTCAATCAAAACCATCACCTTGCCATACATAGCAGGGGTCACCAAAAATATTTCCAAAATAATGAGCAAACACAAGATCCAGGTTCGATTTAACACAGTCATAAAATTCGTGATCTGATCCCATCTGTGAAGAATGTGATCCCTGACATGCAATACCCTGGCATCTACAAACTAAGCTGTGTCTGCGGCAGTAGTTACATTGGGAAAACTAAGCAACATGTCTCAGACCGTGTTTGTGAACATAAGGCAGATCTGAAACACGGTAGGACCAATACCTCGGCCGTGGCTGATCATTGTTTTAATGCGGTGGGCTCACGAAATTGATTTCTCCAAGACGAAGGTACTTTGCAAACCCACTAGCTATCAACAAAGATTCGTTCATGAAGCCATCCATATATAGAGACACAATTTAAACCTAGAAGATGGGTACAAACTTAGCAATAATTGGAAGGACGTTATCAACCAGTTTAAGTCATAACTGGCTGTGATGTTCCCATCCTACCACCTTCCGATGTTAGTTGTTATTTTCGGCTCTCCGATTTTACATTAACAGGTTAAATTTCTCACACTAACACAGCCACCTTTGGGTGCCGACCTAGAGGTTGCGGCTCTGCGATCTCCCATTAACATGCTAATCTCTCCCATTAACATGTTAATCTCTCACATTAACATAGCCACCTCAGCGCACTCGCCCTGGAGGCCACTCACCGATCTTACATTGACATGCTAATTTTTACCTGGCAGCCCTTTAATTGGTGGAAAACCCACCACCGTCGTGGTCGCCGCCCACCACTCACATTAACATTAACTGCCCCGCCCATGCTGCTGACATTTGGGCTAAACCTTGCCTTTAGAAGCTAACCCCCTTTTCCTGAAGACGACCGCTTGTGTTGCGATCAAAACGTCGTAGTTTTTTTTTTCTCTGAAGCTATCTACGTGACATTACCGAAAGACGCAAAAAATGGGTAAACAAACGACTCAAGCAAACGCTACCTTTACGAAGGAAACGTGACATTTAACAAGGGAGCTCACCGGACAAACTACAAAGTCAGCAATAAGAGACAAGGGGTCAGGGCCGCTGGGCTGCCACTGCTGAATTCGGGTTCCAGTTGAGTTGGTGGTCTCGGCCTACTCACCAATGACTGCAGACACACACACAAACGAACCACATCACGTTACATTTATCACTCCCGTCTATATTGTGTGGACGGGAGATTACTTGAAAGCATCCCAGAGGCAGTTCAGTGATATCTCCTTCAGCGGACCGTTCTCAAGCACAGGGAGGGGGACGCACTGTCGCTACACGAGACTGAATGGACACGCAGCCTCTCACGGCGGCGTGGCAATGACGGCGCAAGCTGCGTTTGGGAAGTCAAAATCAAGCGCACGTAGAGGGCAGGAAGAGACCCAACCCGCGTTTCCGCGACTCTCAAGAGCGAATACTGACCTTGAAGACCTGTGGGCCCAAAGGTTCCTTGTTTTTTCCTTGAGCTCGCCACATTTCCTTTTTGTTTAGTGCCAAAGATGTAGATTCTAGATTGGATAAAAGTATCAATCTGCTCAAACAAGCACTGCAACTTTATGACGGTCATGAGCTCATAGAGGAAATGCCACAGTCCTATCAGAGAAACACGCGAGTTATGTCAATCTCGCACCCACTCGCTTCAAGATCCTCCTTAGACAAACCCCTCTACTCCCCTTCTCATACTCTCCCACCTCCCCTCGGCTGCCACCATTCGCAACTCTTTCCCCCCAGGTCTCCGTGATGTTGACTCCCTGGCCCTGTTCCAATCTAGGTTCAAGAGCTTCATTTCTCGACCTACGACTGACTGCCTCTCTGAAATGAATATTCCCATCACTCCCCTGCGGGTTGTTCAAGGCGGGGAGCATAAAATACAAATAGTGTACACCAATGAGTTTGACTCCACTTCCCAAAAAGTAACCCCGTAATCTATAATAACCATCCGTGCATGGGGGTCGCCCATCCAAACACTATTCAGGCTCAACGCTGCTTAGCTCCCGGAGATCCGCTGAGAGCGGACGCTTCCCGGGTGACATGCCTAAAGGCGCCCACAATTACGGCGTGAGACTTGTTTCACAATTCTGATTGCGCGACTCTGGTCGTGTCAAAATCACGAGCAGCTTGTATAAGCTCCAGTACAGTGCGTACGTGATTTGGCACGCGTGTTTGAACATCAAATCTTGATGTACATTTGCATAAAACACAAGGCCACTGAAACTGCTGCTGCTGCTCCAGCATCACGCTGCAGTGGCCGCACCCTGACCGGGCAGAGGTCGCGCATGGCAGTGTGTTCACAAATTCCACACCGTGGGTGTCTGTGAAGATAACCTGCGTGTGGGTCTCTTGCGTGACGTGAGTGTCTCTCAAGAGTAAGCGTGTATGTTGCCAGGCTCAAACTGGTCAATGATTGCACAACACTCAGGGATGTAATATTTTAAGCAGTCTATATGGCCTGCAGTGACGCATCAATCAGAAACGTGGGAAAATAGAAAGAAAATGGAATAAAAACTGAAAATGGTGTAAACAGACATAGACAAATTCATGCTTGCAATTTAACAGAGACCGAAACAGGAATTATTGGATTGTGTAAGGCGAAAACTAGATACATCTTATTGACCGATTCATAACTAGTAACGTTTGAACTTGATTTGAAGCTTTCGTGACTGCAGGAATTACTAGTAGTAACGTTTGGTTTAGATAATCTTGGAGGCACAATGCACATTTCCAGCTATACTCTCTGCCACCTGACAATCAAGTCAAGTTGTCACGTGGGCAAACATGCCAATGGATTTGGGTTTACAGGATATCCGAGTGGTGAAACGCATGCGATATTGGCAAATGTATGCATGTTGAATTTCTTTCGCGCCGTACGTAGCCAACCGTGCTAATCAGAGGTGCGGGATACGCACCACGTGGCCTGCTGAGATAAGCGAGTGTGGCTTGGGCAGGGCACTTCGCTTGAAGGGGTCGGTGGCCGGTGGTCGAGGCTCATAACGGAGGGGCAGCCAGAGCAGGAAACACGCCGGAGAGGACGGAGCGGAGCGAGGAAACGAGACCGTACACAAGTACGGTAGAACTGCATGGACTATCCCATTGTAGCACTGCATGGACTATTCCATTGTAGAACTGCATGGACTATTCCATTGCAGGAACGAGGAAGGTAGCAACGTCTTGGGATGGCCTTCCAACTAGAAGTGGCTGGTGAAGACGATGGTGAAGTGTGTTCAACTTTTGAGTTGCCGATTTCTGTGCGGCATTCCCTCAATGCTCGTGTGGTGGGGGGGGTCACTTTTACAACACCCTGGAACGTACAAATGGGCAAGAGTGCTCCCGGGCACGGCTTGCTGCCGAGTGGATACTACTCAGACTGAGACATGGGTCCAGGTCTGCTTTAGTAACCGAGTTGCTAAATTGTCAAAGGAGCCGATTTAGCTCGAAGGCTCTCATGACCCGGGTGGATCGTTGTGTTATGGGGACTCGTACCAGGCGTGGGCCCGGAACGTTAGACAGCCTCTTTTACGTCATACTTTTTTTCTCTCGGTAAATATTTGTAAACTCGTCTAATTATTCACATACCGTACAAAGGAGAGGTATAACCACATCGTTTAATAAACATTCTCTTTGAACAAACCGAAAATACCAGACCAGGCAAGACTCTCATTGAACCAGTTCTGCCACTGTATGACTGTGCCACGTCTGCTCCCACTGACAGCGCCGCATATTTGTGGCGCGTCCTGTGCGTGCGCGCTCTTCACGCCCGGAATCACGCGGCACACAGCGCGGGCCTTCTTCTGCACGCTTCACCACGCAGGCCCACCACCAAACGGTGGTGGGCCTGCGTGGTGAAACTAAAGTGACTTTCTTTCTGCAGGCAAAAGAAATCACCACGCGCACAGCTGTGTACAGTAAGACAAAGAGGCAAGGCCCATTACCGCGAAGCTTTGCAGAAAGCAGAACGTTTTACTGCAGGCAATTTTGATTGCGAATAAAACATTGTTATTTTCAGCTCGGCCCTAAGGCTTGAGTGTCGCGCACAATTCTCGAGACTAAAGCACGCGCCGATCATGAAAAGTTGTTGCAGTTGTTGATTCATGTGTGCACTACCGAACGTCCTCCCAGGCAGAGAAACCACAGCAGGTACCGGATGCACCACGAATCACTTCTCATGGCGTTTTCAGCTTCGTGTTTTCCACTTTTGACTGCTTTGGACGTGAAACATGTCACTGATAGTTCATGTCATGGTGAGAAAGTGGTTATAATCGGTTTTTGTGGTAGAAAACTGGCCAAATCGACAAAACACTTCAACAATTAGATTTTATAACAAATCATGTCTGAGGCTGCCTTTACACCAACACAAAAATTAGACCCAAGATGTATTACACATGACCACAGCCTTCGCATGTCATCAGCAGGCTAGCTGGTGTCAATATTCCCATTTTGAGATTTACCAATCTCACCATCTCCAGTCCACCAATGTCACTGCTGCAATTTGTCGTTCACGTGACCATTTCCTAGTTTACAAATTTCCCCCTTTGCCAAACGGACGCCAGTTGACAGTCATCTGCCCTGCACCCATGGGCCAAAACCTCCACGGGGGTCTCCCATTTCCTCCAGCGCCCAACCCCTTCGGTCGTATCCCCTTCACGTTCCCCGCGGGGTGCGAAACAAATACGAGCGGCCTTCACGAGCCCGGCAGACGGCGTGGAAGCACCTGCAGCAGCGTCCAGAGTCGACTGCTCGGACGGCCATCGCGCTGCGACAGCAGCAGGCGCAGCGACGGCAGCAAATGCATCGCCCGCCGGATCCGCTCATTTCCCCCGTTTGTAAGCGCCCTGTTTGTATTAACTGTATACAATAGGAAGAACCCCTTTTTTCACAACAATCGGGTAATTTTAGCTACCCCGTTGCTATATATATACACGCACAACAGCACTGGCAGAGCATTGTGTTTGGCGGAAGAGCGCATCCAGGCGTGCGACCCTGCAGCTCCTGCACCTCTGCACGAATGCGGCGTGACGTTTGCATGTGCGAGACGTGCACTTTATGATTTTGCGGGCAGCAGCCTTGTTGTGCTGTTTGCCTGCATTATCTGGCTGCTCTTTGCCAGATAATTCAGGCAAACGGTCGACAAAACCATAACTTGATGCCACAAGACAGTGGCAACGGATTGTAAACGAATGCTGCGATTAAAGCAATTACACATGTGGTACAATTACACGTGTGGTACAATTACACGTGTGGTACAATGTATGGTTTCAGCTTCTGCGGACAATTGCATCATCTCATTTGCACGTCTGCCAAAAATAAAAAATTCTGGAAAGTGCGCATAATCGACACGATTCCACAGACAGCATGTGACAGCAATCGGACTCACTCAGAGCGTGCGACCGTGGGAAGGGCATTTAATGCTTTAAGGAGAGAGGACACTCGGCACGAGCCTGAAACGCTGACTCGGAGCGTAGGCCCACACTCCTCACAAAAGGATGAGCCACACATTCCAGGCGGGACGATCCGTTAAACAATCCTGAGACTCGGGGAGACTTTTCTAAGAAATAATTAAAAGTCCCTTTCAAGTCAAAGGTTACAAGCATTATTATAAATGGTGCCAGAAACGCTGCCGAATTGAAAGATACATTAAAAAAATGAAAGATACATTGTTGGTGGTACGGGACAGTCGACCACAACCGCCAACGCCACGAGATTATCAAATGGGAACGGCGCGGTGTTGCTCGTTGTGACCAAGTGCACCACCACCGTCACCACCACCCATCTCGACGTGAATCGAGGCATTATTCGTGTGCAAATTGCCGCGGCTTCAATTAACAAGCAGCAAAACATAGGGCTGGCAAAAATAAACTCCCTACGCCGGTTCTTCACAGCAATAGACGCCGTGTCACTTTACACCCCAGCCACACAACGCTCGGTCACTCTGCGTGCGCACGCACTAGAAAACCTGCATATGAAATTACAGTTCAATTACGCACTGTATTTACAAAATAAAAAAATTCCACACAGCTGTACAGTGCACCGTACATATGCACCGCAAACGCTCGCGCGCGCCCAGACAACGCACCGTTCATCCGTCGTGGGTCCACGTTTAGAGTCACACGCAGGGCTTCATTTCTCACTGAATTGTAGGCACATCCAGAGCGAGAGGTATCGTGGATGTGGTGTGATAGGTGTGGAGATGTTTTCCGGGTCATTAATAGCCTTGAGAAGGTGGCACGTGAGTTTAAGCCACAGCCATAGCGAGAAGTCTGCTGGATACGTTGTACTGGGTGTAGAAATATTTTTCGTTTCGCCTAGCCAAAAGGAACGACCAGGCTGAAATGAAATCCTGGTTCCACGAGGCAGCACCCAGCGGTGGCTGCGGCGAGCGCTGGGGTCCACGCATCACCGCGGCCGCTTGCGCTTGTGCATCCTCGCCAGCCGGCGACCCTCGACGATCACTTCGTGCAGCTGGTGCAGCGCCTCGGCCACGCCAGCACCGGTGCGTGCGCTCACCGCCTGCGCGCGCCACGCCGTGTGGGGCGACAGCTGAGTAGCGCCCACGCGCCGCCCCACCTCGTCGGCCGGCAGCGCTCCCGGCAAGTCGCTCTTGGAGGCCGCCACCAGCACCGGCACGCCCTGGCACTCGGGCAGCCGCGACACGCGTAGCAGCTCGCACCGTGCCTCCTCCAGCCGCTCGGGGTCCGACGCGTCCGCCACGAACACCAGCCCGTCGGCGCCGCGCACGTACGAGCGCCACAGCGGCCGCAGCTTCTCCTGCCCGCCCACGTCCCAGAAGTGGAAGGAGACGGCGAGGCCTGGAGCATGTTGTGCCACGCGGCACGCGCCATCGGAGGGTTCCGCGCCGGCGTCGCGCTCCTCCTCGTCGTCGGAGGAGCTGGCTTCGGTGGAGGCCGCGGGACCCGAAATCAGCCCGGGGTCACCGCCGGCCTCCACGGTGGAGGTGCAAGTCTCGTAGCTGCCTGCGGAAGAGTCGATGCCGTTTGTCTCGTTGACCTCGTCCGGTGGCGCTTCTGCTGGCAGTGCCGCCGGCGCTGCCGCCGCTGCCGCCGCTGCCTGTAGTAGCGACGGCTCCGCGACCGGCAGGCGCAGGCGCTCGGTGTTGAAGCTCACGGTGGGCGTGGTGTGGAGGAACTCGCCCAGCTTGAGGCGGTAGAGCAGCGCCGTCTTGCCGGCCGAGTCGAGCCCCAGTAGTGTGACATGCAGGGGCGCGCCCAGGCCCAGTGACGGGAGCGCCGAGGAGGCAGTGCCGCCTTCGCCGCTCAGACTGTTCCCCATGACGGCTCCGGGATGTGCGGCGTCACTGTAACAGCATCATAATCATACAACATTGTCATCATCGTCATCAGACACTGTTATCATCGCCTTAATCTGCTTAATGATCTTCTTTTGTCGTCTTCCCCAATTTGATAAAACTCAGAAGCAAAATATAATTTTCAGAATAAAGCAAATCATAAGCATAGGTTGGACTATAAATGTGCCAAATTTGAACTCTCCAGCCCTTCCAGAACATCATTAAAATGTTCACGGAGAGAGCTACAAAAATGCAATGATTAAGCATCGCAGGCACGCCTTCACACACACCTGCAGTGAAGCCACTGAGGTTGACTCTGAACCGCGTCTGCCAAACGGAGTGTTTGACAAGTGGGATGGCCGTGAGTCAGGGGCGCACTGCACACACCTCTGAAGTCGTGCGTTCAAATCCTGGTTAGAGGTTGATGTGAATCATCATCTACCATGGGCAGGGAATCATTTCAGCTGGGTAGGTGATCTGTAAAAAAGATTCCATACCCAGCACATCACATCCAGTATAACCATTGCTTTTACTGGTAGGAACGAAGTTGTAAACTGAGTGTACCAGCCTGCAATAGATTAATGTGTCCGTCCGTCCGTCCCCTTTTAATACTTTAATGAAGTGAAATCTCGTGCTGTTGGGTGTAAAATCAGCAATAGACAGCGCAGAGACTTTATATGTCTTATTGCACCCAACATTTGGAAGTCACATTATCTCATTTGCGAACTTTGCTTTTGGGGATGTGGCAAATTCACACACAGCCCACAGCCGAATACCATTTGCGAGGCGAAGTTCGAAGGCACCGTGACGTTACTTTGCCAATGTTCCTACCAGCCCACCCTGCAGGGACCTGTTATGATAAATTAATCTGTCGTTATGGTAAGGAGCACTTTCCACCGATGACTCTGGCTGCCAACATAAACTAATGGTCGTTTCATCACGGGTTGGGTCAGGAGACCACACGGTGTAACAAAGAGAAATTCTGTCTCCAGCATAATAATAGACAAAATCACAACGTGGTCTGGAACTCCCCCGGCCGTCCGTGCTGTCGACTCCCTGCCAAAGTTCAAGTCCAGGCTCAGGACTCTTCTTCTTCTCCTCCGCCTATGACTGACCGCCTCTCTCCATAAAATGCGCACGCTCACCGTTGCTTTACAGCGTGCGGACGCACGTAGACGCGCTTATATCCACATGGCGTTATCAGCCATCACCAACCACATCCAGCGGTGGATTGACAACAGCTATAGCTCATTATGTGGTGCTTGCTACAAAGCGGGCACGTGTTGTAACCACACGGCGAGAGGAGGTGTGTGTGTGCGTGTGTACTGTGGTTGATTATTGGGAAAGGGAACGGTCACAGGCAGAGGGAAGTGTTGGGCCCGGACATTAAAACGCACACGTTTCCCTTCATGGGTGTGTCCGCTCGCTAATACCTGCCGGACAGGTATTCAGGCAGGTAAATGACACACGTGTACACACACATGTTCCGCATGCATGAAGATCCGTGTGGCTATGCTATTCGCGAGCACCTATTAAGGCCAATACGGCACACAAGACGGCGGCGGCGGCGTGTGGGGAGAGCCACGCCCAATTCACCTTTGTCTCATTGCTCATACACAGGTACAGGCAGGTACAGACGCACAGACAGAAACACGCATTGGTGTTTCTGTACACCCAAAGCCTTAACAGACTGTTGGGGAAGTTCTGATAGCGATGAGCACCTACGAATGTTAACACGGCACGCGAGGGGTTTGGTGGCCAGCACCGTGCCAGGCCGTATTTGTCTCCCTCGTGGGAGACTCGTGCCAAGTCAAACTCGGGGAGGCTCACGACAGATTGAGATGAAAGTGACCGGTGGTGGTGGTGGCCGAGAGTGTCCGCACACACACATTGGTATGTAGTGTGGTGCACCTAGGTACATACAGAGGAAATACACGCAGTCAAGTTACACACAGTTAAATGCACAGGTACTTACACACACACAGGTCAGAGATACAGCACACAGAGATAATCACTGATAGATGCCCACAAAGCAATACTCTACACACAGGTACATGATCAACAGGTAAGTTTAACGCAGAGCTTCCTAATTCACGTGTACACACGGGTAAGCTGCACACACACACACAGATATACACAGATAGGAGATACACACACACAGGGAGATCGGCTATACACACACACGAGTAGCCTATACATAGGGATACAAAGATCGGTACACGTCAAGTGAATAGACGAGAGATGAACACACGGGAAGGTACAGTACGGTATACAGACACAAGTACGCACACAGCAGGTACCTACAGGAATAGAGATCAACAGTTACACACACACAGGTGAGTCTGGTACACACACACACACGTAGTATCTACACCTACACACACACACGTACGACACACACACACACACGTAGTATCTACACCTACACACACACGTGTGGTATCTACACCTAGACACACACACAGGTGTAGTATCTACACCTAGACACACACACACATGTGTAGTATCTACACTTAGACACACACACACATGTGTAGTATCTACACTTAGACACACACACGTGTAGTATCTACACCTAGACACACACACGTGTAGTATCTACACCTAGACACACACACGTGTAGTATCTACACCTAAACACACACACGTGTAGTATCTACACCTAGACACACACACACAGGTGTAGTATCTACACCTAGACACACACACAGGTGTAGTATCTGCACCTAGACACACACACACAGGTGTAGTATCTACACCTAGACACACACACACAGGTGTAGTATCTACACCTAGACACACACACGTGTAGTATCTACACCTAGACACAAACACAGGTGTAGTATCTACACCTAGACACACACACGTGTAGTATCTACACTTAGACACACACACACGTGTAGTATCTACACCTAGACACACACACGTGTAGTATCTACACCTAGACACACACACGTACGACACACACACACGTAGTATCTACACCTAGACACACACACGTGTAGTATCTACACCTAGACACACACACACACGTGTAGTATCTACACCTAGACACACACACACGTGTAGTATCTACACCTAGACACACACACAGGTGTAGTATCTACACCTAGACACACACACAGGTGTAGTATCTGCACCTAGACACACACAGGTGTAGTATCTACACCTAGACACACACACAGGTGTAGTATCTGCACCTAGACACACACAGGTGTAGTATCTACACCTAGACACACACACGTGTAGTATCTACACCTAGACACACACACAGGTGTAGTATCTACACCTAGACACACACAGGTGTAGTATCTACACTTAGACACACACACATGTGTAGTATCTACACCTAGACACACACACATGTGTAGTATCTACACCTAGACACACACACATGTGTAGTATCTACACCTAGACACACGCAGAATCTCTCGGCACGGTCACTCACGGCAGCAGGAGGCGACTCCCTCCCGGGAGCTTCGGCTGGGCTCGGGGTCCCCCCCTCGCCTTGGCCGGGTGTCCCCTCGCCTTGGCCGGGTATCCCCTCGCCTTGGCCGGGTATCCCCTCGCCTTGGCCGGGTGTCCCCTCGCCGGGTGCCCCTCTCCGCGTGCCTCCCCGGGCTCCTGCTCCGCTCGCTCTGCGCGTGGGGCTCCGCCTGCCCCCAACGTCATCAAAACGGACACGCCCTCCAACGCGTCCTCCCCCCACCGCTGCACTCCCACCGACAGAGGTTGCGTGTTTCTCTCCCTCCATCCACCCCGGCGTCGATCGTTACGCAACCGCAGAGCGGAGCGCGGCTTCGAGACTCGCGCCGAGGTCGCGGTGCGTGGCCATCACGGTGACGTCACCGCGTTTTTACGGGTTCCGATGGGAGGGATGGGGCAACGGTTACCGACGTCACGTGGTGCGGGCTGGACCAATGAGAAGCCGCCGCCAGCATTTGAATTTGCCGTTCTGTGGTTGTTTGGTGTCACCGGTCGCTTCCTCGCAGGGTAAAAAACTCTCCTCGGCACCATCATCATCATTGTTGTTGTAATTAGAATTATCATTGTTGATGATTAGCCAACGATGTGTCGCCACGTTGTCGCTTAGATAATTGTGTAGTTGAGCTGACTGTTGTTGTTGAGTTAATGATGGGCGGCAGAAATCCGTTGCGTTCCCAACGTCTGCGTTGTAACCCATCCTGACCAGCGTGGTGAAGTATGTTCAAATAGCCCCCACGACGATACCGTGTGGTGTGGTGGGGGGCTCATCCAGCAGTGGAGTGATTTCAGGGTTGTGCGTGTTCGACTCTAATGATGGTTGCGGCCTTCCTGCGAGGTCGCCGTTCACCGCGAGGCGATAACAGTGGCGAGTAGCAGTGACCTCGTGATAAACGACTGAGGAGCGGTGTCATGATTGTTCACATTCTTGTCATAATTATTCACATTCTTGTCATGATTGTTCACATTCTTGTCATGATTATTCACATTCTTGTCATGATTATTCACATTCTTGTCATGATTATTTGGACTCGGTAGAGTGAAGTCGTCACCAATGATCCCTGCGGGAGAGTTTGCCTCAGAAAACCCAGTGGGGATTCGGCGCTCTGCAGCAGCCTATGGACTAATCTTGGTGCTTGTGGTTTTATTAAAGTTGTCTCCTGAAGTGATGTACAGTATAAGTAAAATAACAGGTTAATTACAATTGTATTTAATTGCCGCTTAGAGCAATAGGTATCGACATTAAGGTCGACTGGCCTAAGAGATACTCTTAAATACAGTACTTGGTGTTTTAGCCATGTTGATGTACAAGCCACTAATTGTTTTTAGTACTTACCAACGTATAGGAATAGGGTTTACCCTTTTAACTGGCACAAAAACTGACACCTTTATTCAAGGCATCATGTTTGCAATAAGCACAACACAAGCAGTCAAAATGCAAACAAAAAAGACAACTCTGATAATAATATGCACTGTCCAGAGTTGTCTTTTTTGTTTGCATTTTGACTGCTTGTGTTGTGGTTATTGCAAACATGATGCCTTGAATAAAGGTGTCAGTTTTTGTGCCAGTTAAAAGGGTAAAACCTATTCCTATATCTTGTTACTGGCAAAGGGGAGGTCTCATAATGTAAATACTTACCAACGCTTCGTGAGTCTGTCATTCGCGGGTTATTGGCCGTTCGACACTGCTCGCATAATTCGCGGCCCACCGTGTCGAACATTTTGTCCCGGATTACACATTTGGTACAACCTCCGTTTTGCGCTTCGGATTAAAGGACCCGAAACAACGCCCCCCCCCTACCTCACCATCTCATCGCGCGATTTTGAATGTCTGCAGTATCCTGGTATAGCAGTGGTGTTGTAGTAGAATTGTTTGGTTGTAATGTTGTGGTATGTTTGTGTTGTGCTGTTGTGTTCTTATAGTTGTTGTTGCAGGTGTGTTGTGAATAACATCCTGCTTTGGGAATTGCTGTTTCATTCTCTTTTAGTAATGAAAGGACACTGGGGTGGTTTAGAGAAGCCGTGCACACAAGGGGGAATATCTGACCTCCGGTGCGGATAGCCATCGATAAACACACTTGCACCGCCTCCTGCCAACAGGGCTTCGTTGAACTGTTAGATGGATGTCTCACTTATCAGATGATACCCTAGTTTGGTTATCCACGAACTGCATCTCTAAACAAGCATGTACCACCACCACCACACCTGGCTATTCAGGGGTCGCCTGACTTGTTTCATGATTAAAATGTGTCGGCACCCTATGGGTTCTTTGTGCTCACCTGTCCACAATATCCCCACTTTGCCTTGTACAGGTGTTGGCGTCAGGTGCAATTATGGCCCGCGAGAGAGAGTGCCACGGTGAGTGTCGCTTGGGACCGTCATTTTGTCGCTTCCACGCCGTTGTCCGTGACGTGAGCACTTGGGTTGTTGAAGTTCGGGATCTGGTTCCAGGTACACGTTGCTGCGGACTGCATAGCGAATGGACTGGTGTGTTTTCGTGATACTCGACAAATGACTTGTAGCCAACATCTATTGAAACATCTGCAGTTTCTTGGCACATCAGTAGATCCAGAAACTATCCTGCTATCCTACAAGGCAACATTGAGGGGACTAGAAAAAGAGGGCGCCCAGAACGTTTAATACTGCACCGATGTTGAAGCAAAATTGTCCAATCCATGAGGTTGAGGACTGGGAAAAGGTGGCGTCCCAATGATCTCGCTATTCGGCCAGCCAGGAGATGATGGATGGACATACCCCCTGTAGCTGTCGTTACAAGAGGGCAATCTTTAGCTAGGCCATTGCCTTTCCCCAGTAAACTTAGGAAAGTAACTTTTTTTTAAATCATAAACTGTTCCCCAACCCTGGTGAGAACTCGTGCCGTTGAGTGTAGGCTTGTATTGCAAGTACCCTTTTTCACGGCCTAAAGAATGAGATATTTTGAATACTGTAGAGCTGTGTTTGTGAACATATTTTGTAACTATACTGTGCTGTGTATTGCTGGATAAATGCAGTTGATGTTGTCACTTGGTTATTGTAACAGGGACCTCCAGCAGTGTGGCCCAACTCGACCCATTCAACAGCGAAAAGAAGCCACCCCCGAAAGACATGCCCAAAATGAGGTCCCACAAGGAAAGCCTCGCTCGATTAAAGGAAAAAATAAAAAACAATCGAATCCTAAAACTCTCCCGGACGAATGCCACCGTGACTCGAAACCTGGCGACAAAGGCCAAGACAAGGCTATTGAGTAAGTGTGCCAGGCCCTGCCTGTGAAATGATAAAGATTCGTAAAGCGTATAAGCAAAATAGTTTGTTTCCACATGTACACATTTTAATCAGCCAAACCAATATCAAGTAGTATTTGTTGAAGCAAGTAAACTCTGGGCTGTTTCAACAATTCTAGGTCTTGTCAGAATTCAGTCTTGTTAAACACATTTTGCTGGATTACCAAACGTTTGGCAAAAGCAGTTCATAAAACACTTTTTTTTAAAATGAGGTCAAAAAGCATGAGAGACGGTGTAATTGAACCTGCATGCTCTTCCACTGTAAAGGGAAAAAAATGATGTTCAAGCAACAATAATCTCCTTGTAGGGTAAACTGAGACTGTGGGAGAATGGAGTGTGGGGTGTGCTGATAACGGCTGCCTGTATTGTACAATTTCTCACGTAGCGTGATTATTTAGTAATGATGGCAATCTGTGATGAGATTAAGCACCAGCGCGCTTGTGGAAGATTGGCGAGAGACGTTTTCCATGCTTGTCATTGATCGCCATCCAAAGCCTCCGGCAAAATGTTTTTAAAAAAATGTATCCCGTGCAGATGTGTCATCGCGGCAGACACTTCTGGCGAGCAACAAGGCGCTGGCACTGGCACTGGAGGCAGAGAAGCACAAGAGCAGCATGGCGATCAGCCTGATGAACGAGATGCGACACACATGTCACGTGCAGATGTTAAAGACGTCCGTGCTCGAGAGGCGCCTCAAGACGGCCGAGACAAGCTGTAAGGAGGCCCAGGTAGGTCGTGGGACGACGAGCTCCGTCACTGCGGCGTCACGGGCGTCTCGGTGCCCACGCTTGGAGGAGAACCTTTTGGATTTTTAATTGAAGTTGCTGAGCACAGGCCCAAAGTGGCATTATTGTATGTACATATGTTGAACTACTTTCACACCGTATGTAGCCAACCGTACTAATCGGAAGCGCAGGGGAAGGACAAGAAACTAAACACAAAAAGGAGTGATAAAGAGTTGTTAATACATATAAGTGTCAATACTTTTCTTTAATTAAGCAAGGTTATAAGAACTTGGCAAAAGAGACATTGGAGTGAATTCCAAAGTAGAGCAAAAAGAGAGGTGTTGTGATCTGCAGTGTGGATGAGACAAAACAATCTGGTAGATGGAGTCCTCAACATATGTGGAGGAATGAAGTTCACACAAACAGCAACCATGGTAGTTGGTGCGAGCGTTTATTTACGGAAGTTAACGGCTGCGGGAGGAGCGTCTGATGGCAAAAAGTGAGACAGCGAGAACAGGAGGGTGGCTTAAATGACATTGTATGTATAGTGACTTAGTCGGAGACAGGTTTTTTAAGGCAACCTCTTTTATTTCACATGTTGGGGAGCTAGCCGCGCCCCACGTGCTCACACGCGAGTCGCACATCCGTCCCCTTCGACGGCACTACCGAGCTATAACAGTTGGCAGGCTGGCTATCTAGTGGCGTCTAAGATGGTCGAGACGAGGGTGGCGAACAGCAACACAGCGAGGGGATTCACTTCCAGCAAACAGCCGTGAGCCCACGTGCTTGCCATGCCACCTTTTCTAGACCCTACTAGCAGGTTCTCAGCTTCCAGATCGACCCCTTTCCTGGGCTTCCCTTTCGATCTCCTCCTGCTGACTTGTGTACTGCCCCCTGCTGCCAGTACCACTCCCCGTCAGCATCCCGCGCTATTACACGACATCTGTATGAGCTGCAAAAACATCTAATCGCACACATTTTAAAATATTGGTGCGCTTTTATTATTTAGGTTTGGAATATTTTGTGTGTGCATATATATACTGCTGTGGGGAGTGGTAGTGTAGCAATTAGCGTGCTGCGCTACGAATTTGGGGACCCGAGTATGATTCCTACTCATGGCCAACAACAGTGGTGAATGAGTACCTGGTGCAGCGTGTAAACATTTCCTGGGGAGACAAAGGTGGCGTGTGTGGTGTTGGCCACTCACTCACGCGTGCGCCGTGCCGGCCTTCATGGGTGCTCGCTAACAGCCCTTGTCCCAACAGTCTTAAGGCGATACGGGAAATCATTGTCTTTGTTATACTGCTGAAAAGGGGTTGCGTGT